GAGTAAGGAGGCCGGGTACGGCTTGATCGCGGCCTACGGAATTGTCTACGTCGGTATCGCAGTAAGTGGGTTGGCAAGCCATCTTGTTCTGTTGCTTGCTTACTTTGCTCATGAAGCATTCGCTCTCCAGGTCATGACGGCGATGTTTCATCATCGATCCTATCGCACGGTCGTGATGGTGCGCGGCGGCTTGATCCTTTTGATCTATGATCATACCCTGAGCTTGAATATCTCGGCTCCTTCCAAAGGTGATTCGTTGACTTTGATTAATGCTGACATTGAGCGCATTGGGGCGGGGCTTCGGAGCTTTCATGAAACGTGGGCAAGCTTGCTCGAGATCGGTCTGTCTTTGTGGTTACTGGATATCCAGATTGGCGTTTCAACCGTGGCTGCCGCCGCGGTAGTCCTAGGTATATAGCATCTGCGTTTGATGTCTTCTCCATTCCTACTTTCTCTGTCCATTTTCTCTGAAGCGATTCGGGACAGAAGAACGGCTAACCATGGTGACTTACTGCGCAGCGTGCCTCCTCATCAGCGGCAAAGTCAGCGGATATATGGGTGGGCGCCAGAAGCTATGGCTTGAGGCGATGCAAACCCGGATCACCACGACCGTGGCAGCGATCAACTCCATCAAAGGAATCAAAGCAACCGGTGCAACCGATATCCTGCGGTCCGTGATCATCCAACTGCGGACGTTAGAAATCAAAAGCTCCATCAAATTTCGAGAAGTGCTGGTCATGCTGGTGACGTTATGTAGGTGCTAGAACCCTCTCGACCTCCCTCCACCATCTCGAGGTCTGCTTCTAAGCTTTGCTTCCTATAGCGTATCTGGCGACTACCATGGCACCACCGTTTTCTTTTGGTACCTACAGCATTCTCGCCATGTTGCGAATTACCACCCCACTGACCGCTGCCACCGCATACACCTCCCTGACCCTTCTTTCTCTTCTGTGCCAGGCCGTGGCCAGCTGCATCGACGCTCTGATGGGACTGGTCCAGGCATTGACCAGTCTGGAACGGATCCGGGCGTATCTGGCGTTGGAGGCCGGCATTCCGCTGCCCGACGACAGCTGCAGCACGACCGATTTACATATTAGTGAACCGTCGCCCGCGGAATCCACGCGCTCGTCGGAGAGTGACAACGAGAAGGTCATGGTGAGAGACACCGTATCGGGGAAGATTGACCCGGATGCGATGATTCAGTTACGCAACTGTTCGGCGAGCTGGGAGCGATTCTCCAAGCCGGTGATGCAAATTGTGGATGCCACCATCCCACGGGGTTCGTTTGCGATGGTGATCGGGCCAATCGCATCGGGCAAGTCGAGCCTGCTGCACACGATTCTCGGCGAAATCCCCCATAGAATGGGCACGGTCGTCGTCCAGGACGTGGAAGTGGCGTTCTGCGGCCAGACCCCGTGGTTGGTGAACACGACCATCCAGAACAATATTCTCGGGCAGACTCCGCTCGACCACCGGTGGTACGACACCGTCGTCGGGGCTTGCATGTTAGATCGGGACTTCACGCAACTCCCCGGGGGGGACAACGCAACGATTGGCAGCAAAGGAATCATGTTGAGTGGCGGTCAGAAAGGCCGTCTGGTACATCCACCCGGAGTTTCATTAGATACTCGGTTCTGATCTCGTGGCAGGCATTGGCACGAGCACTTTATGCGAGAAAACCGCTGGTCATTCTGGACGACGTGTTTGCCGGCTTGGACGCCAAAACCGAGCAACATGTCTTTGCGGCGCTCTTTGGGCGCGAAGGTCTGTTGCGACAGGAGGGAACGACGACGGTCCTGGCCACGAACTCCAGTAGGTAGCGGTGCGAATAGGACCCATAAGGTTCCTACCGGCTGACAGTTTTCTGCTAGTTCGCTACATCTCCCTCTCCGACTATATCCTTGTGTTAGGGCCGGGCGGCACAGTCGTCGAGCAAGGCGTCTATTCGGAGCTGGTTCACTCAGGAGGATATTTGGCGAGCCTGAATCCGAAAGTGGGACGCAATGAACAAGTTCATCGCCAGCGTGACTATCATCATCCTGCACTCACTGACACGGCTCTCCGCAATGCGAACTTGAATGCTGACAACCTGCCCGCCAGTGACCTGGCCATTTACAAGTTCTACGTGGACCAGACGGGGCGCGTTTCATTCTGTGTTTTCTTTGTCCTGTGCTCTGGCTTCGTAGTTGGCTTGCTGTTCTCCCGTAAGTGGTCGTATAACCTCTTTCTCCTTTCCTTGCCTGTACTCATACTCACCGCGAGACAAATGCCTGCAGAAGTCTGGATCAAGTTCTGGGTCGAGGCCAATGCTAGGAAGGCCAATGATCGACTAGGGTATTATCTTGGATTATACGCACTGTGGTCAGTCTTGGCCATCTTACTCTTCCTGGGTGCATGTTTGTAAGTTCTTCGCATCGGCAAGGCCTCGAATTCCATAGAGACTTAGACAAAGATTGATACCAATCGAACCGCAGCCAACTTATGCTCGTCATGGTTCCGAAAACCGCCAAAGGATTCCACGACCGTCTTCTCAAAACAGTGCTAAGGTTGAGTTTGACTTCTTCAGTCAGCTTCAAAGGAGAGCAAGGTGGCTGATGTGTCCCTCCAGGGCCCCATTGGGATTTTTCTCCGTCACCGACAGTGGAGAGATCACCAACCGATTCAGCCAAGATCTCGAACTGGTGGACCTGGAGCTCCCGCGATCACTCATCGGCACGATGATGGCGCTTGTTCTATGCATCGGCGAATTGGTGGTAGTCGTGTATAGCTCCCACTACGTCGCCGCCACGGTGCCCTTCCTGATCGGGCTGTTGTACCTGGTGCAGACCTTCTATCTCAAGACCTCGCGACAACTGCGGATCCTCGAGATTGAAGCCCGGGCGCCTCTGCTGTCTCATTTCATGGAAACCCTGCAAGGACTGAGCAGTATCCGTGCATTTGGTTGGACGCGGTCCTATACCGCGCAGAATGATCGGCTGCTCGGGACCGCCCAGCAGTCGTTATATCTGCTCTACTGTGCTCAGCTGTGGCTCACGCTCGTTTTGGATATGATTGTCGCGGTCTTGGCTGTCATCCTGGTCAGCATTGCGGTCACGACCCGGACGTCGACGGGTGCATCCATTGGTCTGGCGCTGGTCAATGTGGTGGCGTTCGGCGCCAACCTGAAGGGCCTCGTGTACAACTGGACCGCCTTGGAGATCGCCATGGGGGCCATTGCCCGCATCAGAGATTTCACCTCCAACACCCCGTCTGAAGAACAACCGTGTTCAAAGGCGCCTCCGCCCCCGGATTGGCCGCAGCAAGGCCTCGTCCGGTTCCATGACGTCTCAGCAGCGTACAAGTGAGTCGTCACTTGAGCTTCTGGAGCTAAAGGCTGACTCTGTCTTGACAGCTCTGAGTCCCCACCCGTGCTGAAGAATGTCTCTTTGGAAGTCCAGCCAGGACAGAAACTCGCGATTTGCGGCCGAACTGGCAGGTAGGCATACTTGTGCTGAGCACTTACACTATCCGCGCCGTGACTATGAACGCCTTCACTGACCACGACCATCAGTGGTAAGAGCTCCCTCGTGGGATCTCTGTTGCGACTTCTGGACCTGCGCAGCGGCACGATCGAAATCGACGGCGTGGACATCTCCACTCTCGCCCGACAGGACGTTCGGTCGAGGCTGATCACCCTGCCCCAGGAGCCGTTCTTCTATCACGGCACGATCCGGGAGAACCTCGACGTTCAGGGCCAACACACGGACGAGGACTTGTATGAGATCCTGTCCCGGCTCGGACTGCAGGAGCTCATCGTCCGGAAAGGTGGCTTGGACGTTTCGATGAGCGAGGACATGCTCTCGCACGGCCAGAGGCAGCTTTTGTGCGTTGTCCGGGCATCGCTGCGGACGTCAAAAATCCTGATTCTGGATGAGGCGACAAGCAGGTAAGGCCGGACCTCTCTGCTGGACTTTGCTTGTTGTCTATTTTTTTTTCTCTCGTTTTTTCGCCTTCTCAAGTTAATATTTCTCGTGTTCATGCATAGTGTCGACCAGGAGACGGAGGCCCTCATCCTCGATGTGCTTCGTGAGCGATTCCGCGACCATACCGTGGTGTGCATCGCGCACCGACTGAACACGATCCTGGATTACGATCAGGTCATCGTGTTGGACCAGGGTTGCGTTGTGGAATGTGGACACCCAGCCACTTTGGCGGCGCAGCCGTCCATATTTGCAGAGCTTCTTCGCGCGACCGGCGAGCACTCCGTGACAGAAGAATGATTACTCTGGGCGATGCATTGCACGAATCACTTCACTGCTGCTCGTCAATATTAGGGCCCTGCCTTCCCCTATGCGTGTCGTGTCCCAAGACTGGCGCTACCACTGCCTGATGCGTCGGGACGACTGTTCCTACTACTTTCTCAATCACAACTAGGAAGGAGTAGTGGTTGGTAAATCGCAGCAAAAGTTCAAATCGGTGTTTCATCCGGTTAAATTACTGAAATCCTTTCGTAGCAAGTTGCTTAGATGCTGGGTATTGAGAATTGACATGGTAGACCGTCAAGTACCATTACCGCAGGCCCAAGTGCCTCTTTTTCAAAGGGAAAGCATATCGACTAGTCCGGCGGCTCTTTTCAAATTTAACTCAGTTCCTCCAGGCCATATAGCATGCAGTAGCCTGTCACTGAGGCTCTTGTCGGAGACGTGGATGTGTCATTTGGGGATCTGAGCTATGGCTTGGGACAAGTATTGAAGGTCATTAACAACAACCCTGTCCCCGAGGGATCTGCTCACCGCGGAAAGGTTGCTTCATTTCAGACTTGTTTTTCACTACTGTCACTAATGTTGCAATGATATCTACACAGTCAATTAGGTACAGTACAGTACCTCTGACTTCCACTACAGACATCTCCATCTGATTTTGCACTCTTCGGTTCCTTGGAAATGATTGGAGTATAGTAGATATATTCATCGAGGCTGACACAGCCTCATGGCTGAGTCCCAGTCAGTGAACAGAATGCATCACAGTGAAAGCACAGTCTGTCCCCCATCGGAGGTGATGCGGTGCCGAACCCTAATCCGCAGGGGTTCCGCACCTAATCGGTGGAACTTCAGGTCGCCATCCTCGGAGGCGCTCGCCTTTATGATGGCACTGGGCGAGAAAAGGAGCGCCTCGCCGACTTGAAGGTCCAGAATCTGATTGAGCAGGGAGACATGGGCTTGGACGCTGGGGTCGTCGGGATCGCTCCGGTGAGGCTCCTCGGCGGCGCCGGCAAGGTGTCTGTGCAAGACCTTCAGCCAGTCCGGGGACATGAACCGGTGGAAGATCGTCGTGAAGCACAGACTGAGAAGGGTCGCTGAGATTGTGGGCTCCTGAGTGGAGATGATCATGCGGATCCCGAGGTGGCGCTGCAGCCGAACAGCTGACAGAAGGGTGTCGGTGAATTTGCGGGCTTCGATTGAGGCGTTCATATACTACGGTCAATCAGTCATTGATTGGTTCGAATTGCAGAGAAGTAGATAAAGGGAAATGACGAAGAGAACAACAACTGAGGGGAGGCGAGTGACCTTATGGGCCTCATCTAACCCAACCACCCGCGCCGTTTCCGGGGCTTGCTCGAGGAAAAAGGTCAGACAGACATTGAATATCTTGATTGTGTGCAAATTTGTCGGGGAACACAGTACGCGCATCTCGACGTCGTCGTGCGAGGAGAGGAAGGCCGCCTCGCATGGTGAGCCAGCCCTATCGCTGATGAATGCATCATAATGGAACACCAGACCTGTCAAGGGACTGGACAAGTTCCCAGCCTTGGACGTGATGAGGCAGTTCTCCAAGATACAGGACAGGGTGTGGCTCTTTCCGGAGCCCTGGGCGCCGCAAATGAATGTACTAGATGGGGGCTTGATGTTGAAAAACATGCGACAATCATCATCGGCCTCGGGGTCTCCCCTGTCCTCAATGATTCTTGCTAGCAGACCATACTACGTAGTCTAGGGTATACCCTCGGGGGTTGTTTCCCGCTTGAACGCACAACTCGTCACGAGAGGGGCCAGATACTCTTCTCACAAGCTCCTGTGGTGGATCTGTGGATCCGAGGAGCGTGGAGTGGTATTCGAGGATCTCAATCTCTCGAAAACGGGATGTTCAGCAGCGCCTTGGGGCTTGCCGAACGAATAGGCTCGGATGAAAGGTGATTCTCCGTGACTGTATGATTGAATTGTGCATTCATTCTGTGTCTCAAGGTCCTCGTATTGCAAAAACGAAGACCGAGGCCTTGCTTGTACTCAACACATCCGGCAAGCAGATTCAATTCTACTTCCATATTTTTTGCAAAGCATATGACGATGGGCTAGGCCTTCGGTCGAACTGGCTGATGACGAGAGATGGATTTCAGCACCACTTCCATGTCGGCAACTAAAAGTGTTGTTAACTCATGGTCGCAGAGGGACTCTTGAATTGTCAATGATTCCTGGCCTCTGATCGCATTGTCCGCATGCTCTAGACCGAGGAGCAGGGCTTATTAGCATGGGTAGTTATGCACATACGACGAAAGACCTGAGGGGGTCATAAGATTGCGGCGGGAGCTTGCACGGTACAACCGGGAAAACTGGTACGACTAGGTCGCACCGTACTATAGTATGGGACTATGAATCATTCAGTGTTGCCCGAACGTAGAGGATGGCTATTATTAGTATGAAAGCTTCAAGTTCACTAAGGATAACGTGTGTAGGGTTGACTTCGGCAGATGCCCGGTGCATGTCACTAGAGACAGCTCTTCATGCCTCAGGGTGCCCCTCTTTGCAACCCTAGTTATACCTCTGTTGGAGGGGTCTTGAGTCCATCTATTTCTCCTTGCTGCATAACCTTGAGTCTACCCTACGTAAGCTACTTGCATACTCATAGCCGTTTTGCTCGATCGGAATTGGCATAAAAAACATTAGCCAAGACGAGAGAATCCTTCCTACCTTCCTATGGCAGGGGCTAAACGAGAACCACAAAGCCACATCAGCTACAAACATAATGAATCTTAGTGACTCTATTCAGGGGCTCATCCAGCCCTCTCACTCAATGTCATAGGTAGTAACTGTCATGCACCTCACCCTCCTGCACTTTCATCGACTCCAGCTCATCTAGCTTCGGTTTAAGGTGAACAACTAATGTACGGGAACACTTGGGAGGTTGAACGGATCTCAGTGGGGACAGGCAAGCAGTATGGACTGTACGTACACAGTAGGTTATGAAAGCTGGTGCTGTAGTAACGGGTCAATCTAAGTGTAGGTAAGTTTCTAAGTCGCGGTATACTGTTTCTGCAGCTCCGTACTTTTCACCGATCGCGTGCAGGCTTGAAATGACGTGATATCTTCCTGGCTGGGGAAGAATTCTTTTTTTTTTTTTTTTTTCCGGATCGGCGCAATGTAGATACCTTATATTATATCATTCACTTGTACCCTCTGACGGTGTGCTTGTTCGTTTCCCGGGATATATATTCCCAGATCCAGCATGAGCCCACGGAATCACATTTGCTTACGATAATTAGCCTTTCATCCACGGGGGCAATTTTACACTCATACATACAGACCACAGCATATAGCCAGCAAGCTCTACGCTAAAAACATGCTGTACTTTCTCTATAATGTTGTATGATTCAAATCGAACTTCTTTAATGCGTGCACGATATAGTACAGGTACATTCAGGAGTAAATACATACGACCACAGGGTGTGGAAAACAGGGCTTCCCGTCCGCTCAGCCGTACTTAAGCCACACGCCGGGAGGTTAGTAGTTGGGTGGGTGACCACCAGCGAATCCCTTCTGTTGTATGTTTTTGCCTTTAGTCTAATCAACTGGGCTTTTTTTCCGGTCGGCTAAATCAAGGCGTCGATTTATTCTAGACAAAGCAGTTGTGGAGGGGGAGGGAATTAAGGCCAACCGCGGATGCCAGCCCGCAAACTCTTACACTTACCAAAGATACTCCTAAACCTTTTCCCAAAAAGAAGAGCAAAATTAAAAAAGGAAAAAAAGGAGAAACGAAGAGAAGGAAAAGAATAAAGAAAGGAAAATAATGTGACTATGGAGTACGGCCGGTATGCTGCTGGTCTAGTCCACCATCTCGCCTACCTTACGGCTGGCGCGACCGCATACGCGACCAGCGCAGTTCTTACGGTCTCACAGCCGAAGAAGTCCCCAGCTTATTGTAACTGATATAGATCATAACAAGAACTGATAAACGCTCCACATGCCATGGACACGGGCTGTCATCAGGCGGTGTCTGGTCACAAGCTCCTAGTATGCGTTACTAATCTACTCCAGCTCGCGAGGTGTGTTTGAGCCTGTTCTCGATCCAAGTACAGTACTGTAGTGCTTCGCAACCTTACGAGAGGCTCAGCTCTAAGGGCGACGAATGCTGACTAGCAGAATATTCTGCTAACAATAAGCATTTTGTGTTCTAGCCCCTCTCAGAGGAACGTGTTCATACATCACCGAAGGTGTCTTGGAAGGGGAAAAAGGTACCAGGGGCTAGGGGAAAGTGAAAGTACAATTGGATCTCTCTCAAGGACTTAGATCCCCGTCCTGATGTAGCCGCGGTGCATGCAGAATGGTCGATATGGTTTATAGTTCGCCATCTCGGAAAGTTGCTCTGCGAGCTTGTGTTCTAGAAAAGTATCTAGTTCTCTGGTGATGAAAGGAAGGCGATTCTTGATATAGCTATGAGAAGAGGTTGGATGTAGGAGAAGAAGGATCCGGACTCTGGAGTCTCAAGAGAAATGGAGTACTCTTTGATATTCACTGCACCCATGAATAAACACAGTGCGCATAAGTGGCTTACGTGGTCTGAGTTGTTTTATGCCATCCCGTGATATCACTAGCTATATCACATGACCTGATGGTCAGGCAGCCGCAAAAGCTACCAGGCAGAATCCACGCAGCGGGTTCCTCTGGACTGCCGCAGCCCGGGAACGAAAACCCCGCCGGAGGTTTCTTTCCCCGGGCCGAGTTGCAACCCCATACCTGAGGATGAGGTGCCTTGGTAAAGAGTCGATTGTGGCAAGGACTTGAATGATAGTAGAGCAGGTGATATTTGCGGTCTGAATGATGCAGACGGGGGTAATGGTGTGAATCTAATAGCTGTCTATTTCTCTACCATCACCCTCATCAAGTCTGATTAGGATCGGAATGCCGTCAGGTCAGTGGACCAGAAATATATTTCCCCGCTATTGGTAGAATGACGCTCAGGGAATCAGATACCGAACAAGCGCTCAGCCCCATTGCCTGCGAGCCATGCAGGCAAAAGAAATGCAAGGTCAGTCGAACAGGAAGAACGAGACTCAGAGAGTAGACCGTGGGAACACCCTTCTAACTCCAACGTGTGCCAGTGCGACCGCACGCTGTATGTGACTCCGCTCTATAGATTCTACCGGACATGCTCGATCTAAGCCCAACTAACCGGCCTCCAGTCCAGTCTGCACACAATGCTCCCCCGATCCATCCAAGTGTGTCTACCCAGAAAGCGGTAAACGGTAAGGAAGATCGTGTCGCAGTATTTGTGCTGGGGTGCTGACCTGAGTCAGAGGGCTTCCCCTTGGATATCTTAATCTGATCGAACAGCGGCTTGCCGACACCGAGCAAGCGTTATTTGAGGCCCTCACCACTATCCGCGAGCTCAATGCTTCGCACGGAGGCATGGTGGTGCAGACCACCCGCAAGGCCGCTGATATGCGCCCCAAGAATGCGCGCATGCAGGAGTGGTCCCAGTTGCCATTGAGCGGGTGGGCGGAGCGCGAACGATGGCGAGAAGCGAAACAAGATCACTACCAGTGTGAACGAACCGTGGTCAAGTCGCCACCGGGGGTAGAAGTGCCGCCGTCGAACGTGTATGAGATGCCGCGGGGAATCTCCGCCGCCAGTCTTCCCAGCAGGGGCAGTGTAGGGCCGGCGGAGTCAGTATCGGTCGCGGAGTCAGTATCGCCAGAGCGGCGGAGGGCGGATCGGGCAGGGGAAGTGGCGCGGCGATATCCTTCGTTGTACTTTTGATTAGTGCTAGGATCTATATGTTTTATGCTTGCAGATCCTACTGCAGCAACAACCCCCGATGGTCTAGTTGGTTCATGGCGTTCGGCTGTAATGGAAATTGTAACCGAAAAGTCACCAGTTCGATTCTGGTTCGGGGGATTGCCTTTTTGCGCCCACCGGCCCACCTACTACTTTTTGGCATAGTAAGTAGGCTCTGAGTTGGGCTCGCAACCAACTCTATCCTACTCAGTACAGCCCTTCTTCGCTCTGTTCCTGTTGCCTCTGACGGATTGAACTATAACTTCACCCGATTCGCACATAATGCCGATACTGCATGGTCATCTACCTACTACGAACCTTAGAAAAAATCACCCGGACAAACTCAAGTCAGCGGGGATGTTTGCATCTTTTGCAATCCTCGTAGTCTTCGTCTTCGGGGTCAATCTGCTCCCCTTCGCAACAAACAATCAATCCGTCAATCGCGTCCACACAAACCTGCCTCTACTCCGGACTAAACTCTCGCACGTTATCCACCGCACTATTCAATTACCCCACAGGGCTGCATCGATCGTCATCATTGTCCAGATGCAAACCCGTCCCGACCATCCGTGTGGAACCGGAGATGTCTTGCTCCGATATGCGGAGGTGTGCATGTCCGGCTTCCCCCCATCTGAGATCAAGGAGGGGAAACCTTTATGAGGGGCGACACGCTGGGGCTGGAGATACGATATAAACCTCGATCGACGCGCTGATACCGACTTCTTCTCTCCTCTCATCACTCTCATACACACACCCCGCACACAGTCACCATGTCTTCCAAGTCTTACAGCATCGCCTCCATCCCCGCCGATGGCATTGGCCCCGAGGTCGTCGAGGCCGGTATCACTGCGCTGAACGCCTTGGCCGATACCCTCAAGACCTTCAAGCTTGAGTTCACCAACTACGACTGGAGCTCCGAGACCTATAAGAAGACCGGAAAGTACATCCCCGATGGCGGTCTCGACTCCCTCAAGCAGCACGACGCCATTCTTTTCGGTGCCGTCGGCGCTCCTGGTATGTTGACTTTCCCTACTTCCCCGCATATGGAAAGTTAGCTAAATCTTCTACTACTAAACAGACGTCCCCGACCACATTTCCCTCTGGGGTCTCCGCCTGGCCATCTGCCAGCCCTTTCAGCAATACGCCAACGTCCGCCCCACCAAGGTCTTTCGCGGTACCCAGTCCCCGCTCCGCAACTGCAAGACCGGCGACCTCGACTGGGTTATTATTCGCGAGAACAGCGAGGGCGAGTACGCCGGCCAGGGCGGTCGCTCCCACACGGGCAAGCCCTGGGAGGTCGCCACGGAGACGGCCATCTTCTCCCGCGTCGGTGTCGAGCGCATCATGCGCTTCGCCTTTGAGGTCGCCCAGAAGCGCCCCCGCAAGCTCCTGACCGTGGTCACCAAGAGCAACGCCCAGCGCAACGGCATGGTCCTCTGGGATGAGGTCGCCAAGGCCGTCGCCAAGGACTTCCCCGATGTTACCGTCGACAAGATGCTGGTCGACGCCATGACCACCCGTATGGTCCTCAAGCCCGAGACCATTGACACCATTGTCGCCACCAACCTGGTGAGTTGAGCCTTTCTCCCCCTGCCTTACAACAAGACCAAACTAAACTAACGGCCCAAACAGCACGCCGATATCCTCTCCGACCTGGCCGCCGCGCTGGCGGGCTCCATCGGCATCGCCCCCACCTCCAACCTCGACCCCACCCGTCAGAACCCCTCCATGTTTGAGCCCATCCACGGCTCGGCCTTCGACATCACCGGCAAGGGTATCGCCAACCCCGTCGCCACCTTCTGGACCGCTGCCGAGATGCTCGAGTGGCTCGGTGAGGCGGACGCCTCCAAGAAGCTGCTCACCGCTGTCGAGAACGTGTGCGAGGCCGGCGTCCTGACCGCCGATCTGGGCGGCAAGGCCAACACCAAGGAGGTCACCAACGCGGTGGTGGCCGAGATCAAGAAGCTGTACGGTTGAGGGCTGTACATATATACCACGGATTGATGTCATTAGCATGAAAATAGATTTCCTTGTTCATATAGTGGGGTTCGTCCATTGACTTACAGTAAACTAACCATTGCGATCCACATTGCATAGGGGCCGATAGTCTGACCATAAATGAGAGGACGAAAGAGTGTTACTGCGTGGCTGTGGTGAGCTCCAGGCCAAGGTGCATTTGTAGAACTGAAGCTCACAGAGCATTGAACCTGAATGCCCACATCTTCTGTTGCATCCCTTCGCGGACCTTCTGTGTCTTGATTGCTCCTCCGGCAGGCAGGTAAAATGACCTCGACAAATACCCACTCTGCCACGATCTACCGCTTTCGCCTCGCAACGTCCTCCGTGGCTGCGGTGGCTTAACCTGTGGCTGGACCCGCAAAAGCCATCTGCTCACAGTCATAGAAGCATAGTAAACTTGAAACAAAATAGTCTATCTATGAATTTCTATCATGCCGCTGCCCATGACAGAGACACGAGCAGCACAACACAAATCTAATTTTACAAATAAATATAACACAAGGGAGTTCCCGCCGTCGTGTCCAAGATATCATAAATCTCGCGGGAGGCGGTGAGGTTGCCCATCCAGAGGGTGTCGTGGATGGTGGTGTTGGGGCCGGGGATGAGCCCATCGATGAAGTCGGGGCCCTTGACCACGTAGGTGCGGTTGGCTGGGTTCAGGTTCTGCCAGATCCAGAAGACGCGGTCGATCATGCCGTGGTGGACGTAGAAGGCCGGGTCACCGGGGGAGGCGTAGAGGTCCTGTTGGTTCAGGTTGTTAGTGAGGATTGATAAATGGAAGAGAACTGGCGAACGGTACATACACCACCAGGGTCACCGCCGATGGTGAAGTGGCCGGCCGTGTGCACGCCCAAGAACCCTTCCTCGAAGAACCCTTGCATGGTCCACTCGAAGCACGAGATATCGTCGCAGTTCTGGATCAGGTCCATCACGTCGCTGGTCTTGGTCCAGCCCTGCGCGGCGACCGGCGAGATATCGCGGCGCAGACAGCGCGGGTTGTAGTCCAGGCCGGTGCCGTTCTGGGCCACCAGGCCGGGGATCTGCAGGGTGGGGTCGACGGGACCCAGGTTGACGGTCATGCTAGAGTGTGGTACGTTAGACCTGGACGAACTGGGGGGGGTGGGAGAGCTAGGGAAGGTCAGGGTAAGGCTTACTTGGCGAAAGGACCGTTGGTGACACAGCCGCCGCCCACACCCGGGGGAAGAGTGGTGTAGGCAGTGGCCGGGGTGCCGTTGTGAGCAACATAGTCGCCGTTACCGGACATACTGTACTCGGTGCCATCGAAGAGAGGCGAGTTGATCGGGTTGTTCACGTATTTGTTCCAGGCCCAGTAGGGCTGGTAACCATCGTAGCCACACTCGTCGCGCAGAGCGGTCTCGTAGGCCCAGGTGAACAGCCGGTGCCAGGTGAGGAAGTTACCCTGCATCCGATCAGCTGGGAGAGAATTAATCTGAAGGAAGCAAGACGTCTTACAGTGCCATGAATCCACAAGGTCTGGTTGATGTGCACCGCGACGAAATCATCGAAACGGTTCCGGGCACCAGGAGCGAAGCTGGGATCGGACTTGGGGGGCTTGCTCATCAAGCACAGCACCGCATCGGTATACTTCTTCCGATCTGCGGGTGCCAAAGAGGACCTGGTGTTTCATGTGAATGAGTTGGCGAACTCTCCTAAGCTTAGCGTGGGAAGGCAAAACATACCACTCGCGACGAACTGCCGCATTCTTGATGTTGCAGGTCGAATTGGAGCCATGAGCGGCCTCATAGGCCAACTTAGTGGCCAAAGCTTTGCTGGAGAGCTTATCCACGGCATCGGGAGTGCCGAGGATGGCAGCGGCTGGCGAAGCAGCCAAAGCAGCCACAGCCGCAGTGGACAGGAGGGAGAACTTCATGATAGCAGCAGTCACCGGACGGGAATGAACTGAGCGGGCTGACAGAGGTACAGAAAAGCTGGTCGCCAACTACCTCTATATAGTCCCGTCCCTGGGACCTTCTTCTTTGCCCCTGATAAGACAAGAATACCAAGGAAAGGCGGCTGCCTCGTGGGAAAAAGAAGCTAATCAGCCCATGTGGTCGTCTGGAGGTCGGAACCGGGCGAATAGCCCTAAGAGAAACTCCCCAAATGGCACCAGTTGGGACGACAACGTCTTAGTCGCTGCACCGTCGGCAACTAAAGTGCGAAGCATACGCATGGTTCCTGCCATACAATGCAATTTTAGACAGTTCTAGCCGGAATTCGAACCGATAGTGGGGGGCTTGCTTTGTTCGCTAAGGGTCTTTTCGTTTCCGAAAGCAGCCGGTATCCTCGGTGACGGTTTCCGTCTGCTTGTCTCTACAACTCGAGACTTCGTCTGTTTGTTCAAGATGTTATCGACTGAAGAGAGATCGTGCAATCATCTACTCCCCGGATTCAACGATTGACCTGTCATAGTGGTGGCAAATCAATTATCTCGAGGACGGGCTGAACGTGGCCAAGCGTGGACAGGGGTCCCTGCGCCGCCCGCGCTTTGAGTCGACAAATTGCCTCCCACCCCGGTTGGGAGCCAGGGACACCCCTGACTGGATGAGCACTCAATTGTTCCTTGAGCGCGGGAAAGCGATGGCGCCGGTGGCCGAGAATTGATAATTAATATATTTTAATCTATGTTAGTGCTTATTAGTGGGTCCGTTAGCACCACTTCGTCGGCCGCACTACGCTCTTAGCCGCTGTCATCCGTCTTCCCCGATTTGACAACCTGACTCCGGCCGGAGGAAAAGAGGAACACGAAATGGAGTCCGAAATGGAGTCCGGTGGAGTGCGAGATTCAGGGAAATGTGCGATTGCTGGCCTGTGAGTTCGATCTTCCCTCCCTCCCACGGTCGAACCCTCCCGTGATCGTCCGGATCGTCTCGTTGTCCACCCCAAACACCAAGTGTATGTCTTGCATGGGGTCCAGAGTCTATCTAGATGATGGCTCTGGTCGACCACGCCGTTGTGGGATTGCTGAACACTAGAGGGTGCATGAAGGATGCCTGCCACGTTGCCCCTGCAGCGCCACGCGAAGCAATAATTACCGGCCTCGGGGGCTTCTGGAGCCTGGCGTGAGCAAAATAGATGAGAAAGTGACACTAGAGTCTTCATTATCCCTGCTAGCCTGGCCAAAGAGGAGATTTGAGGAGGGTCTTCAGACCTTTCGAGCCCATCGGCCGGACAGCCGAGGCTAAATGATTCGCTTAGTCCTCGAGTGCCGCCCACCTTCTATCCTGCTCCAGACCTCCCGGCCTGGTTCCCCAAGTGGATGGAACTTCCGAAGACGTAACATTCTACTGTGCACGGAATGAGGGATCGGAGAAGGATCGGAAATTCAGGCCCGGATCGTGCAGAAGTCGTTCTTGGCTGCGCCTCGTACACGGTCGACCGTCCCTTGTGATTCCTGTGGAAGACTGCACAGGCAGGAAGCAAAAAAGGACTACTCGTCCTAGCATTCCTCTCTCCATGTATCAACTCTTCATCGCTGTTCATGGCTTGCTGTCACTGTGTTTAGTGACTCTCTCTTCGCCGAAATGACGGCGGTTCCCCTCTGGCCGCGAACTGGGGCCAGCTCCTCCCACGCCCCGACCATCTTGGCAGTGGTTGGGACGTTGTCGGGCCTGTCCACGCTGATCGTGCTGCTACGGTGCTATGTGCGCGGACTGGTTCTGCGGAAGTTCAATGCGGAGGAGTACAATATACTTGGGGCGTGGGTAAGTGGACTCTGGTTTGATCTGCATGGTTCGTGATGGAGAAGATCGACATGTTCTAATCAGTATACCCTCACGCAAGCTTTGCGCTGTGGGAGTACTCGTTTGCTTCGTGGTTGAAACCCAGCATGGCGTCGGTCGTTACAACAAAGATATCTCCGATGAGGATCTTGGGTACCTGGCCAAAGTGGTTTATTTCCATTCCATCATTGTCATGGTTGGCCTTAGCTTGGTCAAGATCTCCCTGGCAATCTTCTTGCGACGATTCGCGCAGAGTTGGCTGCGAAAAGCCTTGGTTGGCTCGATTGGTTTGTCGGCTTCTCACGCCTGGGTCTTGATCCTGCTGCTCATCCTCATAGTCTTCTTAATCGCCTTCACTGTTGCTTGTGCATTGACTTTGATTCTTGAGTGTATCCCGGTGGCTGCGGCATGGGATTACAGCCTCAGGGCCAATGCTCGCTGCTTTGATTCCAACACTTTCACGGCTATCGGGTTGTGGAACAGTAGTGCGTTTCCTCCCCGCGCCATGTCACCCGTTTTTCTATTTGCAGAGGCTCACATCGATCGCATTCTAGTTACCAACCTCGTGACGGATGTTATCTTTGCGACATTACCAGTGCCGATGTTCATCAAGATTCAGGTCAACCGACGGACCAAGGCGTCGCTGATTGGGGTGCTGAGCTTGGGATACTTGTACGTGAAAATGCTCTTGATACACGGGGACTGAACTGATCTGGGCCGAATCTAGAGCGTGTGTCGCTGGGGTCATTAAAATTGTCGCTCAGATCAAAGTGCTCAAGGAGACAGATGTGTACCGGTAAGTAACGGTCTAGGGCTGGTGTTGAGATGCCCCTTTGCTCACGCAATCTGCAGAAATGACACGTTCATGGTGTGGAACTGGTATGTGGTAGCCATCCTGTGATCTGCTCGAGACTCAAGACTGACAACAGGGATTAGCGTGGAATTGAACGTTGCGATCATCGCCGCATGCTTACCGAGTCTCAAAACCTTGGTGAAATCGCTGCTGGATAGCACGCGTAATCTGACCAGCGGGCGACGCAACGCATATGGCAATTACTACCCTGAATATTATGGCCAACGCAGCGCCGACGTCACGCTCAAGTCGATGGCGCCACGAGCGCCCCATTCGATGTACAATATCACGGTGGAGGGAAGTTCCGATGGAGACTCGAATAGCGCGCACAGTGGCAACCGCGAGGAGGATGAACAGCGCTTGCATCGCTCAGAGATTGGCATCTTGAAGACGACCGAGGTGGTGGTGCATACGCAGCAATAGACTGCTAGACTGCCACCAACTGTACATATTCGATCGATGATAGGTATATAAGCTCTTTCTTTTGTTCCATGCATGTGCCACCGCTCTTTCAATTGGCCAAGTACGCGCAGGACAGCCAACGGTATGAAGCGAGACGTGTTCAGCGCGCTGATCCGAGCAAACATGGGGTTCTTGGCGGGCGTTCCACCCCTTGCATTGCGCAGTGGTTATCTTGGACAGAGTGATACGGTGTGTCGTCGACAGCTAGCCTGGGCCTGATGAGGGTCACTCTTATATGGTGGCGTGAGGAGGAGGATGGGAGGACTGGAGGACTAGAGGACCAGAGGACTTCACGTCGCGCTCTTCATCGTCATCTCGTCACCCTGGACTGGAAACCGATAGTAAGAAGTATATCAGCAGAAGCCATTCTGAAGCAGTACCTTGATATGGTACTTAGTGTACTTATGAAAGAAGATGGAAGAAATACCTCAAAAGAAACAGGCCAGCAATGATGGCTGCCATCGATCAGGATATTCGGAAGAGGAGGAGGAGCAGGTGGTGAGGAAAATCGACCGGTTCATTTTGCCGATCTTGTGTTCGGTTTTCTTCTTCCAATGTTAGTCACCCTCCCTTCCTCATTTCACCTTCACCTTCACCTTCTTCTTTCTGACTCACCCCCATCCCACCAGATCTAGACAAGCATGGCTTGAATTATGTCTCGGTGTTTGGCCTCATCGACGATCTCTCTTTGCAGGGCTCCGAATACTCCTGGTGCTCCTCTATTCTATTCCTTGGTATGACTTCAATTCGACAGGCGATGCAAAGTTGACAGCCTTCCAGGACAGCTGGTGTCGGAGTATCCGTTAATTTACCTGATGAGTCGCTTGCCCTTGACACGAGTGGTTGGCGTCACCATGTCGGTTGAGTCTCAGAGCCTCAATCACTATAGGGTTCTATTCTAACCTCTTTCTCCTGATCCAGTATTCTCTGGGGAGCAGTGTCGATGTGCCTGGCCGCCACCCAGGATTTTGCTGGCTTTGCCGCTCTGCGGTTTCTCCTCGGCTTGAGTGAAGGAGCCGTCGGTCCAGCTTTCGTGACTTTGACCAGTGTCTGGTACCGAAAGAAAGAACATGCTCTGCGCGTTGGGTGAGGCGACACAAGCGATCCTGCTAGAAGAGTGCTAATCTCCTAAAATCCAGAGTTTGGGTTACGATGGGTGGACTGGCTCAGGTGCTTGGCTGTCTACTTATGTACGGAATCGGACGATCATCAACGCCCGGAAGCCTCGCGCCCTGGAGGACTCTGTTCCTCATCTGCGGAGCCTTGACATGCGGCTTTGGGGTAATCTTCATCTTCGTCGTTCCTGTTTCGCCAGAGAAAGCATGGTTTCTCTCTCCGCGCGAAGTGGAGGTTCTCGAAGCAAGGATGGCCCTGGATCGGGACGCTGGCGATCTCACTCAGTTTTCGGGCGCACAAGTTAAGGAGACGCTGAGAGATATCCGAGCGTGGTCTATGTTCATCTTCGGGGTGTTGGTGACTATGCAATCCCCAGTGCTCACAGTAAGTCAGGTCTCTGTTTTAGTGGTAGTGTCGTCCCGCCATGACTGACAGTAAGCCCAGTTCGCCTCCCTTATCATCAAGAATCTGAACTACACTAGTCTCCAGACTATGTTGTACACAGCACCCTCGGGAGCGGTGCAGATCCTGGCGATTTGGGCCAGTCTCGCGGGATGCTACCTACTTCCCAATAACCGATGCTTGGTGGTGATGGTGATGACCATCCCTCCCCTGGTCGGAAACATTCTCCTCCTCAAATTGCCACTCACTGCTGGATGGGCCTTAATTGTCGCATCCTGGTTGGTAAGACATCTTTTGCAAGAACCGTACGGATGCTAGGACTGACGCACTACAGGCTTCATGTCAGCCTAATATCATAGCTGTGGTGCTGAGCCTCAGCGCCTCAAACGTCAAAGGGAACACCAAGCGTTCCATGGTCAATGCCTTATTTTTCATAGGATCCTCGATCGGAAGCATCGCAGCTCCTCAGCTTTGGAAACCCAAAGCCGCACCGAGGTTCTTTGAGGGTGTGGTGACGGGAATTGTCACCTGGGGCCTGCTCATCGGGGCACTGAGTCTGTACTGGCACATCTGCCGGTCGGAAAATCGTCAACGAGATCAAACCCAGATTCCTTCACCCGGGTTCACCTACCACACTGGTGAAGATGTCACCGATATCCAAGATCCTCAGTTCCGATATAGTTACTAAGGGATCGTTCACCACCTGTGCGACCGAGGTGGAAACCTCGAGGATTCGAACTATGTTTCGCTACTTATGCCTCACCATTCGACCAGTCCTCCCCAGATCTAGATGCTCTAATGTGGCTTACGGCACTTAGATATGGGCGGCAATCACTGCGGTCGTAGGTATGCTCCGCGCGCAGTGGGAGGCCGGGCATAATACCAGGCCCAAGGAAAGGACACGAGCCACATCAATAGACTCAAGAGACTGGAGATACGTGCAGGAACTACTGGCCGATCATCTTTCTTCATAGCTTATTCCCGATGAAACCATACCAGGTGTGGCAAGTGATCGGGGCAATTCTCCCACTGCTTCAAGTGTCGATCACCGACTGACGAAGCCGCAGAGTAACTCCGTATGGACCAGCCCCAGAGGGGCTACCTCCGCTATTTTGACACTCATAAATTCTTAAATGCCGGATAAGATGAAGCGGCCCCAGCAAAATTACCGACGTACAGTAGAAATTGCTTGGCTATGACTGCCAATCGGCCTTCACTTTGTGTGGGGATCTGCAGGGACTCCTTACATCTTCGGAGTAATAAGCCTCGGATGCTTCTTGCCTGCGGAAATGCACGTCGATCCCAGGTGCTCCACGCTCCAAGCTCACCGATCAATACTCTTCGGCAGGATTTATGGGGAGGAATATTCAGTTGATGCAAATGACACTGTAAGGAAAGGGATAGTTGGTATAGTTTTAAAAGGCTGCCAGAAGCCGCTCGATTTGGGTTGAAGAGAATAAACCAAGTGTCTGTTCAACACCCACAACACGCCTCAATTCACTGAAGAGATCAGCCGCTGTCACACCTGCGCCTCTCGCTATTCACCATGGCTATAACCACTCACCAGAACGAGCCCATTGCCATTGTGGGCAGTGCCTGTCGTTTCTCGGGCGGAGCATCGTCGCCCTCGAAGCTGTGGAGTCTCCTTCGCAACCCTCGCGATATTCGCAGCGTGATCCCCAACAGTCGCTTCAATGCGGACAACTACTATCATCCTGATCCAGCGTACCATGGCCACAGCAATATCCGGCATTCCTATGTGCTGGACGAGGATGTCACCGCTTTCGACACCGAATTCTTCGGGATCAAGCCGGTAGAGGCGAAGGCCATCGACCCTCAACAACGTCTTTTGATGGAAACTGTCTACGAAGGTCTCGAGTCGGCTGGCCTGACAATAGATGCTCTCAGGGGTAGTGACACCGGTGTCTATGTTGGACTCATGTGTGGTGACTACGAGGCCAGCTTGCTACGTGATCGTAAGTGCACTTGCCATCCTCCTGGTTTCCTCCGGCATATGAGTCAACTGACACAGGAGGCCTGTAATAGCAAAAACTGCTCCAGTCTACGCTGCTACCGGAATTGGACGGAGCATTCTGTCGAACCGTGTCTCGTACTTTTTTGACTGGCACGGGCCATCGATGACCTTGGATACCGCCTGTTCCTCCAGTCTGGTGGCTGTCCACCTGGCCGTGCAGTCGCTCCGAGCTGGGGAGTCACGGATCGCTCTGGCTTGTGGATCTAATCTACTGCTGGGTCCAGAGAATTACATTATGGAAAGCAAGCTGAAGATGCTGTCTCCCGACGGTTAGTACTAAGAACTTTAACTTCCAGAACGGATGGGCTGACCTAAATGACAGGCCGCAGTAAGATGTGGGACAAGGATGCCAACGGCTACGCCCGTGGAGATGGTGTTGCTGCGTGCGTTTTGAAGACTCTTAGTGCCGCGATTGAGGATGGAGATGACATCGAGTGCATCATTCGCGAGACTGGTTTTAATCAGGACGGAGCCACCACCGGTATCACTATGCCCAGCGCTGCTGCCCAGCAGGCCTTGATCCGTGCGACCTATGCCAAAGCGGGCCTGGATTTGGAGAAGGCGTCCGACCGGCCTCAATTCTTCGAAGCGCATGGGACAGGTACGCCTGCAGGAGATCCGATCGAGGCCGAAGCCATCGCGAGGGCCTTTTATGGTAAGAACTTCGGCACCAAAATCACGGATGACCGTCTCTATGTGGGCTCGATCAAGACCATCCTCGGACATACCGAAGGTACAGCAGGTTTGGCTGCTTTACTCAAGGCGTCGCTAGCTCTTCAGCATTCGACTGTACCACCTAATATGCTCTTGAACAACCTAAGCGACCGGGTGGCTCCTTTCACTGCAAACCTGGAAATACCCTCCACGGCCAAGCAATGGCCTCAAGTCGTCCCTGGCCAGCCACGACGAGCCAGTGTGAACAGTTTCGGCTTCGGCGGTGCCAATGCCCATGCTATTCTGGAGAGCTACGAGCGCCCTCGGCTGATTGAGGATGGGATCCAGCATCAGTTTACCCCCTTTGTGTTCTCCGCCCTCACCCGTCAATCGCTGCGTGAAAGCCTTTCCGCGTACGCTGATTACATCCAAGAAAACCCATCCCTCAATCTGCGCGACCTGGCATACACCCTGCAGCAACGTCGGTCTGAGTTCCCTTACCGCATTTCCTTTGCTGCTGCATCGGCCGATGACTTGGTGGCAAAGATCCGGGGTGAATTGGAAGCAACCAAGGCTGAAGATTTGGGCGTGAGACTGCCACCTCCCTCGGGAGGAAAGAAGCCGAAGGTTCTCGGCATTTTCACCGGCCAAGGAGCGCAGTACGCTCGCATGGGCGCTGAGCTGATTGAGAAGTCCGCCACAGCTCGGAAGATTGTCCAGGACCTGCAAGCTCACATTGAGCAACTTCCCGAGGAGATTCGCCCTGACTTCTCACTCGAGCAGGAGCTTCGCGCGGCCGCTAATTCCTCGCGGGTCTTGACGGGTGCTTTCTCATTCCTCTCCACCGTTGTTCAGATTGTGTTGGTGGATCTCTTGAAGCTTGCAGGGGTCCATTTTGATGCCATCGTCGCTCACTCCTCGGGTGAAATGGCTGCAGCATACGCGGCCGGTCACTTGAGCGCGCGAGACGCAATGTGTGTGGCGTACTTCCGTGGTCGATTTGCTTCGAAGATGGAAAGTCCCAACGGACCTCACATTAAAGGAGCTATGATCGCGGCTGGTCTGTCTCCAGAAGATGCGCAGGCTCTGGTAGACGACGAGCTCTTCGCCGATCGCCTCTGTGTTGCCGCTGTCAACTCATCCTCTAGTGTGACCATCTCGGGTGACGAGGACGCCGTTGATGAGATCAAAACGATTCTAGACGATGAGAACAAGTTCAACCGCAAGCTTCGTGTCGACCGAGCCTACCACTCCAACCACGTATCGCGACGTCTTGCCGATTATGTCGCCTTGGTCAAGTCGGCAGGTGTCCGCGTCATCAAGCCAACATCGAACAACTGTCTCTGGATCTCGAGTGTGTATGGCCGCGAGGTTATAGCAGACATGAACCTCAGTGATGAATACTGGGGCGCAAGTGTCGCTCGGTCTGTGCAGTTCTATCAAGCTCTCAAGCTTGCTCTTGAAGGAGGCGAATACCAGGCTGCAATCGAAGTCGGCCCTCATCCGGCTTTGAAGGGACCCGCATTGCAAACCATCCAGGAAGTCTTAGGTAAAAGCATTCCATACTATGGTGTGCTCAACCGGGGATCGGATGCTGCGGTCAGCCTGGCTTCGAGTCTCGGATCTCTGTGGTGCCATCTCGGGGGGCAGAACCTCGACTTGACTGGATTTGATCTTGCGGTGAATGACGACAAGTCCACCCTCCGCGTGGTCAAGGGCCTTCCAAGTTATAAATGGAACCATGATGCCTCTTACCGTCATGAGTCGCGAGCATCAAAGAAGCACCGTTCTCAAATCCAGCAATTCAACCAGTTGTTGGGGACCATGAAGCCGGAGAGCGCAGCTCACCATTTGAGCTGGGGACACCTGCTGCGTGCCAGTGAGATCGACTGGGTTTCAGGTCACCAGGTTCAAAACCAGACAGTCTTTCCTGCGGCAGGATACATCTGTACGGCGTTCGAGGGTGCTCGGGTTCTTGCTGGAGAGCGCGATGTTCGTATCTTCGAGTTGAAGAATTTTGTCATCCACCAGGCCTTGACCTTCAGCCAAGACGACGCTGGTATCGAGGTGCAGACCTCACTGTCTGACGTTCGCCACTTAAGCAATAACCACGTCCAAGCCAAATTCACCTACTCCGCAAGCCTCGGAGAGGAGGATCTCGCTCTGGTGGCTGAAGCGGATCTCCATATCATCTTCGGGAAGTCCATGGAGACCACTCTTCCCCGTCGAGCTACCAAGCCAGCTCACATGATCACAGTGGACAATGAGCGTTTCTACAACCTCTTGGCTACGCTGGGCTACGGATTCGAAGGACCTTTCAAGTCTCTGCACACACTTAGGCGGAAGCTGGGAACGAGTGTGTGTGCTGTGAAATCAGTATCGCGCGATACTTTCGGACCGCCTTTGCTGGTGCATCCTGCTGAATTGGATGGTGGCATCCAGTCTCTCATTCTTGCGTATAGCTACCCCGACGATGACCAGCTTCTGAACATGCACCTACCTACCAGCATGAGCAGCATCCGTGTCAATCCCGCTCTGTGCAAGTCCATGACTGACATCACTGTTGACTCGACTCTGGGCTCCACAAAGTCCGCTGGATTTTCGGGTGATGTCAGTATCTACACCAATGACTCCAGTTGTGCAGCAATCCAGATGCAGCGCGTTGAATTGGTGCCCTTGGGTGCTTTGACCGCTAAAGACGATCGCAAGGTCTTCTCCAAATACCAGTGGGTCAAAAACAGCCTTGATGGCGAGCTGGCTGCGTCGGATACCACTGTGACAAAACATCATTCGGAGATCTTGGAGGGATTGGAGCGTATCTCGACCTACTACCTCAAGAAACTAGATGCAGAGGTGCCCGCCGACTCTCCGCTGAGGAGTAAGGATAGTCCTCACAGCCATTATCTTCAATATGCTCGCCACATTGTCAGCCTGATCCGGAATGGAGAGCACAAGGTGGCCAGGAAGGAATGGCTGAAAGACTCCTTGGAAGACCTCCGTGCGGCCACAGAACAATTTTCGGACCTCATCGATTACAGCATGATGCACCTGGTTGGGCAACAGATGCCGCGTGTCTTCCGAGGTGAAACCAATATGCTGGAAGAGATGCGCGTCAGCAACATCCTCGACAACTACTATCAGGGTGCTTTCGGCTCGCGGGAGGCTGGCTTCTGGATTGGCAAGATCATCGCCCAACTAGCAGAGCGCTATCCTCATCTCAACATCCTGGAAGTTGGTGCTGGTACCGGAGGTGCTACGACAAGAATCCTCCAGAACCTTGACTCCAGATTTTTGTCCTATACTTTCACAGACGTGTCCAGTGGTTTCTTCGAGGGTGCTGCGGAGACATTCTCTGCTCACAAGGACCGTATGGTCTTCAAGACCTTTGATTGTGGTCAGGATCCCGTTGCTCAGGGCTACGCTGAGGGAACCTGTGACGTGGTTGTCGCTTTCCTCGTCATCCACGCCACGCCTGATCTGGAGCTCACCATGCGCAACATCCGTAAGCTGCTCAAGCCGGGCGGTTTTCTGATCGTCGGAGAAGGTACCAACAATGGCCAACCGTACGGTAATGCCGGATTTATCTTTGGATCCCTGCCGGGCTGGTGGCTTGGTGCTGACACCGGCCGCCCTCTGTCGCCATTCGTCTCTTACTCCGAGTGGGAGAGACTCCTTCAGAGTAGTGGCTTCTCTGGTATCGATGCAACAGCACCCCAGTCATTTCAGGATATTCTTGGTATGACAGTGTTTGCCGCTCAAGCCGTGGATGACCAGGTTAGCTTCCTGCGCAAGCCTGTCAGTCCTGAAGTTCTGCAAGGTTCCGCTGCAGTTGAGTACCCTATCAAGAAGCTCGTCGTCATTGGGGGAAGCACACCAAAGACCCAATCTCTGATCCGGCCTGTCCAGAGTATTCTCAGAGATACTTCCCTCGAGCTCCACTTCTTTAACAAATTGACGGATGTAGACTTCGATTTGATCGATGCTGATACCACAGTCGTCAGCTTGTCGGAGCTAGACAAGCCTGTCTTCGAAGATATGACACCCGATGAATGGCTCGCTTTCAAAACGCTCTTCTCAGCTCCCATCAAGCTCCTCTGGGTTACCAGTGGTCGGCTTAACGAGGACCCATGGTCTAACATGACAGTCGGTTTTGCTCGTACTGCAGTGTTCGAAGCCCCTGCTCTGCAATTCCAGAACATTGATATCGCAGATTTGAGCTCGTTCCAGCCCGAGAGCCTGGTCGAGAAGATTCTACGCTTCGATGCCTCTGCCTCGTCGGGAAAACACCTGCCGTGGCCATTGGAACCGGAAATCGTTGTCAATGCTGAGGGTGATGAGCTCGTGCCCCGTCTCCGACACATCAAGGCCCGCAATGACCGCTACAATTCAGCTCGCCGCCCGATTACCAGGGAGGCTGACATCTACAAAGCCCCTGCAACCCTGCACAAGGAGGCCGAGGGATGGAAGTTGACAGAGCTGTCACGTTGGGCTAGCCCTCCTGATACCAAGTCTCAAATCAGCCTTGAGATCAGCTATGCTGTGTTGTCGGCCCTTCGCACGCCGCATGGTCATCAGTTCCTTGTTCTAGGAACCGAGCCCGAGAGTCAGGCACGATTCCTGGCTCTTGTGCCATCTCTCTTGTCGGTCATTCATGTGCCTAAGGCTTCGGCAGTTCCGCTGCCCGTTTCGAAGCTAGCCGACGCCGACCTTCTGACTGTACTAGCTGCTCGTCTCGTCGCCATGGCTGTGGTCGACCCTCTCATTGATGGGGATACGGTTGTTGTGCACAACTCCACTGAGCTGCTGGCACGTACCATTGCTAGTCAAGCGGCAAGCAAGAATGTCCGCGCCTTCTTCGTAGCGGACTCGACGCAGGAAAATGTTCCTGTCTTTTGGACCAAGCTTGAGCCTTATCTGACCCAGTCGGAGGTGTCTGATGTCCTACCTCTAGACACGGCTAGCTTTGTCGGCTTATCTAGCGAGCACTCCGAGATCGAGTCAAACATCATGTCTAGCCTTCCTTCACACTGCAGGAAGGAGTCCAGGGCGACCTTGTATTCGTCGGTTGGCTGGGAGAGCAATCCTTCGTCTGCACCATTCCTGGGCCAATTCCTACAGCGTGCTCTGGTCAGTGTGCAGACCGAGGCTGGAAAGATTTCACAAGCGGTATCTCGGACTGTTGGTATTGATGATCTTCTGAACGAGCCAAGCCCTGAAGCGCCGACCACAGTCATCGACTGGACTCTGTCCAGGACCTATCCTGTCCACGTCAGCCGGTTGGACTCGGTTTCGTTCTTCAAGGGCGACAAGACCTACTGGCTGTGTGGTTTGTCGGGCGCTCTTGGTGTCTCTCTGGCCGACTGGATGATCGAGCGAGGCGCGAGATACCTTGTCTTGACCAGCCGTAACCCCAATATCTCCCCCAACTGGATCAAGGCTCATAAGCGAAATGGTGTCATTGTATCTATTGTACGCTGCGATGTGACAAACGAGCCTGCCCTGCGTGCTGCTCATCAGTCTATCTGCGAGACTATGCCGCAGATCATCGGTGTTCTGAACGGAGCCATGGTGCTGAGAGATGTCTCGATCCGCAACATGTCATTTGAACTGATGAGCGAAGTGTTCCGCCCAAAGGTATACGGAAGCATTCACCTGGACCGCATCTTCAAAAACGCCAATCTGGACTTCTTCATTTTATTCTCGTCTATCAACTGTGTCATTGGTAACCTGGGTCAAGCGAACTATGCGGCGGCGAATACTTTCATGTGCAGTCTGGCTGCTCAACGTCGCAAGCGCGGCCTGGCAGCTACTGCTTTGAATGTGGGTGCTATTATCGGTGCAGGTTACATGGAGCGCGAGTCCAGCAAGGCTCTTGACTTGACTGTGTCCAAGATGGCGCTGATGCACCTGTCGGAGCAAGATTATCACCAGCTTTTTGCGGAGGGTATCGATGCCGGTCGTCCGGATTCTGGCGACGAGGCCGAGCTCACCACCGGTCTTTTGGATATCCCTGCTGCCGACACGGAGAATGCGCCCAAGTGGCACTCCAACCCTGCATTCTTCGACTTTGTCGTTCACAGAGTCGAGAAGAACGGGACTGACACAGGAAATGAGGTTGTTACCTCGGTCCAGGATCATCTTGCTGCCTGCAAGTCAATCAGCGATGTGCTTGCTGTCGTCAGGGGTAAGTTTCCGCGTATCGCAATTCCATACATTCCATACTAACTAAAGCAGGGAGATTCGCCATGCAACTTCGCAATGTGTTGCAGATGAACACTGCCGACGAGGACTTGATGGCAATGAGGAGCCGTGACATTGGCCTCGACTCCTTGATTTCGGTCGATATCCGTTCGTGGTTCCTGAAGAACTTCGAAGTCAGCGTTCCGGTGTTGAAGATTATGGGCAATGATACCATGGCCGAGCTGGCCGACCTTGTGGCCGCGCAAGTCCCAGCCTCGCTGCTTCCTGGACTTGGAGGCGAAGAGTCTCCATCTGATCAGCCACCTGCCATGAACAATGCTTCCCAACCTGCTCCGGCTGCTGCACCTAATGATGAGACCAGCTCCTCGGCAGACTCCAACCAGGATGCCACGTCTACTGAATCCAGCAGTGGCTACACTGGAACTAGCAGCCCTGCCAGCTTGGAAGCCACCACAGTACCCCTATCGAGGGGACCTATTCGTATTGACTGGAAGGCCGAGATCACATTGCCTAAGGCAGCGAATATTGACACCAGTGTGGCTCCTGCCGCCCGTCCTCGCACAATCGTGCTCACGGGTGTCAGTGGACTGCTGGGCCGACACCTGCTCCTGCGCTTGCTACAAGACACATCCGTCAAGGAAATCATCTGCCTCGCCACCCGCCGTCTTGACGAGCGCCTCCAGTCAAAGGAGCTGGTTGAAGACAACCGAATTCAGTACTTCCCAGGTGACCTTGAAGACCCCCGTCTCGGTCTCTCTGAACAGCAAGCGGCTCAGATCTTCAGCCGCGCGGATGCCGTGATCCACAACGGCGCCGACACCTCTCACCTCAAGTTCTACCCCGAGATCAAGGCCGCGAACATGGGCTCGACCAAGGAGCTGATCCGCCTCTGCACGGCTCGCAAAGTGCCCATCCATTATGTCTCCACCGTGGGTGTGGCCCTCTTCGGCAACTACAGCTCCTTCCCGGAGGTCTCGGTTGCGGCGCACCCGCCCCCGGTTGACGGCTCGCACGGCTACGTAGCCGCCAAATGGGCCAGTGAGCGTTTGCTGGAGGAGTACAACAAGCAGCACGGGGTGAATGTGTGGATCCACCGCCCTTCAACCATCATCCGCGAGGGCGCTGATGCCGAAAGCGCCGCAGCGCAAACCGACTGGATGAACGCCCTGGCTGCGTACATGCGCAAGACCCGCGCTGTGCCCACGCTGAAGAACCTGCGAGGTGCTCTCGACTTTGTCTCGGTGCACAACGCGACGAATAGTATTCTAACTGCCGTGTTTGAGAGCAAGCCCAAGGTTTCCTCTGCGGGTGTCTTTTACACTCACGAGGTTGGCGATGTTGTGATTCCGTTGGACAATCTCAAGGAGATTGTGATCAAGGAGACGGGTGCTGCTCATGTCGATGTGCTTCCGCTGGAGGAGTGGAGTGCTCGAGCGGTGGCTGTGGGATTGAACCGGGGAGTGGCGGCGTTGATCGACTCGATGGATGACCCGGGTCAGCCCCACTATCCTCGGATGCTAAGGGGGGAGTAGACTGCATAACTGTTATTCTCGTCTTGTATGCTCATTTATAGGTAGTGTAATGCAATATGGCTTTTTTGCAGCCCTTGAACGAGATCTAGCTCGCACAAAATGAAATTCGGCCTAGCCATTCTGGCGAAGCAGTCCACATACACTTTTGTCCTATTTTTGTAGGGCCCGCCACTACTCAACCAACCAGTCTGGTCTTCATATGTCCGAGTAATACCTGCTATCCAAAACTACTCTATATATACATAGACTCAACCACTCTTCCTCGCCAAAACACTAACCGGTAGCCAGTGGAATTGCGCCCCACCCGGCTTCTGGATCTCCTCATACAACGCCGCCAACGCATCCAACCATTCCTCCCGGCTCGGTACCGAAGGCGCCGCCTGCTTCAGATTTCCCAACAGCGCACTGCTACTCTCCAGCGCAAGCATGAAGGTATTCGTCACAAGAGGGATAAGGCTGGGGGCCCACGGCTTGTACTGACAATGCACTACCTCCAGCTCGGCGCGGCGGTTGACGTGTTGATCGAGCTCGTCGAGCCATCTGGTTTCATAGATGTTAGGCTTAGGTGCTACTGTACCTCGTTTGTTGTAGGCTCCCACCGCGGGGGTGCAGAACATACTGGAAATTATGCTTGGTGACCGTCCACTTCCGGCGCATCAGCTCCCGGAACCGCGGCGCGGTCTCGTCGCCCTCGCGCGTGACGATATTCCCGAACCGGGCATCTTCCCACTGGAGGTAGCCCCCTGGCTCTTTGCGTCGGGGGTTTGATTATGTCAGTAAACCGGTGGAAGGGAATGCCGAAGAATCCTCAAGGGAGTTTGTGGGCTTGGGGGCTTGGGCCAAGGCAAATTCTCACTCAACAATCTTTCCGCATGCCGGATGAGCGCGCTGGGGTCGTTGTCCCGGATGACAAACGCCCACATGCGCAGGTGCACCACGTCGAAGTGCCCGATTAGCTCTTCGGGGATCGTCTCGCTGAGCGGGTCTAGGTGGCCGAAGCGTACGTTCGCGGGCCAGTATTCCGGGGTGGGCAAGTGGGTGCTTGCGATGTCGTAGCCGACGACTTGGGCGTTGGGGGGCAGGTGAGGGGAGAGTTCAATGGCCCAGATGCTGGAGATCTCAGATTGTATGTATGAGCTTCAGAGCAAGGGGCAGGAAGAGGTGGAGGAGAGAGGGAGGGAGGGAGGGAGGGAGGGAGGGAAGGGGGATCCTAACCCAGTTCCGGTCCCAATGTCCGCGATGGCCATACCCTCCTTTAGGGGAATATCGGGGTGAAGCAGATAGCCGGCGTGGAGTTGCCAGAGCAGATGCTGGGAGGAGAGCCTGAGAAGTAGGGTTGGGGGTTATTATGGCGAGGAAACTCTCGGGTGTGTGATGCGCATACCTGGTGGCTTCGAAGCGATCGCGTGGGAGCAAATAGGTGGTGGGAGTCGAGGAGGCCATGACTGGGGATTTGGGGTTTGATGTCAGAATTACCTTTGCTTGAGAGATTGATGAGGGTGGTGAAGCTCTGCTGTATGCTCTATTTGAGGACCGGAATCTCCAAGGAGAGATAGACCCCAAGAGGGGAAAAACACTAGAGGTGATGCACAAGTCCGTCACAAACACAAACTAGTCTATGTATGAGGACCTGCATGATGATTGACAGCGTCTAAGGCAATGAGTCTGCACTATCCGTGGATGTGCTAATGCTCAGGCTCTGTTCTCACCGCTGGATTGTAACTACCAGTGGTTTGCTACTCCTAGTGGGTTTGTTCAGTGCAGCAGTTGCAGCTCGGTATAGTGCCCAGTACCTATAGCACATACACATTGCTTAATGGGATGACACATCACCGCCACTGCGTGAAGCGCTTTCTGTCTGCACCAAGTAGCCATGGTGGACCGTGATGCCCCCGCCAGCCTGCATAGGAACCTGATCTCCATACCGGTACTCGTCATCATCTGAAAATAGCCGCCACCGAGTGCGGCCAGAACAAATCTTGCCTGGGAAGTTCGGGAAGGACCCCGCGCTGGGACGACTACCAGATAGCCCTATCCTCTCCCTGAAATGGGTGTAAATGGGCCGCAGGCAAGGCAAACAAGCTTTGTGACCCTCAAAAGTCAGTCTGTATGATGATTGCGGGCAGTGGGTGGGGAAACTTACCGGCAACGGTGCCGATGTTTAGCTCTACGCAGGTCCAGATCAGGTACGGGACGAAGTTCCACGTAATGTCTTCGGAGCTAAGATTGACACTCATGAGGCAGACGAGTCGGATGATGGAGATGACAATCACACTAGATAGTGAGTTAGTTACAGGAATACATGCAGTCAGCATTTAGTGCCGGCAACCGCGGGTAAACAATAGTATCAAGTTAGTGTGGGTTATACTCACAGGCCCCCCATCAAGAAAGTAAGGGTGAGAATTGTCTTCTGCGTTCGCGTGGTGTGCAGCTCCCAGATGGCTCGCATTGGGATCATCAGAATCCCAATGTCGGTGACCGTGTCCGGGATGGACTTTCCCAGAAAGTAATCGCGATTGTTGACTCCACATTTGGCCGGGATGCTCTTGTCCCAATATCCCTGCAAGGGGATGCATTGGAAGCAAACAATGAGGATCTATTTCGGGGTTTGCTTATGGATCAGCAAGGCAAACAAAAGAGCGGAAACAGTTTGTTGTTTGTGGGGCGGTCTCTTTCCTATCCTTACACAAGCTAGAGCCCAGGCAAACACGATCCAGGCCACGAATGTGGTCGCCTTCTGCACATGAGGAACCCGGAAAATTCGTCGGTAGGAGAGCAGAATGGAAAGCTTGATGGCAACGGTGGCGGCCACATAGAAGAGCTCTGCAATGACCAAGGATTTGAGGAAGGCTGAGACCGAGCCGGGAGGCGCAGCCCAGACATGCAGCCCTAACCCATGTCGAACGTCTGCATGTTTGTACATAGATTAACCGCTGAACTCTCGAAGCAAGCAGAATGGGTGGGAACTAACTCCAGGCAACCGGCAGCAGGGACACAATGGCCCCGAAAATCTGGACTCGGTGGTTAGCATATCGCTCTCAAAACAGTCAGCCGCGACAAAGGGGGGGGGGGGGGAGAGACCAGCGATGATAGAACCACCCAATCATCCCACCACAGTCCAGCTTCAACCAAAGTTCGAGCGGTGAATCGTAGCGAGACCGTCAGAAAGGCCAGGATCCAAGTCGTAACTAGCACAGCTACAATCTTTGGCCGTTGATCCGCTGAAAGATCAACTCCTGTCCGCCCGGTGGCGCTCATTGCTGCGCGGTCGGGTTTTCACGGGGCGAGAGACACAAATTCACACACAGGAGGGTTTGGAATTGTTGTCGTTAATGGTGGTCAGAATTTTCTCACCTCTCTAGATATAGCCCTCGCTGGAGTCAAGATTCATTGAGTATAATGGGTAAGAGGGAAGGGTGCAGACAGCTAGGTAGCTGCACGAATATCCCTTTGGAAGTAAGGCTTGCCATTGGAGTCGAAGAGTGTGTGGGCCTAAGCATTTGAATCAGTCGGCAAAAGAAGGATCGATAAGGCAAGATTCAACCGAGGAGCTTGTTTTCATTGCTTGTTTCCCATGCCAGTGCGTATAAAGGTGGAGTCCTTTCAGTCAATCATCGGGGTCACTCTCTACAATTCCAACCCGCCCCCCCCCCCCCGTTCCCAAAGCTCCTGACTCCATGACCGTGGCGCAAGTTCCTAAATACAGACTGATCGGCGATCATGAGTTTGGTGAGGCCATCGCAAGATTGAGAGCAAACACGCTTCGATTTTTATGGTACTCCCTGCTAGCTGCACTCCTGTTGTTGGTGGCCTTTGCTGCGGGGAGATACCAGGCCCCTCCCGTAGTTCCCTGTGAGTTTTCACTGCTATTCCTTCTTTGAGTGAAAGAAGAAGAGACAGCTGATATACTGCCACGTCTTCCCCCGCATTAGTGGCAACCAAGCCCTCCGTATTTGAATACAACAGTTCATTCCAGGACGAAAGATCTCCCCTGACCAACGAACTGTGGGAGGGACTCTTCCCCAAACGCAAGGGCTTCTTTCAGCACCCGACCATTGCTGATCACCGATCGGCGTTTGCTGTGTATCACCAGCTACACTGCCTGGTACGGAGTTCGTCGGACTCCCCACATCCCACTCAAATCAAGAAGCAACGAGTTTAGCTAACGAAAATGGAACGCGACAGAACAGCATCCGACAGGGCTACTGGGGCTTGTACGACATGGCAGCAGCCAGGGGCCAGAAAAAGCTCAGCAGTGACGATGATGATCTTCCCCACATGCTCTCACCGCACCACATCCGTCATTGCCTCGAACTACTCCGGTTGGCGTTAATGTGCCAGCCCGACCTGACTGTGGAGCTCAAGAACGAAACCCTGGGTGGAGTGACGGGATTTGGGTCCGAGCACCAGTGCAAAAGCTGGGCGGATCTGTCTCAATGGATGGCTCAGTGGGAGTCCTTTGGACTATGACTTAGCGGCTAGATAGTAGGCGAATATCTTTGGCAACCGGAAACAAGTGCGGCTGTGTACTCCAACTAGTGAGTTCCGTCCACAAGGCGAACGTTTAGGTAGACCTGAGCAGAGAATCACATCTCTTTCCCCATTAGTGGGTTCTCCAACCCCTGGATCTCTTCCAATTCCACCGACCGAGGCTGCAGTGACCGTCGCAAAAGATTGAAATCGACACATGTTCGCACAGGCATTGCGGGGTTGAACTCGGGTTTCCGCCGGGTCTCTGTCCACCGGAAGGTCATCAGATATGCATCGGCGTGGCACTGGACACTCTGGCGCAGCATGTCCAGGCAATGGCCTATTCAGAAAGGGCAGTAGTGTCAGCATGCGCATTTTCGCCGAGGAGGGGGGGGGGGGGGTTGGTTGGGTTCAGGATGCGAATGGGAACCTACTAACGTGGGATTCGAGTTTGTTCTGCTCTGCGGCTGTTAAATCGGGATGGTAATAGTCCCGGTGAATCCATTGGCGGACGGTGTTCTTGAGCCCAAAGTAAGTACATGATTACCAATTGAGCTCATCATAGGGGTTTCCGATTGGGTAGAGGAGGAGGAAAGGAGGCTGTACAATGCAATGCAGGTCGTGGTGGACTCCAAGCCAGGCAAGGTGCTTGTCGTCTCGGGGTAGCGAGATTGAGGTCTGGTTTGCCAGGTCCAGTTCCTCGGTTGAAACTCGGATGAACATATCCCCAAGTAGATCCTCCCAAGCTGCATCGGTCGATGAGCCGGGATCCTGAAAATAGGCCGTTTGGGAGTAGTCAGTGAATTTTGTGGGAACAAAGTGGCGTTGGAGGCCGCGCAGCTCTATATGTTGGTCAGTTTGAATTAGTCTCAATGCCAGAAACAGCCACCATCAAGCTTGCCTTCTCCCCGGGTCATTGAACATGCGGGTCTCGAACGGGGCGCGACCCAGAAAGCAAGATAAATCAAGACGACTGCATTTATGAGCACGGGAACTCCAATCCAAGGGACAACCCGCTTAGAGAAGCTGGATTTGCACGTATGCTGAACCTGAGGCCACCAGCCTTGTTGCTGCTGCTGCTCACCATCTGTCGCGGTGGGTATCAGAAAGGGCCGTGACTCTGTCTCCATGTTGTTTTTGATTAAGTGAGGAGAATTCAATCTGGCGGTGATCTCGCCCGTAGTAGCAGTCCGTTGTCTTCAAATGAGCTTTTCTTTGCTTGGGGTTGGGAAGGACAAGAGTATGTTTGCCCGGTAAATCAATCCGTTCTCAGTATAGATCATGTGTGCAGCCGAGTGCATCCTCATCACTTGCATGCCGCTAATGCTACACGTAACACATCACGCACATAGCATGCGAGGAATCAGTGGGCTTACAGCAGGCGAGTTTTCCCTTTCTTTCCCTTTGTGTCCCAGGGCCTGCTGTCTGGGTGCCGGTTGCTGGGCGCAGTATCGATGTTGATAAATCGGAGTCTCTACCCCACAGTGCCCGGGGCAAACAGAGAGAGAGAAGGAAAGAGGAAATCTGCGTCCATTTCCAACCTGATCCCCGTACATATCATCTTCTTTCATCTGAGAAGCCCAGAGCGCCGGTCTCAGCAGCAAAACCAGCATACTAAGATCTTATAACCCCTTCTTTGTCAAACCACCTGTCTCAAGATGAAGCTGTTGTCCGCGATGATCCTCCTGGGGGCTGGGAGCTTCCTGGTCCTCGCACTTCCCACATCCCATAGCGAAGGTAAAGAACATCCTACCCGCTCGTTCAGTTGGGAAACTTTCGGTACTAACATCAACTATGCTCTGGAAGTCACCCACTCCATCGAAGAGAACATTGCGTACCCGGAGGCCTACAATGAAAAGCGTGCGGAAAGACCACAGGCCCGCTCCGTCTCTGTCGAGGCGGAGGTTGCTTACCCGGAGGCATACCCAGAGAGTAAATGAGGCACCTGAGGCACCGGTGGCACCGGATGCACTCGACGGGGTATCACTTACAGGGGTCCCAATTGATCATGTTCTGTGGTGTCATGCGGAGCAGTACAGCGACCTTCATGCGATTTTTTCGGTTGCTTTTTCAGTTATGTTGTGGTCGATGGATAGTGAAGTGAAACTTCGATGCTCTTTTCCCATGTGTAGATTGAAAAGCATAGAGTTTGTTTACGTGGGGGAAATGTCTCGCCAGTTGCCAAGGTTGATTTATCCGCTTATCCGCCCGAACAATGCCCACCAGCCGGAAGAACAAAAACAAAAAGAAAAATCAAAAGAAAAATGCGTCAGCGGGGAGTCGAACCCCGATCTATTGCTTGGAAGGCAACAATGCTAACCGCTACACCACTAACGCTCGCTTGTGAATATATCGTTTTAGCTAATTATATAATCAACATAAAGAGAATGATTTCATGCCTTGTGTAAGACTGACGCTGACTAGTTATTCCCCGAACAGCAGAAAGTAATCTCTCTGTAACCTTGCCGTGTCCTGCTATCGTAACTCAGGGACTGCTTTGCTCGAGTGCTATGGTTGAACACTCTTCTCTTGCCGCTTCGAGATCCAATAAAATTTTATCTTCATCTAATGCGGCAGATCGGGTCGTTGCCTGCGACTCGTGCTACAAAAAAAAAGGTGACGCCCTTTTCCCCCTCCGGCCTTGCGCTCGTATACTGACGACTGATGGCGACCCAAGATCAAGTGCGAGGCTGACAACCACCAATGTAACTATTGTTTGCACCGTAATATTGCCTGTACGTATAGCAGACTGGCCCGGGGCTCGAATAAAAGGTATGAATCGAACAGCCGCCGCCGCTGCACAGAAACTCAAGTCTGATCTATGGTCGATGTACTGTACAGAACGGCCCAAGACCCGGACCAAAATCCCGCCAGGGGCTCTTGGGATGAGCCGCTTGCCATGCGGCCGCATTCCTCCTCTACGAGTATGTATGAGACTTTTCTTTTCTGCGCTCTATTCGGTAACCGTCTAAAATCCCACTGCCAGAGGTTTCAATGGTCAATCTGGGGTTGATGTATCTCAACGGGAAGCGAGATAGCGCCGATCAGGGCCGGGCATGAGTGGAATCTCGCACCGGGGAGATCGTGAACATGGATAAATTGAGCACACCGGAGCTTCCGTGGGCCAGAGTCGGTCCTGTCCGGGATTCTTCCGCAGTACCTAAGCTCCCCGCTCGCCCCATGGTGGAGCGAAGTGTTGCTTCCTACTGTTCATCATATCAGAGCCTCGTGTTTCCGGTCATCAGTAAGTCACTGTTCGCCAAGACCCTGGACCTCGCGTACGGACCACACCGTTATGGTTCCGACAGTGCCAAGTCGTGCATCTATGCCTTATTGTCGGTGGTGGCGATCTTTGGCCTGGAGAATGACCTGGGCGATGCACTGGACTGCGAGGCGTATGCGTAGCGTCCCAGAGCTTCACAGTCCCGATCATCAATGAAATGACCATGGATGGTCTTCAGGCGCTGGTCATGCTTGTAAGTTGATTCCGACTGGGACTGAGAGAACTCGACTAAAGGCTACCATCAGACGCAGCACCATTACTTCCTGGGTGACTTACAAAGTGCGGCGGTCTCCGTGTCCATGGCCAGCCGCCTAGTCTTTAAGCTGGGCGCGCATGCGTAAATGACCGCAGTCACTCAGAAAATGGTAGATTTCAGGTATAAGAAAGTCTTCTACAATGGTATAGAGCAAACATCCAACGCTCTCACCCACCGCCGATTGTGTGCTTGCATCTTCAGTACAGCACACTACTGGTCAAGTCTGGCGTGGGCCATTGCATGGTCCAGATGCCGAAGCACTAACCTCCCATGCTCTTGTGTCTAACTTCCCCTATTGCCTCAGCTCAGGAGCAGTTAGCCCTGGGTTCGTGATCGAGCACTGGGGCAACTGAGCACCGCCAATCCACAAGGATCGCCGCTTAGTAATCGGAGGCGATGGAGAAAAGTACTGTAGCAATTCATACCACGGCCCGAACCAAAAGTGAGGTACTCCACCTAGCGACAAATAAATAATCCCCCGTCGGGAACTGGGCAGTTGAAGTGAGCACAGCCCTGTGCGTCAAACTCCAAGTTTTGGCATCGGAAACTTTCATCCGGGCATAATCCAACATGACCAAGGTTGTACTCATTACCGGTGCTAGTCGAGGTAAGACATCCTTCACCTGATTTCTCAAGAAACAGCAAAGTCCGGCTAACCAGGGTGCAGGCATTGGGAAACGACTGGTGGCGCAGTATCTTGCCCGCCCAGACACGACCGTGATCGCAACCGTACGGGACCCGAAATCCGCGAGCGCAGAGCAGCTGGAGACTCTGCCTAAGAGCAAGGATGGATCCCGCCTCATAGTCGTTCGACTCGCAGCAGATGATGCCCATGGCGCGAGAGAGGCAGCCTCTGAGACTTAGAAGCAGAATGGCCTGGATCATATTGACATCGTCATCGCCAATGCGGGGATATGCGATCACTGGGGCCCAGTCTTGGAAGCCGCCGAGGAGGAGGTGAGGTCGCACTTGGAAGTCAACACCCTAGGACCTCTTCGTCTCTTTCAAGCCATGGCACCCTTGCTAAAAAACGCGAGTGCACCGAAATTTATCTATATCTCTACGCTACTTGCCAGCATTGGTGGGATTGGCCAGATGTATACCCTCACGGGCCCGTATGGAATGTCCAAGGCGGCCGGAAACTACTTCGTCAGGAAGGCTCACGCGGAGAATGAGCATCTGGTCACCTTGTCTATCGATCCTGGGTAGGTCTGGACCTTCTGTTTCCACTGCAAGCTGCTGACCAGGCGGGGGAGGTAAGCCTTGTACAAACAAACTTGGGCAATCGCGCGGCCCAGTATTATGGGTTGGACGAGGCTCCAGTGACGCTGGAGGACAGTGTTCGCGGAATAATGACACAGGTAACGACAGAGAAAACCTCACGACTGTTGCCAATTCAGCACGGCTGACCTTCTTACAGATAGATACAGCCACAAAGTCGACCACATCTGGCATGTTTGTAAATACCAAGGGAGAAAACGTGTCTTGGTAGTTAGGGTGGATTGTAGTCTTAGCAATATAAGGAGAGGGCTTGGCGTCATGCTGAAAGCAATGGAGCTACAGCGTGTAGGAGGAGAGACTATTTACGGCTCCGAACAGCGGGCGAATGAAGCCTTTTGAAGTTGTGGGATACTTGGATATCTTAGGTATTTAGGACAAAATGTGATGAAATATTCAAAAATGACTCTGGATGCATGTTCTGAAGGGGTTTAGTCTCGCATCATCTCACCTTTATCTTTTCAAATTGACCCACTACAGCACTATCAACAGAATGGTCAAGACGATCCCGTTTGAGTCAACACATCTCCGCCAACTCCCGCTCGATCCCCCGCCACACCACCTCACGCAACGGCCCCTGCAACCAATAATTCCCGGCGGCATCCTTCCCCATGATGGGCATGAGGTTCCGGAGATCGAACTTGGTCGACCACGCGTTGAACTGCACCATCGAGGCGAACCCGGGCCTCTCCGCGCGCTGCGCCGCCGGCAGACCCTCGCGCACGATCGCCGCCGAGAAATCCGTCTCGAAGTATTTGCCCTTGGTCCAGTTGGAGTAGCTCATCATCTCCATGGACGCGTCCCCGAAGATCGGCCAGCTGTGGCCTTCGGTGGCGAAGGTCTGCCGCTTGATGCACTGTAGGGCTTCGACTTGTTCCCGCGTGCCGCCGGTGGCCATGGACCGGCGGATGGCGTGCGCGGCGTAGCTGAGGGGCCGGGTGAAGAAGTCTTTGACTTGTAGAAACGTGTAGATCTCTGTGGCTGCGTTGGAGATGAAGGCCTTCGAGGCGGGGAGGTGGGAGTCGCCCAGCACGGTGGAGAGGGTGAAGGCGTTCATGATGCGCATGGTGCGCGTGGAGGTGCGCGGGTAGAGGGCTGTCAGCGTCAGGCGCGTGAACCATGCGGTGAGAACGTCGTTGTCGCTCACGAAAGCCGTGTCGTCTCCGGTCGAGGCCCGGATCTCGGTGATGGCGCGCTGACGCAGGTTGGCCAGGTACGCGCCGGGGATGCAGACGATGCGCGACCCCGTGCGGTACCGCCAGCCGTCGTACAGCTGGTGCGCGATGAAGAGGTACTTGCGCCACCCCGTGAGCTGCTTTTCCGCGTACATGTATCTGGTTGCGGACTGCGGGTCGGTGCCGAAGCTCGCCAGCGGGTCGTGGGCGTAGCCGTGGAATGCGGGGACCTCTTCCTCGCGGCCCTGCAGGACGAGCGCCCACGAGCGGTAGATCTGCGCCCCGCCGGTGCCATCGGTGAGGGTGTGCGGCAGCGAGATGGAGATGAGGGTGGAATCCCTGAACGAGGCAATGTGCAGGCTCAGCTGCGGCACGTCGCGCGTCAGGTAGTCGTGCAGGGTCTTGGGGGCGTCCGCGCTGGTGGTTAAGGAGTCGAATTCGGTGGGATCGGCCACGACGGCGGGCTTAGCGGTCGGTCGGGGGAGGCGTGAGGCCAAGGGGTGCTCGAGGATGGAGGTTTCGTAGGAGTCGTGCGAGTAGTTCACGATGGGGCGTTTGGCGTCGTAGTACTCCGGGATGTGGTATTCGAGGCGCCCGATTTTCTGCGGAATTTCAGCTACGGTCCCCATCTAAGCTTGTGAATGTAGTGAACGTACATTCAAGCGCAGCCGTGCTCCGATCTTGCGCCATCCAGGTCGGTCGAGCAGTCTCTCGAAAGACGACCGAAGCTTCTCCGGGTCCAGCACGTCGTCGAACCGGTAGGACAGCACCACGCACACACTGCGTAGCACTTCCGTGTCGTCCGCGGCATTCAGCGGGATGACCGTGTCCGTGGGGACGCGAGCAGGTTGGGCTGGTTCGCTGCCGCTGAATAGTTTGAACATGATGCTGGGTGTGCGGTTGAAGCAGGGTTGTGGAAAGCTCGCAGGACAGGTAGGAGTGCGCAGGGTGTGGTGGTCATGTCGTGTCTTTCGACTTCCTTGGCGCTTTCGGTGATTTACGGCTGTGACCATAATATTGTCATCTTGTCAGCAATGATAAGCAGTGGAGACACTGGGCGCTGTCTGTGTCTCCGATTTGTTGGTCGGGAATTTGGCGGATGATCGGGAATATCCAGCGTTGGAGTCCCCGCGTAACCCTAACTCAACCTCCGTTGACTTCCTCGCAAGACAGACCATTTCCAGCCCGGAGGTTCTAATCGACAAATCTTGATTACATCTTTGCCGTGGGCCTTAGGGCTTTGTGGCGAAACTGATCGGCCATATCGCACCAACAAAATACCGATGGCCAAGTGATAGTTCGATAATGTAGCATTGACGACTATGAAAGCAGCACCTTGGCAGCAGAGACAAATAGAAGAACACTCAGTCGCGGTAGCGATCTGATCTGATCCCCACGCTCGTCGTCCTACCAACCTGGATACAGATACAGAAGCTTGTGTCAGTATGGAGTTCGACCTCGGTCGGAATCTGTCCGCCCCTGCACCGGGCATCCTGCCCATCGCAGACTCGCGGTCCTACACCGTAACTCTAACCGCTCTATGGATTCCCATCTTCATTGCCATCTCGTTACTGTGGTATGGACGACTGGAGAGTCCCCTGGCTCATGTGCCCCTCGTGTCCACCGGGAAGTCCTCGTTCTGGGACATCGGCCATAAAAAAGCTAAGGAGAGCTTCGCGGCCAATGCGCGAAAGATTGTTGCCAAGGGGTTTCAGCAGGTACAATGCCTATACTGGAACTGGGGTAAGATGGTGGCTGATGAGTGGCTAGGTTGGCAACACGAAGCCGTTCAGGGTCATCTCCGACCTCGGAGAGATGCTGGTGCTGCCGCCGTCGATGGCGGATCAAGTGCGGAACATCGATGCGCTCAGTCATGGGGAGTTCATGAAGGAGGTTTGCCATCCTGCTTTCCCGGTAGCAAGACGCTGTCCGACTGACTGGAGGGTCCAGTCCACATGCGCGGAAGTCCATGGATTCGAACCGTTTTTTGAATCCACTGGTCACAGTTTGCTGGCTGATATGACCAAGACGAAGTTGATGGGCTCGCTGAGTAAGTTCCCGTCTCCGATGTGTCGAATCTGATGTCAATACTAACCCTGAGCTAGAACAGCTGACGGACCCTGTCAACGAGACAGCGACCCAAGCGTGCAAAGATCTCTTCCCTGATGACGACGGTGAGCTCACTTACTCCTCCTCTCTATCAGACTTGTCAACGTACTACCCTAACAAGGACAAAGACTGGCACGAAGTAATCCTCAAAGACATTCTTCTTGAGATCATCGCCCGGATGTCGTCCACCATCTTCCTGGGCGACGAGGAGGTCCGCCACGACAAGACCTGGCTTCGCCTCACCAAGGAATACACAGTGGACTCGTTTCTCGCCGCGCATCAACTGCGTACGTACCCGCAATTCCTCTGGCCCATCCTAGCCATGCTCTTCCCGCAGGCGCGCAAGGTCCGCGACCAGCTCCACCAGGCGGAGGCGATCATCCGCCCGCTCATCAAGCGACGACGCGCTGAGAAGGCCGCCGCGCTGGCCGATCCGAGCATCAAGCTGCCAGAGCGGTACGATTCGATCGAGTGGCTGGAGCAGACTTCACAAGACCGCAAGATCCCGTACGCCCCCGTAGCAATGCAGCTGACGCTCGCGCTGTCGGCCATCCACACTACCACCGACCTAATCACGACGACCATGTACGAGCTTCTGCGGTGCCCGGAGGTGATTCAACATCTGCGGGAGGAGGTGGTTTCCGTCATGGGGAGTGGAGGAATCAAGCACTCGGCGCTGTATAGCCTCAAGCTCATGGACAGTGTGATCAAAGAGGCGCAGCGAATCAAGCCTGCTTTATCAAGTAAGTCCCTGCCTATATCTCCCAGCAGTTGTTTTCCCATTCACACAACAAGCACACCCCTGACCCAAATTCAATCGGTAGTCAATATGGTCCGCAAAGCGACCGCAAACATCACCCTCCCTGACGGTTTCCGCATCCCCAAGGGCACTATGCTGGGTGTCTCGCACCACGGCGCGTGGGACTCGGCCGTCTTCCCCGAGCCCGACAAATTCGACGCCTTCCGGTTCGTGCGGCTGCGCGAGCAGCCCGGCAACGAGAACCGGTGGCAGTTGACCACCCTCCGGTCGGAGCATATTGCCTTCGGGCATGGGCTGCACGCGTGTCCGGGGCGGTTCCTGGCAGCGAATGAGATCAAGATTGCGCTGTGTCATCTGTTGATGAAGTTTGAGTGGAAGGTTGCTGGGGAGGTGGAGCCGAGGATCATCGAGAATGGGATCTTCTTGGATTCAGACCCAGGGGTTAGGGTCTTGGTCAGGAGGAGGAAGGAAAAAGTTGAGGTTTAGATTCTTGATTGCTGTGGGGGTTCAGGGGGAGTGATTTGATGTCATGTCTGTGGTAAGCGATATGGTAGCAATACTTATTTCAGGAGTTGCATTGCATTGAGTTGTTATGACGTATTCTGTTGAGATGTGTGAGGGATGGCCTTAGCAAGACATCTAGAATGACGAGAAGGGGGAGAGGCTACTTAACCATTGAATAAAAATTGAGAAGAAGCTATCCTGTCAGTACTTTGACTTGGCCAACTGATCGGTACTTAATATCGACCTAAACACATGACCCGGAACAGCACGAACCTGAAGGTTACATTGTGATTTATCAGAGCATGACTACACGATGTACGTAGACTTCCTTGTCCTCTAAGCCCCCTTCAAGCTTGAATCGTAGATCAGCACATCGAAGCTTCCTGCAACTGCTGACTGAGCTGAAATGCCTGCTCGGCTTCACCACCATATGTCGTCTTAGCGCACAGAATAGTTGAGAGAAGTGTGGTATGAGATGAAATTTTGAGCAGTTTTGTATAAGCCCCGGTCGACTTGCGGCTAATGCTCGGCATCTTCGGGACACTTATATTCAGGTTCCTCGATGGGATACGGATAGTAGGAGGAGTAATAGGAAGCATGGTCGGCGTCACCTTCCAGGGACATTTCTGTATGGGTGATCTTGACCTGCTCGAGATGAGCGGGCAACAACCGATGATCCATTGCGCCGAGCGGCCCATTAATCGCGTTGAGCACCCGGCGGCGAGCTTTCTTCTCAGCAAGTTCGGTCCAACGACTCGATCTTGCAGGTCTCGTGGCGAGGAACAATGAAGCTTTGTGACAAGAGAGAGAAGGTGAGATGGGAAGCAAAGAAGAAAGGAATGGATGGTGGTGATCACGTGGTACAAGTGATTCCTGCCCGAGGCATCAACCATGAAACGCGGCCATGCGCATTCTTCGCTCCCAAGACCGCCATAAGAGTTTCATTACTGTGAGAAGTCAGAACTGCTCAGTAGTAGCCCAGGTCTTGGCGAGTTTGAAGCGTGGGACATACAACTTAATCTATACAGGGCATAAATGGCGTCAGAGGATGATCACGTAGCCGAGATAACCACTCTAGGAAAAGACCACTTACTCTAGACCAAGATAGTAACATGATATCCCTAACTAAAGCTCCTATGAACGGGACCCTCGCTCAATCTAGCTCTGGATCTAAACTCTACACAACCTCCCTCTGGAATCGACCTCCCACGCTGCACTCCCCACCGCCGTCTTCGCATAAAACACATGCGCTGGATCATACTTCTCCTTGACCTCAAGCAACCGTGGATAATTCCTCCCATACAGCTCCACCTCCCAATTTCCCTTCCACTGCGCATCGATCTCATTCAGATACGTCCCCGCACCGGGCGTCGCCCGCTCCAGCCCCGGGATCAGCGTGTCGACCAGCTGCGCCTTCCGGGCCTGCATTTGTATTGGGGATAAATTCCAATCCCAGTAGCTGACGATGTTGCACGTAGCAATGGCGTCGCGCCAGGCGGGGAGGACGGCGTTGTCTGGGTGCGGGATGTCCTTCACGTTGAGGGCGTGGCATCCCAGCGAGAGGTCTGGGTCGGTCTCGACGACGGCGCGCAAGGCGGCGACGATGGCTTGGTTCTGCGTGATGTTCTGCACCCCGGCGCGGGGAATGAGGCGCGATGTCAACTGCACCGTGGCGGGGCCGGCGCCGGCGATGCCCGGGCCAAAGCGGCTGGCGAAGTAGTCGTGGTAGTTCGGGGAGGTGGTGGGCGTGAAGGAGTAGGGGATGTCCCGCTGGGTGAGGCGGGTGAGAAACGGCTTTAGCAAATCCTGCACTTGTGTGCCGTTTTTGTCTGGCACGGTGATGGCGTAGGCTTCGAACCCGGTGGCCGTCAGTGCGAAGTCCCACGTGTTGGGGCCAACGTCGACGAATTGGGGCAGGAACTGCCACAGATCGGAGATGGCGGACCAGTAGGGCTCTGGGTTAGTGGCAGAGATGTTGAAGAACAGCAGACCGCTGCCTATGGGTCCATCGATGAATATCTTGGTCGTCATGCTGAGCACCACAGCGAAGGTCCCCGGTCCCCCACCGCTGAGCGCCCAGTATAGGTCGGTGTTGTTGTACGGCGTTGCGACGAGGTGCTCCCCCTGCGCGGTGATGACCTCCCATTCCAGCACCGCGTCGGCGCCCATCCCGTAGGCGCCGTTAAGCAGCGAGTGTCCTCCCCCTGAGGTGTAGCCCCCAGCCAGGCCGACGGTGGGGCATGTCCCACCCAGGATGCGGTAGCCCGCTGCCCCTAGGATGGAGTAGACTTGCCCGCTGATCACCCCGGCGCCCAGTCGAGCGGCTGGCCCGGTATAGTCGGCACTCGAGTATGAGGAGAGGATGTCTGTCGTATTGAGGTTGTGCGTCCACAGGGAGAGGGCGCCTGTTCCACTGGATTTGCCCATGAAACTGGTTGGGTCAGATACAGTCTTCACGAACATGGAAATTGGGGCCGTACTCATGACCGGTATTCTTGATCACCAGCCGGATGTCATTATCTCGTGCGAAGGCAGCACCAGCAATCACATCGTCGGCGCCGGTGACATTAATGGAATAGCTGGCATAATTGCCTAGAATGCATGGTTGTGACGCTGGAGTGAAGGGGACACAGGTATAGTTCTGTACGTAGGGATTCATGACCTCTGCTGGATGGTTCAGACTAGGCATAGGTTAGTTGCAACATGGTATACATGCAGACTGGAGTACCGACAAGGTTGTATCGTCCAGCCATGTGGTTTTGAGGGCACTGCAGGCATCCGCATTGTAGTTACCGAACGGCTCGCTGTGGCAGACGCTGGGCAGGGGGATCGTGGCAATCAATCGGCCGTGAACCGTCTTATTGAGGGCGTGCCATTTTTCGAGCGAGGGCCAAGAAGGATCCCCAGGAATGGCGCGGCAGGAGGCATTGGAAGCAGAACCAGGGAGGGTTACACTGCGCCCAGCAGCCAAACCGAGTAACACAGTCCACAGTATGGGTTGCATGATGCACAATTGTGATTATCCTGGTTCTTGAAATCTGCATAGATCTGGGAAACGCCAATCTCCATGTTGTCGAGTAGAAGAACAGAATTGCATCAGTTGATGAGGTCCATCGCCGTAATTCGGGTTAGGGTTGCGGGCAGCCCAGAAATTCCCGAGTGGCTCTCGGGAATTGTGACGCGGCGTCATGGATGCTCCCGGAAGTGAGCCCTGATTCCTCTTCTGCCTAACTGCCGACCTCGGGAAATTGTAAGGAACTGCCGATACCGGTCTCGTTGCTCTTGCAGAAACTTGGTTTATCATTTGAGAGGGCTGGATCAAAGCCCGCCCCTCAACGTTCGTCTTCGAATACGTCCCATCCACAAAACACAGTGTAAACTTCACAATGGGGAAGCCAAACGCCATCCCTGAGCCTCCGGGCTGGCCTATTCTGGGCAATTTGCTGGATATTGATATGGAACTCCCCCTTCACTCTTTGTACGACCTGGCGGACAAACATGGTAGGACTGTCACCTTCAGGAACTATGGTTAGGGCTGACCGAGCTAGGCGAGATCTATCGAATGCGCTTCCCAGGAGGCCATACCTTCATCATCGCCAACAGCTATGCGATGGTGAATGAGCTCTGTGATGAGAGACGCTTCCCAAAGACCATTTCAGCTCTGAGAGTAAGTCACTCTATGCGTCTCATCATGCCATCTATTAATATACCCCCAGGAAATGCGACACGCCATGCACGACGGCCTCTTCACGGTAACTCCTCACCACCCACCAAACAACCGGTCGAGAACTAAGATTCCAGGCCATCGACGGACAAGTCGAGCCCAAGTGGGGCATCGCCCACCGAATCCTCGTGCCCGCCTTTGGCCCCTCGTCGCTGCGCAACATGCTGGACGGGATGTACGACATCGCCAGCCAGCTCGCGATGAAGTGGGCGCGCCACAGCGCGGACAACCCCATCACGGTGACCGATGACTTCACGCGGCTCACTCTCGACACGATCGCTCTCTGCTCGATGGACTTCCGTTTCAACAGTTACTACAAGGAGGGGACGCACCCGTTTGTCGGCGCCATGAGCGACTTCCTGACCGAGAGCGGCGACCGCGCGCGACGGCTGCCCATCCCCGCCTTCTTCTACCGGGGCAAAGACAAGAAGTTCTTTCGAGATATCGAGGTAATGCGTACAACGGCGGATGAGATCCTGCAGGAGCGGAAGCGGGAGAAGAACTTGGATTCGCGCAAGGATCTGCTGTCGGCCATGCTGAACGGGGTGGATCCAATGACTGGGCAGAAGATGACCGAGGAAAGTATCCTGGATAACCTGATCACATTCCTCATTGCGGGGCATGAGACGACCTCTGGTATGCTATCGTTTGCCATGTATCACCTCCTGAAGCATCCGGAGATGTATCGCAGGGCGCAGAAGGAGGTCGACGAAATTTGCGGGAAGACGCCGATCCGGTCTGAACATTTGTCCAAGCTTTCTTATATCTCTGCTGTGGGTTGCCTCGTCTGCTCTGGGACTCACCAAGACTGACACTTGCAGGTCCTCCGAGAGACTCTTCGTCTCACGCCACCCCTTCCGGTCTTCAACGTGGCAGCCAAAGAGGACGAGATCGTGGGCGGCAAGTATCCTGTTCACGCCGGGGAGTTGATCATCGTTCTCGTGGGACGCTCCCAGCTCGACCCCAAGGTCTTCGGCGCTGACGTACACGAGTTCAAGCCCGAGCGCATGCTCGATGAGAATTTCGACCGTCTCAACAAAGAGTTCCCTAATGCTTGGAAGCCCTTTGGCAACGGCACGCGGGGCTGCATCGGCCGCCCGTTTGCCTGGCAGGAGGCCCTGCTGGTGCTGGCCATGCTGCTGCAGAACTTCGACTTTAAATTCGACGACCCGGACTATACTCTCGCGCTCAAACAGACCCTCACCGTCAAGCCGGCCAATTTTCAGGTCCGTGCGACTCTTCGTGACGGACTGACCGCGACGACGTTGGAGCATCGATTGGCGGGCACAACCTCTCCGCCGAAATCGGACGCAGTGGGTGCGTTGAATGGCGTGGTTCCGACCAGCACCGAAGGACAGCCCATGAGCATCTTTTACGGATCGAATAGTGGAACCTGTCAGTCCATGGCGGAGCGGCTGGCTGCAGACGCCTTTTCGCATGGGTTCCGCGCGCGTGTCGTGGATTGTCTCGACAATGCTGTCGACGGACTGCCGGCCGACGAGCCGGTAGTCTTCATCACTGCCTCGTATGAGGGCCAGCCGCCCGACAATGCGGCTCGCTTTGTCCACTGGCTCGAAGAGCTGAAAGAAGAGAAAGCCACACTGCGGGGCATCTCATACGCTGTCTTTGGATGTGGTCACCACGACTGGGCGGCGACCTTCCACCGTATTCCGCGCCTTGTGGACGCAGCCCTAACCCGCCACGGAGGGGAGCGCCTCGCCGCGCTGGGCCTCACTGACGTGGCGGCCGGCAATGAGATGACGGACTTCGAGGCCTGGGAAGACGAGGTGCTCTGGCCCGCCCTGACCAAGCGTTACAGAGCTGCTGTTCCCGAAGGCCCCGTGCTGAGCGTGCAAGTCACCAGCCCGCGCAAGACCACCCTCCACTACGACCTGCACGAGGCCGGCGTTATCGCCGCCAGCACACTGACCAGCCCCGACGCTCGCGTCGCAAAGCACCAACTCATCCTCGACCTGCCGGCCCACATGTCCTACACAACAGGCGACTACCTCGCCATCCTGCCCGTCAACCCGCGCGAGTCCGTCCACCGTGTCCTGCGCCACTTCCACCTCCCCTGGGACGCCCACCTGACCATCTCCACCAAAGGGCGCACTCCCCTGCCCCACGACGTCTCCCTCCCCGCTACCCAAATCTTCGGAAGCTACGTCGAACTCGCCCAGCCCGCCACCAAACGCGATCTCCTGTCTCTAGCCAACGCAGCAGACGACCCAGACACGAAGACCCGGCTGGAAGCCCTCGCCAACGACAACCACCGGTACAGCACCGAAATCGCAGCGAAGCGCCTCTCCGTTCTGCATGTGCTCGAATCCACACCGAACATCACCCTTCCCATTGCATCCTTCCTGCGCATGCTACCCCCGATGCGCTTGCGACAGTACAGCATCGGCTCCTCCCCGCTGGCCAATCCGAAACGCGTAGTCCTCACGTATTCCCTCCATGGAGAGAAGGGCGACCGGGGCGTAGCAACAAGCTACCTCTCACACCTCTGCGCGGGCGATAAAGTCCATGTCGCCGTCCGACCGTCCCACGCTGCCTTTCATCTCCCTGCTGATCTCACCAAAACGCCAGTTATTATGGTAGCGGCGGGGACAGGCATCGCCCCATTCCGCGGGTTCATTGAGGAGCGCGCGGCGCGGCAAGCGGCGGGACAGGTGCTGGCGCCGGCGGTGCTGTACTTCGGGTGCAGGGATCCGATGCACGATGATTTGTATCGAAGGGAGTTGGATGCGTGGGAGAGGCAGGGTGTGGTGAGTGTAAGGCGAGCGTATAGTCGAAGGAGTGGGGAGAGCGAGGGATGTCGCTATGTGCAGGAGAAAGTGTGGGCGGACAGGGAGAGGGTGCGGGAGCTCTGGGAGGATGGGGCTAGAGTGTATGTCTGTGGGAGTCGGGCTGTTGGGGAGGCTGTTAAGGAGTTGTTGGTGGATGTGTTTTGGGAGGCGCAGAAGACTGGTGAAGGTGGGGATGGGGCTACGAGGGAGGAGGTGAGGGGGTGGTTCGACGGGTTGAAGAATGTACGGTGGATGGTGGATGTTTTCGATTAGTTACGAGTGCTACTGCCGATGTGGAATATTGATTGCGTTGATAATGTCTTGGATATTAAGCAATTATTGAGTATTATGTGAGTGTCATATTCAATGTATTCATGCGAATGATGCTGCGTGTTTTTGCACTCCTCAGACGAAGGCATGTACAATACTCTAGATACTCTGAGATAGCCCTAAAAACCTACAGCACAAAACAGCTGCATCTCACCAACCACGCACATGCAGACCCTGTCGGACACTCCACTTGAGAGAACCAGCTCGGTAAATTTTACTCTATCAAGAAACTCCCGAACCGGAAGTTCTACATGAATATCGGCAATTACCCACCCACTCTCTACGGAGTAGTCCCCCCGATGCCTGAACATACTAAAGCTACCTCGGTCTATGCCACCATTATCAACCATCCAGCATCCTATTCTTCTTCTCTCACATGTCAACAGAATGACCACCTCCAACCCCGCCTGGCAAACCGTCGACCTGCAATGGCACCCCACCATGCCCGCCCACCCGGTCACCACCCTCCTGCACCCAACCCGGCCGTCCACGACCGAGCAGAATCTCATCGCCCGGATGTGGGTCCTCTGCGCCATTGAGATGCACCCTAAGCTCCAAGCCATCCCCGCCGCCAACCTGACCCGCCCGCACTTCGCCCGCTATCGCGCCTTCATCGCCGCCGAGTTCGAGCGCTTCCACCACCCCAACTACCCGCAGGTCCCGGACTCGCGCGCGCTGGCCGAGTTATCCAGCGCGGAACGCTACAGTCTCATGACCGCCCTGCGCGAGCAGACACGGGACTCGGAGCTGTGGCCCGTCATCGAGGGCCCGTGGCGGGTGTATGAGAATGTGGTGGATATTGTCGAGGGCAGGATCAAGCTCGTTAAGGTTCTGCTGAAAGACGGGCTGCTGGAGAGGTTTTATGACTGGGCGAATGGGCTGTCCGAGGTCAGGCCTTTGTTTCGGTTGTTGGGGCGGTCGCGCCCTGGGCTGCGGGTGTTGGAGATCGGGGCGGGGACGGGGGGTACCACTGCTAGGGCTCTGGAAGGTCTTGCGGGTGGGACTGAGGGACCCGGGTTTGGGAAGTATGTGTTTACCGATATCTCGACGCTGTTCTTTGAGAAAGCCCGGGAGAGGTTCCATGGGTATGAGGGGGTGGAGTATCATGCGTTGGATATTACGAAGGATCCCGCGGAGCAGGGATTCGAGGTCGGTGGGTTTGATGTTGTTGTTGCGTCGAATGCGAGTATACCTTTTAATCTATACGTTGTCCGTGAGGTTGACTATTATAGGTTCTGCATGCGACGCCATGTTTGGTGGAAACACTGAAGCATTGTCGCTTGTTGCTCCAGCCGAAGGGGGTGCTCTTTCTTCAGGAGCTGTCGCCGCGTGAGTCTTGTCTGTTCTTGTTGACTGGAGGAGGTACTGATGATGCCAATAGCAGGGAAATATGTGGATTACATGGTGGTGAGTAGCCCTCTAGTTGGCTTAGTGGTGAATACTGACGCAGGCAGGGACTTTTGCCCGGCTGGTGGCTGGGTGAGGCGGATGGGCGTGCGGATGGCCCCTGTGTGCCTCCGGAGGAATGGGATCAACGACTGCAACTGGCGGGCTTTGAGGGATTGCATGCTGTTGGCTTGGACAGTGAGCCTCCATTCTACTACAATGCCAATATGCTGGCTCGACCGGCCGTGTAGGGCGACTGGGACGAGAGTTGATAGCTAGCCCTCATTTGAGTGACAGTTGAGGGAATGGCCCTTCTTACAACAAGCAGTACCTGCGTGCTTCGTTGTGTCTGGCTCTTGTATGTCCATCTGTTAGCTAAATATGATCATTTGTCGATTGCTTAGATAGCAATTTGAGAATCACTAAATCTATTCAGACTGCCATATTGATCCGTAGCAATAATCAATTGCACTCTAAACATCTTAGTCCTGACAAGCATTCTTCATAACGTTAACAAAGATGGAACACCACGATAAATACTTACAACCTTCCGGCATAGCATCGCAGCCCTAAGACACATCCACTTGCTCCCCCAACCCCACCATTTTCAAACTATCCTCCCACAACCTCGCTGCCATCGCCTCATCCCAAATCCAACTCGCCCACCCGGGCAATGCAAACTGCCCGCGCGACGCCTCATCCGCCTCGTCCGCAACCTGCACATCATCCAGATACAACCCCCCCTTCCCCTCCAACTCGCTGGCCACCGCCGCCCAGACCTGCGTCGCCGCCCCTTGCTCGACGCTCTTCTCCATCTTCGCCAACAATGGCTCCATCTTGTAGTACTGCTCCCGCCTTCCAGACGACGACCCCGGCAAGCCACGCGAGATCTCGGTATCCATAATAATCCCCGGATTCAAACTCAGCGCATGTACGCCACGCTCCGCATACTGGCGCTCGAACTCATTGGCCATGAGGATCGTCGCCGTCTTGCTCTGCGCATACGCCTTGGAGGCATTGTACTCGCCGACCAGTCCGTTGTAATCATCCGGATCGACATTCTTGGCTCGATGGCCCGCACTTGACACCACCACGAGTCGGGAGCAGAAATCCGATGTAGCTGACGCCACCAGCGCCGGAGCCAGCAGGTGTACCAGCAGGAATCCCGCGAGATAGTTCACGCCAAACACCCCCTCGAACCCGTCATCCGTGGTGCGCCGCGGCGACGCCACCACCCCCGCGTTCGCCAGCAGGACATGCAGCTTCCCCCCGCTGCGGCGGAGGAACTCGTCCGCCCCATTGCGCACGCTCTGCAGGCTGTAGTAGTCCATGTGGATGACTTCGATGGCTGGGGCTGAGGACTCAGGGTTTGCAGCGGAGATCTCCCGCGCGAGCCGCTCGCCCTTCGCCACGTCCCGCCCCGTGATGAAGATCTTGGCCCCCGTGCGGTGCAGCACGCGCGCGGATTCGGCGCCGAGCCCTGCGGTCCCGCCGGTGATGAGGATGGTTTTGTCATTCCAGGCGTCCGTGTCGAGGAGGTTTTGGTCGGCGAGGATCTGGGTGGCGGTGGGGCGGGCGTCGCTGAGGCCCTGGGGGTGGGTATGAAGGGGGGCGTAGCGATTGAGTGTCATTTTGTGCTGAGGGTAAAAAATGTGAAGTGAGGTTGGGCTGAGTTGGGTCGAGATGGAAGTCCTGGGGTATTGCTTTGTGGATTCATGGTGGGTGGGGGACGAAGTAGTCTGTCTCTCTGGGGTGGTTAGGGTTACAGTTGCGTCTCGGAGACAGACGACACAATTCCCGAGTAATTCCCGACATGAACGATGAAACCTCCGAATTGAGAGGGTGCGAGCAAAGAGGCAGAGTTGTGTGAATTGGGCAGAGTTCGGGAATTCATATAGGATGTATCATCAGCGTCATGACCGTCATGACTGTCACCAATCTAGTCAGTCTTTGTTCTTTGAATCTCGCTAATGCAGAACTAAGCAGGGATCTTCGCTGTTCCCCGCCTCACTTTCTCACTTGGACGGACTTTCGCTCCTTCTCTGCCCCTCACCACCTTTTTTCTCACAACAACCCACCATCTTCCACCATATCGGGTTTTTCCGTTCTACCACTACCTATCCCCTTTGCTATGATACATTCTCAACATTAATTCCCGAGCTACCAGACGAAACACCATAATGACCGACTTCGACGCCCTCTTGGCCGAATACACCGCCAAAGCGAACCCCCAGGTCCACGGCGTCATCTGCAAATGCGTCGATCGAACCGGTACCAGCTCCCACTACAGCTTCGTTGCTTCTTTCCCTCACATGTTGAACCTCCCCGCGCCTCATTGCTTTTTCTGCATCCTAACTCACTAACCCAACTCCAAGGAACCGAGATCTACAGCAAAGTAGCAGGCTACACCTCCCTCGCCCCCGACAGCCCACCCGTCGACGAGAACGCAGTCCTCAAACTCGGCAGCGCCACCAAGCTGATCACAAGCATCGCTCTCCTCCAATGCATCGACCAAAACCTCATCGGCCTGGACCAGCCCCTCACCACCATCCTCCCGGAGCTCGCGGACATCGAAATCCTGACGGACGTCGTCAACGGCCAGCTCACCCTCGCGCCCAGCACCGTCCCGATCACCGCCCGCCACCTCCTCACGCATACCTCGGGGCTGGGGTACAGATTCACCCACCGCCTGCTCCGGCTGCGGGCGGAGGCGCGCACCGAGCCTCCCTCCCTAAAAATCACGGAACGGTATAAAATGCCCCTGGTGTTCGAGCCGGGGACCGGCTGGCTGTACGGATGTAGTCTGGACTGGGCCGGGGTAGTGGTCAGTCGGCTGCACGGGGGAATATCCCTTGGGGATTACTTCGTGGAGCATATCTTCAAGCCTCTGGGGCGGGTGGCCCCGTTCCCCCGGTTCAATATCATGCTGCATCCCGAGTATCATGCACAGATCCTGCAGGGGGCGGTGCGGACACAGGACGGGAAGCTGGCGCCGCTGGAGCGCTGGGCGTTCGATAACCCTGAGGACCAGGAGGGCGGGAGCGGGCTGGCGGCCACGACGGGGGATTTCCTGGCCGTGCTCGCGGACCTCGTGTCTGACTCGCCTAAGCTGTTGAGTCGGGCGACGGTCGCGGAGATGTTCGTTCCGCAGATGGAAAAAGGGTCGGATGGCGTGCAGATGCTGCTGGGCTTGCGGCCGGCGTGGGATACTGTGGCGGGCCCGGTTGCGGAGGATGCGGTCAACCACGGGCTTGGGGGGTTGCTGTGCGTGGGTCCGGTGCCGGAGATCGGGCAGCCGGGGGGCATGCTGGCCTGGGGAGGGGCGTCCAATGTTGTCTGGTGGGCGAATCGTGAGCAAGGGGTGGCCGGGTTCTTTGCCACGCAGCAGGCGCCCTTTGGGAATCCGACGGTCACGAAGTTGGTCAATGGGTGGAAGAAGGATTTCTGGGTGCAGTTTGATGCGATTGATCTGCCTTGACGGCCTGCTTTTATAGACTAGAGTAGACTGCACTGTTGAGCTTACATTCGACAAAATCCCATCCTTATCAACGCGAGGCCATCTAACATTGTCCATAGCCGAATGCGATGTTATTCACTGCGGGATCCGCACCACAAGCTTCTCCCCCCTCACCTCTCCCTTCTTCAACATCTCCAATCCTTCAATAATGCTTTTCCACCCGCCGCTCAACTCCCGCAACGGATGCGGTTTGATCTCCCGCCGCGCCATCAACCCCTCCACCTCCTTCGCCCACTGCACCCCGATCGCCAGCAGCGCCGAATCCCCTGGACGGGTGTACGCCGACTCCCCGAGGTTGAGATCCGTGCCCAGCACCTGGAACCCCATCACCTCTTTGACGCGGACGGCGCGGCGAGTCCGCCACGCGGCGGGACACTCCTCGAGACAAGCATACACACCGCCTGTGCGGGCCAGCAGGCTGTAACACAGCGCCGTGGAGTCGGCGTCAGTGATACAGTCGAGTACATACCGGATGGGCTTTCCGGCAAGGGCTTGGATAGTCGCCACGCAGTCCTTGGCCGTGTAGGACGCTGTGCCCTTGGCACCGTAGGACAGGGCCAGCGGGGCGGATTGGGGGGAGGTTATTGCTAGGGGTGTGTAGCCCATTCTTTATCCTGCGTTAGCTTGCGCTCTATCTATCTTGTATTGTCAATGCAACCAGGAAGAGAATGGGAGGGGGAGTACAGGTTAAGCATCTGACACGCGAACGTGCCCGACGCAGTCGCACCGCCATACACCACGACCGGCTCGCCGGCCTGATGCGCCGGCCGCGAGGGCAACCCCTCCAGCCCCAGCGCGTGCGGATCGCTGAGCGCCAGCGAGATCGTCGACCACGCAACGCCCAGCGCTGCTGCTTCGGTGTCGCTCCAGTGCGGAGGCACCTTCACCAGCAGTCGCGCGTCGACGGTGCAGTACTGCGCGAAGGAGCCGTTGTCGCCCTTGTCGGTGGGGTTGTAGGGGAACAAGGCCCCGCACACGCGCGTGCCGACGGGCAGGTCTGGGTGGTCTGGGTGGGGGGTTTGGATCACGCCGCTGAGGTCGCAGCCGGCTATGCTGCTGGGTTTGTTGAAGTAGGTGACCATCTTGTGGTCGTTGGGGTTCAGGGCGACGGCCAGGATGCGGACGAGGACATGGTGCGGCGATTGCGGGGAGGGGACTGGGGCGGTCGGGGAGACGGCGAGGGGGAGGTGTGTTGGGTTGTCGCTGTCCTTGGAGGTTTGGACGATGGCGGTTTGCGTGAGGTGTGTCATCTTGGAGAGCAGGGGCTGTGGTGGTGAGAGGTGGCTGGGTGCTGGGTAATTGTGTCTGTGTTTGAGGTGAGGTATTAAAGGTACTATGTAGGAGATGAGGTGAAGAGTTAGGGCTAATCCCGAGGGTCGTCACCCACTCGGAGGTTTTGTAGCATAGCATCTCCGAATCATCGGCTTTTCCTTCGTACTTTTTATGGCCGAAGGCCGGATTATCTTCCGGAGCTGAATTGGACTCACAAAACGAGGCTGTGGCGCGTCGATCATGCACGTCCTGCTGAGTTCCCACATAAAGGGAGGCCACCCCACAACGAGTCTCGTTCTCTTCGTACCACATCCCCCCTGCTGGGTACCGCATCATCGACGCGATGTTTCTCTACTCCGGAATTGCCCTAGGCCTCGTGCTGGCCGTCATCTTCAAGCAGTTCAAACCACATGGAGGCAAGGAACCCCCCTCCCTGTCCGGGTGGATGATCACCAACACCTACCAATACATGACCGACATGCATGGCTTCCTCCAGCGAGTGGCGTCAGTCCCGCCATCAGTTTCTATCACAGCGTCCACCCACTGACTCCCCTCCAGATCCGCCCAGCGCCGCAGCAACATCGTCAAATTCCGCCTCGGCCCCAAGAAGATCTACATGGTCTCGGGCGAGAAGAACATCCATGCCATCAACACCCCCTCGCACAGCATCAGCCCGGAGGTCTTCTTCCTCGACGTGATGGCCAACGTCTGGGGCGCCAAACCCACCGAGCTGGTGAAATTCCGCCAGGACAAGTCCGGCCGCCGCAAGAACCCCATCCCCGGCCACGAGCTCCCTCCCGGGGAGCCGCGGCTCTGGCACGGCCAGCACCACATCTACTCGGAGTTCCTGCAGCGCACCGACCGGGCCAACTTCCTAACCACCAAGTACTTTGACCTGTTCTCTGACAGACTCGTCCAGCAGCCCCTGAACGAGTGGCGCGAGGTCCGGCTGTGCGAGTTCTTCGAGAGCGAGATGGCCGAGGCCGCCCTGGAGGCACTGATGGGCCCACGCCTCGTCGAGCTCAACCCGGGCTTCTGGCCGATGATGTGGGAGTTTGCGCGCATCGCGCCGCAGCTGATGTGGGGGCTGCCGCGGTGGATGAACCCGGGCCCGTGGAAGACGCAGGCGGAGTTCCAGGCGATGTGTCGCCGGTACATCGATGCTGCAGCCAAAGCGTTCGACCCGACGGGCCCCGAGGCAGACGCGGAGTGGGAGCCGCAGTATGGGTCGCGGATGGCACGCGAGCTGGTCAAGTGGGCGACGGAGAATCTGTCGCCGGAGACGACGGCGGGCATGGTGGCCACCTTCATCTTCGGGACCAACGCCAACTCCGTCCCCATGTCCACCTGGGCCCTGATGCATCTGGTCGCCGACCCTGCTCTGTACCGCGCGGTGCGCGACGAGTGTCTGGCCGCCAGCACGACCGACACCGTCACCGGCCGGCGGGGCTTCGACCCCCAAAAGCTGTTCGGTATGCCCCTGCTGCAGTCTGTGTACATCGAGACTTTACGGCTGCATGTTTCGATCAATGTCACTCGCGAGGTCACCCAGCCCATCACTCTGGACGGGTTCCTCTTAACGCCGGGGTCGTTGATCCAGGCCCCGAGTCAGATCGGCCAGTACAATGAGGGGGTGTGGAGTGCGCCGGGCCATCCGGCCTCGGAGTTCTGGGGCTATCGCAACCTCAAGCGTGAGAGTGAGAAGCCGGAGTTCACGATGACGGGCAAGACGAGCTCGTTCTTTCCGTTTGGTATGTCCCACAGCAGCTGATAAGATTTTCACAGGGCTTATGCTGATGTATATATATATAGGCGGCGGACCGTCTATCTGTCCCGGTCGGGTATTCGCCAAGCAGGAGATTCTGATGACAATCGCGGCTCTCGTAACTCGTTTTGAGATCGAATTGATCGACTGGATTCATCCGGATGGAATCAAGTCGAATCGACCGGCGCAGAACGATCAGTCGCTCATTGGGGCCGTGGGGATTCCGCCGGATCGGGATATGAAGGTGAGGTGGAAGCGGCTGTGGTAGGGGGGCTGGGTTTGGATATATGTCAGATTTCGAAGTAAATCTTCTCAGTTGTAGAGTAGCTGAGATATAGAAGTGCTTTCCCTGTGCATAGGTACATTCTAAGAAGCCCAATTGTGGTTATCTATGATGATGAGCACGATATGGGCTGCGGTGCTCGTTCATTTTGTGCTGTACATATAGCACTTTATGAAGGCTAATATACAACAAGGCAAGATGGCCGAGCGGTCTAAGGCGCTGCACTCAAGGACTATTCCTTCTCCAGATCACATCTGAAGAGCATTGCAGTCACGCAAGTGGCGTGGGTTCGAATCCCACTCTTGTCATATCTTTTTGTTGGTTCCTTGCACAATCTCTTGAATACAGTAGCAAAACGAGACTAGCGTATTCTCTACCCGTGTCGTTCATTATTACTGCTGCACGCTAGAACCTGTGCTGGCTGAACTTCTATTTCTATGCACCCGCTGGCACCCTGTGTTGACTATTCTCTTGTTGGACCATTTCGAACCACCCTAATAAGGGGTCATGGAAGCGTACTTTGTTCCTCTCTTTCTTCTACGCCGGTGAGGTCTTCCTGTCTCTGAATGCTGAAGATCCTGTCACATCACGGTTCTACAATAGGGTCCTTCATCATGTTTATTAACCTGTATGTATCTCCATGGTCGCGTTCAACGGGCGACACCTCCTATTGGGAACGAGTCCGTCTCGTAGTACGGTGGTAGGAACTACGCAGACCTTGTCAACTGCAAATGTCATAATTAATATAATCATATATTATTAGTCTTATTCTACCAGGAGGTCATAGCATCCCATAAGTCATTGCAACCACTAAGATTCGAAGAGGTAAATCCAGCTCATCAATAAACCCTTTCCTGATCACAGTCAGACAAGACCGTGACCGTAACTGTAGCCAAGACAGTCGATGTCACCACGTCCTCGTCGCCCTCCCCGGAAGCAGTCGGGGGCTCGGTGGTGTGGGGAGAGACCACAGCGGCGGAGGAGCTCGACGCGGCCGACGGGATCAGTGAGGGTTGAGTGGGGCTTGCGGATGGAGTGGAGAAGGGAGCGCTGCTAGAGGACTGGACAGGGGCCGGGATCACTGCAGAAGAAGAGACCCGCGCGGGCTGCGAGGGAGCGGACAATGACTGCTGCGGGGTAAGGGCGGAGGACGACTGGGTCAGGGGTGACGGCGAGCTGAGTTGCTGAGAGGGGAGGGAAGAGGAGCCAGCACTAGGGCTGGGAGCCACGACGGGCGTGGAGCGGGAGAGTGAAGGAGCGGCAGCTGGGATGGAGGAGGCAATAGATGAGGGAAACGATGGTCGGATCGATGAGGGGATTGAAGAAGGAGCGGAAGAAGGAACTGAAGAAGGAGCGGAAGAAGGAGCGGAAGAAGGAGCGGAAGAAGCAGCGGAAGAAGGAGCTGAAGAAGGAGCGGAAGAAGGAGCGGAAGAAGGAGCGGAAGAAGGAGCTGAAGAAGGAGCGGAAGAAGGAGCGGAAGAAGGAACTGAAGAAGGAGCGGAAGAAGCTGAAGGCGTCGTAGAAACGGACGAAGGGATGACAATCGATGAAGGAACCACGGATGAGGCCGACGCTACACTCGATGGCACCACAGCCGTTGGAGTGACAGTCGAGGACACCGGAGAAGGAGTGGACGAAATGACGGTCGATGTAGCCGAACTGGTCGGGACCGTCACCGTCACCGTATAGACGGTAGTGGCCTGGCTGGTCACATACTCGGTCAAATAGTCGGTCTCCATGGCCGTGACCGTCTCTGTGCATGGGTTGGTGGAGTAAGTACTGAGCGCCTGATAGCCCGAGGCAGAGACCACTGCATCGCCCGTGGCCCACAAATACTGACAACTGCTCGACGCTGGGTAGTAATTGACGGCATTACACATGCCATTAAAGATACGACAATACAGTTCACAGCCGTTGATATTTGCCTGGCGACTGTAAACGTTCATCACGGCTCGGGTGACTGCTCCACTGATGGAGGAGCCGTCACACATCTCACGATAGTAAGTACCGGCAGAGGACCAAGCATAATTGGTGCATGAAGAGCCGGATCCTAGAGAGGCCGTACCAGTGGCACAGACAACACTGGTGGTGACCACTGCCGAAGAGGTGGTGACAACATTGGTGACAGTGGTGGAATAGGTCGAAGTCACGGTGGCGATCGAAACACTGGGAGCACCGGCAGCCGGAAGAGCAATAGTCGCTGCCAGACTAGCGGGGGCCAGGGCTGAGAGGAGAAGCAGCCCACTGCTTATGGAAAAGTCCTTCATGATGAGGACGGTAGCGATTGGTTTTTAGGTATGAAATTGATGTTGGTGTTGAGGTTCAAAGAATGACAAGGGCTCAGTCAGAGCCTTGGGTCGACTATCACAATGGCATGGGCAAAAAAGACAGACAATGAATGCCAGCAAAAAGGAGCACGAAAGAGAAAGCATCATGGGTGGTTATTTAAAGGCAGCTGGGATTTGGGTGGCGTCAGATGGTCGCGATCCCAGCATTGTGGGACGGCTCTTCTGGCGGATTCAGATCAATCAGAACCTATCGATAAGTTGACCGAGAATCGGGGTGGAGACAAAGTCTTCTCAAGCCTTGGAGCTGAAAGCAAGTCGGGGAAGATTCTAGCGAGGAACCTACCGCATTAGGGCTAGTTAAGGGGGTGACAAGCCACTATCCACGGAGTACGCCGTAACTCGTCCAATCCCACCTGATCTGTCCAGGCCTGGATACAAACCAGACCTAAGGATGGTCAGATCATGCGAAGCTATCGAGTCTCTGTGGCTGGAAATTGGATGTGGAGGTGAATTCTACAATCGAGTTAGGCGATGGGTGGCGCAGAATGGGTGCCTAAGGCAGTAAACGGAATCACCGGACCTGCACCCGCTGCGCTATGCTCATGAAAGCTAGTTAACCGACGCAACAGTTACTTTTCATGCACTTCATGCATTTCATCCAAAGGAATGCTCTTCTGTTCCAGAGGGGAAGTCTGCAGCCCGAGCCGAAGGGTGGTCGAAAAACTGCACCGACCACGCCATCGCACTGGAAATCTCACTAGGCCATTCCCCAGGAAACTGGAGATCGTCTGGCATGATGTGTGACGACGTGAATGGCGCAGTATCGAGATTTAGAGCAGGTTCGGTGTTGCTGAGGGGTTGTGGTAAGAGCGATAACGGCAGTGAGGTAGACTCTACGACTGCCGGCGGCGCTGTAGCTATCCAAGATGAGAAGAAATACCCACCAAAACAGGGAGAATCTGGACACACCTCTATGAATGGAATGATGTAGGCTAGAAAGTGCTTTCAACATGTCGGCCGCTTTTCGAGCGGCAGCCGAGTTAGCACTCAGCGCCTCGAAGACCTTCAAGCAGGTCTCGGCATCTTCTCGCAGATCCTGCGCAGACGAGGTGCTATGAAACGAGTCTTGGTTCGGGCAGAAAGCTTCGGCCACAAAGAGGATTGAGCTGGCGCAGATCAAGCATGAGATCATCTGCCACCAGGGGAAGTCGTGTACTAGACTGCGTTCGTCGACCAGATTGTGGAGTAGCTGCGCTGTCTGCCGTGCTTCCTGGACGCATGTGGACTCGGCCTGAGCGATTCTGCGTTTGTCTCGACGCATCAGTTCCATGAACGGATGGTTATTGACCTGCAGGAGAGGAAGGCATAGAAAGGGTCTGTGGATCAAAGCGCGCAGATGATGATACTTCACGGCCAGCATATTACGCTGAGTCACATAAGTCACATAAGTCACACAGCAGACCTGGAGGACTACTACATACCTGTCGCTTGAAGGTAACCGAACTCTCAAAAGTATGACCCAGGTCAAACCGCAGATGCCGTGGCAGTCCCTTCTTCCATTCGCTGAGCCGTTGATCCAGAGCCGACGAGGTGTTGAGCATCATGTCCGGGGCCACGTCGATCTGCGAGGGCCGGTACAACTCCCGAATGACTGCACCCACCAAGTAAGAGAAACGGATCACGGCAAGGAAGTAGTCCATAAGGGAGCAGGTCGGTGTATCTCTGCTTGCCGTACTAGATTTCGCGGATATAGTTGGATTATGACCGAATGGGAAGGGGTCAGAGGAAGAGGGCATCTCCACTTGAAAGTCGCTTTCGTGAATGGCCATAGGACGGCCGAGCTGAAGCGCAAGCAGCCGATCGAGAACATACATCGAGTACCATGTTCGCCGCCAGTGCACCCGGTCGGCCATCCATGATGTCCGGGTATGCATGGGGGACGATTCCACATGAAGGCCGATGCTCTGCCCCATGCGGATGGCAAAGCCTAGTGTGTTCCAGCACCTTGCCGTGACGGTGAGTTGTCAATCTCAGATATTGGCTATAATAAGACTTACCTATCTGTGTGGCAAATCGCCAGTAGGAAGAAGCATTGCACTATCAAGGCCCACACACTCAGCAAAGAGCATGTTGCGCCTAGTTCCCGAGAGAAGTATAGGCCTTGCTCAAAGTATCGCAGATGATCGGAAGAAGCTGTCCCAGATCGATGTGGAAAAGAGGTGTAGTAGGAGCCGATAGCGAAGATAAAGTCTATCTCGCTGTTAGAAGTAGTGATGACATGATATATGCAGACGCATAAAACAGATTGTCTTACTGAACAATGCAAGCCACGGCTCAAATTCCTGGTACGCGTAATCACCGGCCTGAAAGACCTGAAACTGCTCCAGGAGAATCTCTCTGCAAAGAAACGGGTAAGCGACATGGATGGTGGACAAATAAACATCTATGAAGCCTTGCGCTTCGGTAGGAGTCGGAACGATGAGAGGCTGGGTCAACCCGGCCAGGCTCTTGGTGATATGAGTCTGACTATAGTTATCGGCTGGCGAGGATTCTCTTGCAGTCCAGGCCCCAGTCTGATAGCACTGGCGAATGCGGTGTATGAAATGGATATCGCTCGCCTTGCCCACGTAGGTGGCGGGTGAATCCACGCCCGCCTCGCTAGAAACAGTGCTCGGTTCTCGGGTCGAGGCAGGTTGCTCCAAACTTGAATCCGTGGCATTGACAGGCAGCTGGCGGCGGATTGTGTGTAGACTAGCATTCAGGGCTCCTTTCTGGTTCTGATCGAGGTTTGATAGTAGCTCCTGCATCAGAGATTCGTATTGCCGCACAGCGCTTTGATAGCTCGCCAACTCATCATGCCTTGATTCGTCTGACAAATCCCGGTGCTCTGGCTCTTTAGGGGACATATCTCTCGTAGTCTCCACTTCCGGCAATGGAACCTTTCGTTTACGTGATGACCATGAGCACTTGAAGCCGTAGCCTTCGCACCGAGTACAAATTGGCTGTCGCCCATCACACTTGGCCTTGAGCAGCCGGCATTTCTCACAAGCAATCGGTGCCCTCTGACGCTTCATGATGCATGTCGATAGGATGATGATTCAGAAGTTAGTGATGTCGAAAAGCAATGCTGTAAATGCAGAAGCCAGAGAGAATGAATGAATGAGAAGGAAGGGGCTGTGCTTATGTCAGCACGCCACCATAGTTAACGCTATCCAGATCACGTGATAACACCACGATTTGCAAGCATATCTCCCACCACAGTCAAAGTAATCGAAGGCAAGTGTACAAGATAGATAGGCAATGAGAGACTAATCTTCTCACTCGGATGGATGCAGGCTCCAGCATGGGATAGTCGGTCAAAGGTTCAAGTTGGAATTCTGCATCAGTTGATCCGACAATAACGAGGGGCCGCCCGGGCCGTGATTACCGCGATAGCCGGGACTGCCGCCGTTGCTCGCAAGTCAACGATTCAAGGTAGGGAGAAACCGGTTGGAATTTTCTTCCCACCACAATCGTGCTTGCTGCTGTCCTAGAAGATGCAGTCACAGTACAATGCTCAGGCGAAATACGATAAACAGGAACGACCCTCTATCTCGTCCCCGAGAGAGAGACTAATGACTGACTCCGATTCTGAGTCCGAAATCAATCTTGATGAGGTCGCCGCCCCGCCACCGGTATATGATCGTCCCGATGAGGATCACCTCGAGAACCAATTATCCCACCAGGCAGGGAGAGAAGAAGAAGAAGAAGTCATCGAACAGGAGTCGCAACAGGATCAAAATGGGTATGCGACGACGGTGGGAACGGAAGAAGATGAGAAGCAGCAGGGAAGGGGTCTTCGGTCAACTTCCATGCGCATGCCCTATGTCATCGCCTATTTGATCTTCTCCTCGTTCCTGGGCACTCTACTGAGAATGGTCATCGAGAGCTTGACCTTCTACCCAGGCGCGCCCGTCAACACCAGTGTGCTCTGGGCCAATGTCGGGGGCTGTTTTATCATGGGATTCCTCAGTGAAGATCAAGGACTGTTCCGGTTCAAAGAAGTGGATGTTCAAGTCGAACACGAGGATGACGGCCAGCGCAGGGCGCGTCTGACCGCACACAAGAAGACCATCCCACTCTACATTGGACTGACCACCGGCTTCTGCGGAAGTTTGACCTCTTTTTCTACCTTCATCCGTGACCTCTTCCTCGCCCTGTCCAATGGTCTGTCCGTTCCTATGGGCCCCTATTCAGACGTGTCCTTGTTCGCTGCCGCGCAAGATGTCCCCAAGGCTCCCAACGGTGGTTTCAGCTTTATGGCGATCATCGCAGCGCTCCTCCTCGAAGTCGGGCTATCCACGTTCAGCATCAAGCTCGGAGCCCATACGGCGGTGTTTCTCTCCCCTTGGACCCCCCGTTTGCCGCAATGGTGGCTGGAACGGATCGTCAACCCGTGCATGATCCCGTTGGCCACTCTGTCCTGGATCGCGCTCATCTGCCTCGTCGCACTGCTGCCGCGCCACGCTTCGGACCCGACTCTATGGAGTGCAGAGATATGGCGTGGTCCCGTGCTGTTTGCGCTGGTGTTCTCCCCGGTCGGCTGTCTCGCACGGTTCTTTTTATCGCTCAAGCTCAACGGCCGTGTAGCCGCGTTCCCGCTGGGTACCTTTGCGGCGAATATATCAGGAACCGCGGTGCTAGGCATGGCGTACTGTTTGCAGCACAGCTCAATCAGTGCCGCAAGTCTGGGTGGGGGAAGCGTCGTGGGCTGTCAGGTGCTGCAAGGGATTATGGACGGGTTCTGCGGCTGTTTGACGACAGTCAGTACGTGGGCATTGGAGTTGATCGACTTGCGTCCCCGGCACGCTTATGTGTATGGAATCATGAGTGTGGTGGTGGCCTTTTGCTTGTTGGTGGTGGAGATTGGAAGCTTGAAGTGGACTCGCGGGCTGGAGACTCCGATTTGCTTCAGTGCGAGTACAGGACAGTAACAATCCATCATTAACAATGAGCTGGTCGTTTGTTATCCACCTGACCAGCAAGATAGAACACTAAGTTCTGTGGGAATATATATCCTTTTTGAATCATAATAGTCTAACTGGGATGCTTACCTTCACCCGGCCTTTATCGAGGCAAACGCGTTGGGAATTTAAAGCCTCGGTCTTTCAATTGCTATGGGGAAATCCCCTCCTCGGTCTCCACGCTTCATGGCAATGGTCTATAAGCCGCAATGCAAATCTGAACAAGCGCGTCAGCGAATTCCCCAACCAAGCGAACAACAATCATACTGCCGATCCATCCGCTTGCCGTCCATCGCCAGCCGATTGGGACTGCGTCCGTCAGGCACTTTATAGACGCAATACCAGGTTCTCAACGATTCCAAGACTCCAGGAAACTGCGCTTCCACATCCTGTAAATCTGTGAGACTCTCCGCGCGCGCGTCAGTGATGTCAACAGCAACAATTTTCCAATCCGTGCTGCCTTCATCTAGCACGGCAAATGCCCTGAGCGGCTTCACCTTCTTGATATCACCGCATCGAGTCACCCAGGTTCGATCTCACAGACATCCAGGGGGTCGTCGTCTCCTACACACCTGTGTCATGTCGTGGGATCTTCCCATGTCTGGTTGTGGGGTATCAGTCAGCCGTCATTGATGTGGGTACGGAGATGTCGTTCAAAATGAGAGGAAATTAATGAGGGGTTCACCTGTGAAATAGCACCGTAGTTGCACGGATAGCCCTGAAACGGCAGGACATTGGCGATTTCCTTAAGTTTCCCATCTCTGATACCCTGCTTGATTGGATTTAAGGAGACTTCCTTCGCGATCTGTTCCATTGCGGGGATTAGCGGGAGATTTAGTGTCCGAGAAATAAAACAGTGTAAACGCACACCTCCATCTTTGCATTCGTCGCCCGCGGAATCTCCACGACCGTATTCATATCTCCTCCTCCCGATCCGCCCGCAACGAAAAGGTCATGCAACGGCGAGATCAAGATCCGCTGGCCATTGCACTAAAAATGCAGACACGCCGGACGGAAGTCCGCGACCGAAGGGTCGTCAATTGCGATATCAGAAGACCATAACAGACGCAACCACGAAAAAGAACGCATGACTAGAATACATGACAGAATGAAAACTGATGGATGATGGCGATTGCAAAGAGGAGAGGGTTGAGGTCTCCAGATCGGCGAGACCGGCAAAGACTGGAGTCACCGAGACCGTGACGCCATGTTTGACGAACAATAACCTGGGGAGGTCGCGAGAATCTCATTTAAGGCAGTTCCAATGTCTTATTGTTGAAGTTGGCTGCTCCAGAAATCCTTTCTCTCATCCAATCCCAATGATCAAAGCAATCAAGGCAGCGCAAGGCTTGGACTCCACGGGCAACCCGACGGTCCAAGTCGACCTGACTACTGAACATGGTGAGCGCCATCCACCGAAACATTTTCACATACAATACAAGTAAAGAAGTAAGGAGATGAGAATCAGGCGTCTTCCGTGCTATTGTCCCCTCCGTAGCCTCGACCGGAGCCAGCGAGGCCGTCGAGCTCCGAGATGGCGACCCATCCAACTATGGTGACAAGAGTGTGCACAAAGCTATCCACAACTTCGAGAGCGTCATTGGCCCCGTGCTGATCGAGAGCGGACTTGGGGTTGAGAAGGACCAGAGAAAGATCGAGGAGCTGCTCATCGCCTTGGACGGTACCAAGAACAAAGCCAATCTCGGCGCCAATGCTATACTGGGGGTCAGTATGGCTTGTGCACGCGAAGGGGGCGGCTGCCGCGGTGAGCGATAATCAACCAGAATAATTTTATGGCGTAAGACTGAGCACCGTTTATTACCTTCTCTCGCGGATCACATGGCTACAGAACCTCGGACTGGCCTCTTGTTCCAAAGAAGAATTGAAGATGGAGCGATTCCTCGAGCAGCTAATCAAGCTCACGGTGGAACGAGAGATTGATCCTCAGTCTCTGAGAATCAGCGGTTCGTTCTGAAGACCCGAACGGAGGATATCGAGGCGGACGATGAGGGAAGAGTGTATATGATGGGGTGTTAAAACGGTGTAATTCTGTCCCCAATGATACATGTAGTCTATAGCTTAGAAAGTCAATATGAGATGTATGGCTAGTAGAAATGCAAGTTTGTTCCATCAGTCGCCGACTTACTACATATAGGGCACTCCATGATGAAGTCTGGTCGAACCATCTCTCCCAACAGGCTTTTATTCACTCAAGGATAATTCAACCGAAGCTAGGAAGGGCGAGACAGGTCTCTCACGCACAATCTCCACCCCGGGAATGTTAGTCTGGAATGCACAGGGTGGGGCGTGCTGATAAGCTTAGGTGAATTTGAAATCATCTGATCCGTCAGGGTTTTCTAGGGTTCACCATCTTGGGTATCTTGGAGAGCTGCACCCTTTCAATTGGAATAACACTCACATTACTCCCCATCGAATGCTCTATACTCTCAGGACGTCTTGAGCAGCCTGCATCAGCACATCTATTGACAGACTCACCCCGTCAATGCTCTGACCTAGCTGTTGCAGGCAATTCACCAGGACAAGCCTTCTCACGTAACGGTAGAATTTTCCTCACGCCACCAGGCTAAACTTCACCGAGTCAAGTGTGTTAGTAGCGGAAAGTCTCAGCAAAGTCAACCGGTCATGAGGCTCGTGGGCGCAATCCAACGCGGCCATTCATGACTCGGAGAAAACCCGGAGGGGGAAAATTGACCGGAAGGAATGAAGGCGCTAAGGCCCAAAGGGGAACTCGACACGAGCCAAAGATCAATCTAATCAATCTAGTCAATCAATCAGATAATCTGATAAGGCTCCGCGCCCCCTCTTTCCCTTGCTTGAACCCTCTTGGCAATTCCCTCCCTCCTTGGTTTGGGCCCTTTTGGGGCCAGTAGAGCCACTGTTGACTGGTTGAATGAATCCTTCAATAATTGCCAAGCCAGCGTGGTCAGGATGACTGCTGTCGCTGCTGCAGTCGGGTTATCCGGTTCTCTGTTGCACCATTCCTTCCTTAGTCCATGCCTCGAGTCATGCTACCAAGTCAGATTGATTCAGCTTAGCAATACTTTAGGGAAATTAGTTTTCCGGTTCTCGGACCACCTGTCCGGGACCATATGGCAAGTGAAGTATAAGTAGAGGTTGAGGCCCATCCCAGCCTGCATTCCGGTTCGTGATATTTGTTCCTGACAACCACCACCATGGCTCTCCGGAACCGCTTCATCAACCCCTTCGCGGCCAAGGGCGCTGTCGAGGCACAGTCCGAGACTGGTGCCCTTGATGTCGAGACAACTGCAGAGTTGAAGCACCCCATTGACCAAGCACAGGAGACCGATCGCTCCTCGCAGGATGATACAATCATCGACGACAAAGCGCAGTCGGGTACCCAGAAGGCGCAGGCCAGCACCCAAGCCTGGACGAGGAACACCCTGATTGCAGCCTACATCCTGTAAGTCTCCGACCACTCGCTCTGGAACATCCCCCACTAACCTAAACCCCCTCTTAGGGCTTGGATCGTCAACTTCCTCGAATACTTCAGCTCCGGCCTCCTCGGCTCTCTGTCCCCCTACATTTACAGCGGCTTCGCCCTGCACTCCCTGACAGGTCTGACCTCGGTCATTGCCTCGTTGATCTCCGCGATGGTCAAGTTTCCTTACGCAAAGCTCATGGACATCTGGGGCCGACCGCAGGCCTTCGCCGTCGCCGTGGGCTCGCTGACGTTAGGGCTGGTGATGATGGCAGCCTGCAAGAACGTGCAGACCTACTGCGCTGCGCAGGTCTTCTACCAGATTGGGTTCAGCTGCATCGACTTCTCGATGACGATCTTCATCGCCGACACGACCGCCCTGAAGAACCGGGCGTTCTGGATCGCCTACGCCTCGTCGCCGTACCTGATCACTCCCTGGATCTACGGGTACGCGGCCGACAGGATCGTCGCCCCCGGGGGCATCGGCTACCGCTGGGGCTTCGGGGTGTTCGCCATCATCATGCCCATCGTCTGCGCCCCACTGTGGGGACTGTGGTACTACATCCAGAAGAAGGCCGAGCGGATGGGCCTGACGGAGAAACGCGAGCGCAGCGGGCGCACGCTGGCGCAGTCGATCGTCCACTACGCCATCGAGTTTGACGTGGTGGGGCTGCTCATTATCGCGACGGGCTTCTCCCTCTTCCTGCTGGCCTTCAACCTGTACTCGTATCAGGCCAACGAGTGGCGCTCGCCGCTGATAATCTGCTTCATCATCATCGGCGCCCTGCTAATCCTGGCCTTTGTGGCGTGGGAGCGCTTCTGGGCCCCCGTGCAGTTCATGCCCTGGGCGCTGATCCAGGACCGCACCGTCGTCTTCACCTTCTCCATGGTCGTTTCCCTCTACCTGGCCTGGTACATCTGGGACAGCTACTTCTACAGCCTGCTGCAGGTCGTCTTCAACCAGACCGTCACCCAGGCCACCTATATCTCGAACATCTACACGATCGGATCGTGCTTCTGGTGCCTGGTCTTTGGCGCCATCCTGCGCTACCAGGGCCGCCTGAAGTACTGGGCCATCTGCTTCGGCGTGCCCCTGACCATTTTGGGCGTGGGCCTGATGATCAAGTTCCGCCAGCCCGACGTGAACATTGGGTACATCGTGATGTGCCAGATTTTTGTGGCTTTTGGGGGTGGCACCCTGGTCATCTGCGAGCAGATGACGGTCATGGCCGTGTCGGCGCAGCGCAACATCCCGGCTATCCTGGCCATCGAGGGCGTCGTCGCCAGCATTGGTAGCGCCCTGGGCGGGACGGTGGCTGTCGCCATGTGGACGGGCATTTTCCCCGTGAAGCTGCGGTCGCTGCTGCCTGCGTCCGCGCAGGCCGACTGGGCGACGATCTACGGCTCGCTGGACGTGCAGCAGTCTTACGCTAGAGGCACCGCCACCCGCGATGCCATCGACTCTGCCTATGGCGAGACCCAGCGGCTGATGCTGATCACTGCGACGTGTCTGTATCTGATCACCTGGTCGTCATGTTTCTTCTGGAAGAACATCGATGTCAAGAAGATGAAGCAGCAGGTGCACGGGGTGCATTTCTAGGCTTCGTTTGTCGAGTCGGAGGTCGTTCTCGATGAATTGACACTCTTTCAGAGTGGAGAGGCAGAGAACCAATTGCAATCTGCACGGGCGAACAAAAAGCATGGTGAATGATATCCAGAATGAAAGTGTGCCCTCTTTATTTTGCTTGATAAGTACGCTTGTCTCTGTTCGGATGCCATTAAGATAGTATAATATGTAATAGACGAGAACCGAAGGGAAATGAAAAGAAATATTCTTTCAAAAGTGAGAGAAAACTTTTGTCAAACCAGAGGGATTTGACAAAACAACGACCCCTGCACCGGCTGTCCACAGCCATCATATAAGCTAACCCTACTTCTCCTCATCCTCCCCCTCCGCAAACGTCCTCTTCTTCCTCACATCAACCCACCCCATCCCAAACGCCGCCACAAACCCCGTCAAACAGCACGCCATCAGCAGATAAAACACCTTATCCAGACTATCCGCGAACGCCAACAACACCCCCGCCAGCTCCGCGCTGCTGCCACTACCCTCCGGCACCAACGCGCGGACGGACCTCGCGCTCGCCCCAGCGGCCAGGGCCGCGTCTACTGAGACCTGGGGCGCATGTAGCCGGATCTCCTTGACGAGTTGCTGCCGGAAGATTACCTCCGCCACGACAACGAACACCGCGCCGGCGAAGTTCTGGCAGAAGATCATGAAGGCGATGCCGATGGGGATCAGGTGGACGGGGAGGTGGTTTTGGATGGCGATGATGCCCTGCACTTTGTTAGCTACGGGTCGGAGATGGAGTGGGAGAATGTCTTGTTGCTATTTTATGCTGCAGCAGGGTATCAGGTGGCTTACCATCTGCATCCCAATCCCGCGCCCACTGCCGAGCACGATCTGATACCCAATCCACTTGCCTGTTGGGGTCGAAGGGGCAAACATTGTGACAAGACCGTTGCCGACAGCGCTGATGGCGCTGCCGGCCGCAGCGAAGGGAAGGTAGTACCCCAGCTTTTGCACTGTATGCCGTTAGACACTTTTCCACCTACCCAGCTACAGATTTGAAGTAGGTTATAGACGTACCGAAAGCCCCAGAAAGAATGACCATGAGCAACTGACTCAAGATACCCGGCAGGGTGTTCACCCCGCTCATAGCGGGCCCGTACCCACGCACTCCCTGGAAGTAGATGGGCAGGTACTGCGCCGCCACCAGAATGGACGCCACCAGCATCCCTCCGTTGATCGCGCTGGAGTAAACGATGCGAGCGCTGACCATGGAGGTCGGGATCATCGCCCGCTCGCCCATGCGCTTCTCCCACAGCGCGAACACGATGGCTGTCGCCCCGGCACCGCAGAACAGTCCGATCACCACCGAGCTGTCCCAGCTGTAGTCATTTCCGCCGTACTGGAGGGCCAGCAGGACCATGATGGCGGCCGGGGCGAAGAGGGCGAACCCGAGGAGGTCGAGATCCGGGAGGGTGCGGCGGACCAGGGCCAGCGAGAAGGGGGCTTTGGTGGTGAGGTCGGGGACGTGCATGAAGAGGAGGAGGACGGCAGTCACGGCGCCAACAGGGAGGTTGATGTAGAAGCCTGGTCATGGTCAGAACGGTTGCACCGGGGGATGTCGAAGGGTACATACACCATCGCCAGGTTGTGTACTGGGTGAGCGCTCCGCCGATCAAGGGGCCGCAGATGATGCCGACCTGTGAAACTGGAATTGTTCAGCCGATTGTCCTCTGCCAGATCAAAAGACAGGTGACTGACTGCCAAGGTAGATTCCGGTGTAGACTGAGGTATTGTTAGCGATGATCCTCACTCCATATGCCGACTAACTCACTTGGCCGTTTTTCCAGCGGCACCGAGCCAGCAATGATGGTCATTCCCCCGTTCAACAGCCCCGAACTCCCCATGCCAGCGATCGCTCGCCCTCCGATCAGCATGGACGAGGAGTTGGCCAGTCCGCAGATGAGGGAGCCCAGCTCGAACACCCCGAAGAAGAACAAATACGACCACTGCACAATTATCAGTCTTTACTTCGCAACTCCTCTTGACGATTTCCCGACCTTGGTGTTATAGAAGGTGTACACCTTGCCCGACAGCGGCTGCAACGCGGCACTCGCCAACTGGTAGGCCGCTGTGTACCAGCCCACATCGTCCAGCGAGTGAAACTGACTCGTGATGTTGGGGAGGGCCTGGAGGAGTGTGTCGATGTGCAACGATCAGTAGTGTATTCTAAGGAGTAGATTCTATCTGGCGACGGCAACCTACCACACCGATAATCGACCCATCAAGCAGCATTAGAAACGCCGCGAGAGTGACACTGGCCAGGACGGCAAAGAGCCTGAGGCCTGTGATGTACTCGTGGCTCTCATCGGCCGTCGTTGCGCTGCCCAGCTCCCTGTGACTCTCGCCGGCGGGGACCATACCATCTTCTTTCTCGTCCGGCAGCGGGTGATGCAGCTCTGACTCCGACTTCGTGGGAGCTGGGCTGGTCCGTGGCGAGGGTTCAACGTTGTCCATTTCGCACGTTCTGGTTAGAGCTATCAGGTAGTGAGTTGAGATACGCGAATGCGAGTGAATGTAGGGTATAGTATGAAGAAGGGGGTATAATATAAAGGAGAACTGCAATCAGGGTCCAAGGGATAGAGACGCAGAAAAGCATTGGGCAGAAACCCCTAGCCCCTAACAAGCATTTCAGAATTCACAGTAGACCCTGAACTTGTTTGACCCCTCAATCAGCTCGATGGGCAGTAGCCACCTCCCAGAAGGCTTTTTGGTGGCCTGCGGCCCCGGCGCGCGGTGGAAATTGCCGAAGATCGACAGTCCCGCCAATACCTCCGCCGCTAAGTCCGGGGTCATACAGCCCTAATCCACACTATCGATTGAGACTGCAGCCACGGGATTGCTGCACGCTTTATCTTTTTTTGGTGCGGTGATAAGGATGTGCATGTATTTTGCTGCAGACACCTGTGGATTCTTGTCGACTACTGCGCGCTACTGCGCACTACTGCACACGCGATGGACTCCATTGAGCCTTTCGCGATGCGCGTCACATTTACTCAAAAGGGGAATTCTTAGAATAAGCAAGCATGGCAGCTGATGAGTGGGGTCCCGACGAATGGGCGAACTCACCGAATCGATTCCCTACGGTGGCCAGTTGCCAGGGGTGATGAAGATTACCACGGTCTAGAGCAGATGGTCGAACCCGATCGCCCGGAGTAGACCCTGACTCGAGCATAACCAGGCGAAATCTAATAATTGATTAGTGAAAGCAACAAGAGTGACTTGATCAAAATAAAAGTGACTCGCGTCGGAAAAGAGTCCCAGTGACATGTACCCGCCGGGTCACTCCCTCGACAGGACTTTTGGTTCGGCAGTACTGGATGCTTGGTATACAACATGTAATCTGTGCTGGTAGCCAAGAATTATCCTGCGATCGACTCAGAGGCCCTGCTCCAATGGACTCAATGATGCCCCAAATCTTACTGTATGCATAAACAGAGGTATATGGACTATAATGAAATTCCCATGTAGATATCCGCTTCTCCAGGGTCGTGTACTGTAGACCTGCAGTCAACTCGGGAAGGCACATTCCTACCACTAATATTTCAGACAAACCTATCTTAAAGTAATGCTATATACAACCTCGCTCCTTGAACCTCTAACAAAAAATCCTATAGCTCCTTTATAACCCGAACACTAGATGTCACAACAACCGGGCTCTATATGCCGAGTCAATCCAAACACCTTACCCGCCTCATCTTCCCCCTCAACGCCTCTATCACCCCCAGCCCGCCTCTCTCCCGCCCGCCCCCGGCATTCCCGGCATCCAACTCCACCTGCATCAATGTCGAGAACAGCAAATGCCCACTGGACCCACTGAACAGCCCCTCCGGCTTTTGTTGCGTGTCGTCCAGCCCCGTCCGCGGCGACGAAAGACAGAACTCCTCCGGCAGGCCGAGCAGCATCTCGATTGGCCGCAGCTGACTCCCTGTCAGACAGTACAGTAGGTGACTCAGCATGCCCAAGCCGGGGGGGACGGCGATGCCACCGAGGAACAGCTTGGGGGCGGCTTGCGTCGCCAGGTTGAGGGCTGTGGGGTTCAGCCGGGCCTGCTCGATGAAGTGGCCGAAGATGGTGTCGTAGATGGAGATCGTGAGCAGGTGGCAGCTGAGGATGGTGAGGAGGTCGGTGATGCTGAGGCGCGGGTGGGTGAATGCTAGGGCGGTGGCGGTGTTGCTGCTGGCAGGAGCCTTGGTAGCTAGGTGGTGGCTGTTCGTGATTTCTGAGGAGGGAGAGGCTTGGATTGACCTGAGAAATTGAGCAAAGTCCGCAGCTGTGCGTGCGATTTTGGCGAGTGGGTTGGTGGTGGTGATTTGGAGATCCGGTGGGCTCGGCTGAGTGGAGGAGTCGCAGCCGCCGGCTTCGTGGAGGCAGGTCAGCCACATGGCTTTGGTCATGTCCCATGGCATCGACCGGAGAGTAAAGAGTTGTTTGGAGAGTTCTCGCTGGAGCACGGAGAGGTGCAGGCCGTGGTCGAATGTCGGAGGGGGTAAGTGGTCGCCAAAGAGCGGCAGCAAGCCCGGGTCGATGGGCTCGAGCTGCAGGAGCGGGAGATGCTCGGTCGGGCTGGTGTCCATCATCGGGTCATTGAGTAAGGCTGCTGGTGAGGGTTCATCCGGCGGTGTTGATGGAGAGGACATGGTCTGGATGGTCGCACTGCCATCAATTGGGAACCCGACATCGATGGAGTTCCACGGAGCATGGCTCATCTCGTAGTCGGCGTCCAGCAGTTCGAGGTTGAACCAGTCGTCCACGCTGGTCAGAGCGTGGAGATCCACCGTGGGAAGAGATGGACTCGGATTGCGAGGGCTGTGTGTATCATCATTGTTGGATCTTGTTCGAGTCGAGCCGGTGGTCTGTCGCGAAGCCGTGGTCGAGTTCCTGGGTCGACCCGGCCGCTTGGATGAACTGGTTACACATTCCATCTGAGATCGAATGCATCGAATGCACGAGTCGGCGGGGTGGCCGGGGGCACGAACGCAACGCAGCTTCTGCGTCCTGCAGCGATCACAGGCGGCTCGTTTGGGGGGGTTGTTGGAGTTTGACATTATGGAGGGTGCATGCAGTATCGATCAAGTAACGTCAAGTGCAGTATCAAGGTCTATCGTCGATGTTCAATGTACCATCGCTGCTGATTCTTATACTTCGACTACAATACCAGCAGTCCTAGAGGTTCAGGCTATGGGCAATGTGTTCTGATTTTGCTTTTCCTTCCTACGGCACCACATTCCATGCGGAGTTCTGATCGACGCAGCCCTCTGCAGGCGACGAGATTGATAACCACCCACTTGAGGTCTCTCAATACTCCGATGGGGTAATCGAGCCGAGATAAGACAGAATTGAACTCTTATCGCGGTTGTTGTTATCCCCCCGAAGGGTTCATTGGCAGTACGTGAGCCCATTTACAACCAAAGTACGTGAGCATACCAGCAAACAGGCAAGCATCCCGGCCAGCCCGCGAGCAGAGGAAACCCTACCTTCACGGTGCTCATGTCTTTGCCACTGTGTCTCCGACCCTGGAGCAGCATAAGGATGCATGACGAAAGGGAATACTTCCCCGAGTCAGCACTAAAGCGGGGGATCAAGCCACCAGGCTGAAATCGATGTTGCAGAGGGGGCAGACGAACCTTTGGCTCTAGTGGCTTGGGACTAGACGCATGATCTAGCCCCAGAATGGAGGACAATGCATACAAGGCGTCTGGAGGTCCTCTGATGACCCTCTTTGAACACGTTCATGGATTGCAGTGGGCCTTTTTTTTTCCGCCATTTCACTGCACGGGGCGTTGGCTAGAGTTACTATCGTCTGAAGAAGGCGATCATTCGAATCTAGTGCCTCCGCAGTGGTGAGGCCGTGCGGATCAGCCGGCCGCACGGTCGCTCCCGCTCCAAATTCTGATGATGTGATAGTCTACCCTCCGTGCAGAGAAATTGGATCATTGCTAACTCAATTAGGGGATTCCTCATACACCGGGCCCATTACTACTCCGGAATCGGCAGCGATAGGGGTAAACAGGCCGGGGATCCGCACAGGGTCCAGAGCCCGCCCGAGAATAGGGGCGGTTCAGGCGACCCGGCGATTAAAATTAGCTCCCGCCTCGGCGTCGATCGGCTGGCTCCCTCTTGGGTGATTGAGGGACTATTTGCCTTGTACTATGCAAGATACAATTCTCGTGATAAATTAGAACTCTGGAACTGTTCCAAGCAACTGAGATGTCAGGAATCGTGCGGAGAGGATGACAACACAATAGTGCCCTCTTATGCAATTCCCAATTTTTGAAGGATTTCTCGTTGAGGACCAGAAGAAAGCGGAAGTGGTGATCGACGACTAGAGGGAAGACTGCATGGCCTCATGGCGATCAATGGGCCGTCTTAAGCTTACTCCCATTGATTGGTGGTTTTGACTCTTCACATCACTTGGTGGAACTCTCTGAGTATCCTGTATTCTGCATTGACTCTGCAGCGCGCTAATAACTGCGGGGCTAAAGCTGTCCAGGCTGTCCTAAGAAGTCCTTTCCCGTGCTATTCGGCGGGGGAGTTCGTCAGTCAGCCAACTTAGGGCTTCCACGCTCGTGTCTGTGCAAGCCACCAAGATAGTTGGGCCCTGCTTAACTCTACTAGTCTCCTACGGGTTGGGTGGTAGGCATGCTGGATCGGCGAGTTAATGGCTTTGTTGGGCGTTGAAACCATGTTGGGGTGGGCTACGCTGCCGGTCGCCCACCGCGGGCCGCATTGCCGTGGATCCTGTCGACAAGGCTGTTCTATCGCAGGTTGACCGTGGTTACTGACTGCAAGATCGAGCTGGAGATAGGTTCGGTGTCAGTGCCTCCTAGCTTAGATCTCGAACCCTGACCCATGCACTGCAGAGGCAGAAAGGTGTATCGTCTTCAGCTGCCTCTCATACAACTGCTCCAAGAGCATGCGTACCCTCAGCAAATAGCGGGGTAGCTACTAGGCAACCATGAACCTATCGGTTGACTTCAGAAAGATGAAGACAATGAATCGACAAAGATACAATACCCCTCTTGAATGAATCTATCCCTACGGACCACGTGTGATGTTAGGGCTACATGCTGACTTAGCTTCCCACCCAATGCTACACCTACAGGCTTAATAATCTACTTGATAGTGAATCTGCAGCAAATCCTGACAGCTCTCCAGAGTACAGCAGCCAAAACCATCCGAGTGACTGTTGAAAAGGCCGAATGTCTGAAGGTCCGCAAACCATCTGACCGACGGGCGGGGTAACTCCGACCGCTAAGCCCGAAAACACCAGCCCTCATCCGCAATTTCCTAGCATTGCAATTAACTTTCCCCTCACTAATCACTGATTAGCGCCCATTAATGCAGCTTGCAGCTTGGCTTGGGAATTACATCACAGCTCGGGCGCGCGGCGGAGCAAACCTGAAGACGAACTCCGCAAGCAAACTTCAGATGGCCAGGTATAAAGCCTGGGATCGTCCCGCATGAAGCACTATCACTCTCATTCTCATCACCAGCACTTCCCCATTGACCTCCCATTGCATTGCTCCTTCGTCCACTCAACAAGATGAACCCCGTCAACACCAAGCCCTACCAGCTCCCGGCTGACGCAACCTGGTTCAGTATGCCTCCCCTCTCCCCGTTCCAACAAAGCCCACTGACACGACATAGTAACCGGCTGCTCCAGCGGCATCGGACGTGCGCTGGCCACGCACGTTGCCGCTCAACCCGGCCACCGCCTCATCGCGACCGCTCGCAACCCCTCCAGCCTCTCCTACCTGCCCGATGATAACCCTTCCATCCTCAAGCTCGCTCTGGACGTGACCTCCCCCAAGGCGGTGGACGCCGCCTTCGAGGCCGCGGCAGCCCACTTCGGGGACAGCTACTACATCGACGTGCTGGTCAACAACGCAGGTTACCCGCTGTCCGGAGACAGCGAGGCCGTGACCGAGGCGGAGATGCACGACGAGTTCGAGACCAACTTTTTCGGGACGGTGCGCGTCGCCCTGAAGGCCGTCGCGGTGATGCGGCAGTCGCCGACGCGCCGGGGTGGGCTCATCTTCAACGTCTCCTCCGTGGCGGGCGTGTGCGCCTTCCCGGGCCATGCCTTCTACCACGCCAGCAAGTTCGCAGTCGAGGGATGGACCGAGTCGGTGGCACGGGAGGTGCACCCTGATTGGAACAGTATGTTTCTCTTACCCGGGTATCTGGAATGATAAGGGACAGTGGGTGTGCTGACAGCAGCAAGTCAACTTCTGCATCGTCGAGCCCGGCGCTGTCAAGACCAACTTCGAGACGACCAGCAAGAAGCACATCAAGCCGCACGAGGCCTACGCCGCTCCCGATCTGCCGGCCAGACAGCTCGAGGTGTTTGTGAAGAAGGGGCTCGAGGCAGGCGTCGGGGTGCAGCCGGAGCAGGTGGCGCAGGCGCTGTATCAGGTGGCGGCCCGCGGGGAGAAGGTGCCGCTGTGGTTGCCGCTGAGCGGGACGGCCATCATGCTCATCACGGCTAAGCTGCAAGGCAGACTGCAGGAGCTGGAGAGTAACAAGGAGCTGAGTGCGATCGACAAGGACCAGGCCCAGTTCAAACTTAATTAGAGGGTCTAGTTTGCCTGTTGTCCTCGGGACCTATGTTGACATAACTCACTTACTTGGAGTGATGAAGCCGATGTAGAAGACTGGATACAAATAAATGTTTCTCAATCTCAGTACGCATTTTGACAGGATTTCGCCGCTCGAATGAAAGAAATGGCAAGATATCCAATTGGTTTACGGTTTGCTTGAAGGATACCGGACTTATCGACTTAGGCTGAAGACCTAGCTTCCATATAGAACAGAGTACTACGTACGGGGCTTTTAACATTTCTCCATATCGCTCTTAAATTGATAGACAAATCTACTGAGCTATCCAGCGTAACGGTGAGATTAGATCTAAGAATATTGGAAGATATTTAAGGACATAACGGGTTAAAGCCCAATAAACAATCGATGTACCTAGACACTCGCTTACATTTAATATCCAGACGTCCAACAAGCCGATCCAGATCCGGGTCAATGCCAGCCTGAGGCAGGATCCAGGCTGCGACGGGGCAGACCGGGTCGAGGCCGAGAAGAACTTGGCGTAAGCGGGGATTTTGCCCCGGCAGCCAAGAGCGGTGAGAGCTTTTGACCACGATGACCGAGCAGCACCACGTGACTATTTGTGCATCTGTGCATAGTTTAGTCAGTGACTCTTGATCTGCAGTATAATCTCTTCATGTCCGCCATTCACAGGGCAGCAACGTCATTCACCCCATACCATCTCAACAACACTGCTCAGGCGCATGAAAAGCTGCATGCTCAGGACTCATATCACACAGCTCGGGCCAGACGCAAGAGCGACCACAAAACATGGCGCTTATCGCACCAGACGTACTCTGCCCCGCGCACCTGGCCAGACAGCCCAGGCAGTATGACGCATGAATGACTAAATGATGTGGTAGTCTGGGCCGGCCATATAAAACCTGGTCTCGGGCCTCAACATTTCCCAGCGAAATTGTCAAACCACTTCCCTCGGTATATCTCTCAAGCACATACCCTGAAAAATCGAAATCATGTCGTCGCAAATGGGCAAAGATGGCACCTTCCAGCCCCCGCAGGCAAAGCAGGCTCAGAGCAAGCCGGGGTACGTTTCCACCCCCGCAAGCATTGGAGCACAGCAGGGGCTAACACATCGAATAGTCTGGAGAAGGAGATGGCGCCCTCCAGCGAGTCCACCAAACTGGAAGGCAGCGAGGGCTTCGTCGAATACACCGGCTCCAACAAGCTCAAGGACAAGAAGGTCCTGATCACGGGCGGAGAGTGAGTCTTCCCACTGGTGTAATTGTGCCATACTGACCATCTGATCCAGCTCCGGAATTGGCCGGTCGGTTGCTGCGTTGATGGCCCGCGAAGGGGCCGACATCACCATCGTATACCTGCCCGAGGAACAGGAAGATGCAGAACACACGAAGAAACTGGTCGAGAAGGAAGGGCGCAGTTGTCTCCTGGTCCCGGGCGATTTGCGGAAGAACGAAACCTGCAAGAAGGCCGTGGAGGAACATGTGAACAAGTATGCTGGCTTCAGTCTGTCTTCTCAGGCTACGGGACTAACGCGGCTGTCTTGCTCCTATAGGTTCAAGCACATCAACGTTCTCGTGAACAACGCATCGAAGCAGTACATGTGCAAGGACCTGGCTGAGATTGATCTCGACAAAGTTGAGGACACCTTCCGCACCAATATCTTGCAGATGATTGCCATCACCAAATATGCACTCCCGCACATGTCCAAGGGAGATTCGTTAGTTTCCCATTGCAGCTGCACAATTCTAGCAGGCTAATCCATCCTCCACAGGATTATCAACAACACATCCGTCACCACCTTCCGCGGCTCCGGCACGATGGTCGATTACGCATCAACCAAGGGAGCGATCGTGGGCTTTACCCGGTCGCTGGCCTTGCAACTCATGCCCAAGGGCATTCGGGTCAACGCGGTCGCGTATGTTTTGCCCCTACTATTTCACAGACACTATCCGTCCTCTGACTAATAGTGGCGACAGACCCGGTTCCGTATACACACCTATTCAGGTTGACACAAGAGATGCCGAGTCCATGGAGGGTTGGGCGTCCGGTAAGCCGCTAGGCCGTCCGGGACAGCCTTCCGAGGTGGCGACGAGCTTTGTATTCTTGGCTAGCAAGGATGCGTCTTTCTATTGTAAGTGACTTTGTTTCCTTGTTCTACGAAATTCGGGGCAGTTGCTAATGTCATTGCAGCGGGACAAGTTCTGCATTGCTACCCTCTGGGAGAGTAGCGGCGGACATGACTGGATGAATTGAGATGTATGTTTCGATGAAATGAGAATAACTAGCATGAAATAATGATGTCACACATGAGGTAGCACCGTGAATTACAAATCTGTACAAAAGTGAACTATAAAATCTTTATCTTTCCTAGAAGAATGCGTGAATCAGTCGAAAGTTTGGTCCACTAGGCCGTCCTACTATATACTTATTACTTGGACCGATCAAAATGAGCCTCCAGCGCTTTCTGGAGCTGCGTAATACAGCAACCAATCATCTAAAAGTCAACTTGATTACCGACCTGGGAATTCGTGAAGGCTATGCACACTAATTATCTTCTCGTATTGCCAATGTCTGCAATCTCTTTGCTACTGTGCTAGGCGGGCTACCCGATGGCAATCATATTTGATCCTGTCGCCGGTGAAAAGACAAGCATGTCTGACGCATCACTTCCACCCTTTTCCCGCCAGGCTTGGACACAGTGACTCGGTGGGATAATCCCTGGCCTGTGATGCCAAGTCGGGAGTTCTGCAACGGGCGCTCGTGCCGAAATCGGAACCCTGTGTGGCGTGCCATGTGCCAGGTACTGCGTGGGGCAGGTTGCAGTGCTTGTCAGCCTCGGTGGTGCAGACTGTCAGTTGGGCGGTTGATGTTCTTCACTTTTAGAAAAAATATTACGAAACCGGCAGAGATTGTATCCTCAATCATTGCAGCTATTATCTCTTGAAAAGAGCACCGTAAGCGTCGTCTGATGTAGGGTTCTCCCAGATCCGGTGACATTGGCAAAGAGACAGCGCCTAGAAAGAACCTGCCTCCGGAACAAATGCCAGTTTACGTGATTCTTCAACCTGTTGAGCCCATTTATATACTAGTGGGGACTAATTATACAAGATCGGGCAGGAGGACCCCTGGCATCTTCTGCAGGGCACCTCCTTTCTCCTTTCCGGCACAACGCGGATACGACTTCCTCAGCGCCAGTCCACTCATCTTGATCAATGCTTGTCTAGTGACTGACCCAGGGGATGCAGTGGGGCGAGGCTCGTATGCACGGGCCAGACAAATATCTGAGTCCCTGCACCGATTAGTCAGCAGACCATCTTGTAACTAACTACAACTCGCAATGGCTGCGCAGATTCAAGCTCCGGGCAGGGTATCATCCGGTGCGGCCATGAGCCACTTGGCGTTCAAGGGGCTTCATCTCGAGGATAATTGACAGGCGGGTGGTAATTTCAACACGAAGTCTTAGATTGTGTGTGTCTCACTGCAGCCCAACGGGGGAGCAGGAGGCCTGAACCAAGTGGGGCCAGCAGACTAATCACGAATTATGAATGTCAGGTACCAGGCACTAAAGTGACTAAACTCCTCAAGCTAACTATGCACAAATTTCAGAACAATCCAACGGGGGAGCTGAAGGGGTCAACGCAGTGGGGCAGGCATACTAATCATGATCGTACCTTACTAGAACCAGACAGGACTTTTTGACTAGGCACAAATTAAGACTAAAGCCCGGTTCAGCCTCGAACTGTCTTATCAACATTGATTGGTGCTCTTCCAGTCCACTCCGCACTGCTCCACGCTAGTCCGCACGCGATCTCAGGGCTAATGAAGAAGACACCATCTGAAGAACCCTCACAGTCTTTAGCCGAGATTGCAATGTCGCATTGCTCCAATCTCTGGGTTAGATGAGCTGACCACCATGGAGATTCTGCGTTCCATGAGAACTTCAGCTTGCCTGCAAAGGGAAACTGGTCGTATCGTCCTTCAGCTGAGATGGACCCTGGATGGACCCTAGATGGACCCTAGATGGACCCTCCACGAGCCCTCCACGAACAGTACCGGTAGGGCTGCGAGTATATAATCTGCATCCTCAACCCCATGAGTTCAGATGGGAGTCAGGGTCATTCACTATCATTCTTTTACCCCCAGTCCTTCGTTCATCATGGCCAAGCTCAGCTGGCTTCTGACCTCTAGTCTTTCTTTTGCCTGTCTTTCCACAGCACTTCCTGCTGGCTCTCTTTTGAAATCGCAATCTCAATCTTTTATCTCTCCTACTAACTACAGTTCTTTCGATGTTGACCAGTGGATCCCTTCAGCGGACTATGTTCCAGTCAAGGCAGGCGTTCCTTTTCTGATTCAGAATAAGACCGCGCAGCCCTGGAACCCAGTCTCCCCTCACTCGCACGGGGGCAACCTCACTTATCCCCACCAGAAGCGAGCCAGCTGCGGCGGTCCCACCCCGGACAGCCCCAGCACGTTCTGGTATGAGAGCATCACTCATAACGGCGAATCCTCCTTCCTCGACTCCTCCTACAAGGCCAACTACAAGGTCTTCCGCAACGTCGTCACCGACTATGGCGCTGACAACACCGGTGCCACCGATGCTTCTACCGCCATCCAGAATGCCATTAAAGGTACGTTTCCTGTCATGCAACGACTTATGCAATGTACTGATTTGAAGAAAGCCGGAGCCTCCAACGGCCCTGATCGTAGCAGTGGCTCCATGGGCACCACCGGCCAGCCCGCGGTGGTATACCTGCCCGCCGGCACGTACCGACTCGACAACCCCCTCCAGCTCTACGTTGGCACCGTCTTTGTGGGAGATGCTCTGAATCCGCCCACTCTCAAGGCCAGCGCCGGCTTTCCCACCGACCACATTGTCTACGCCAAGGACCCCAACCTGGGCGGAACCATCAACTTCTACATTGCGTTTAAGAACGTGATTATTGACTCGACCAGCGTTTCCACCTCGACTGCCATCACTTTGCTGGATTGGACCGTCTCGCAGGCGACCCAGCTGACCAACGTAGTCTTCAACATGCCCGACAACTCGAATCACGTCGGTGTGACGAGTCAGTATGATTCGAACAGTAACATCATTCTGGTGCGTCCCACCACTGATCTAACCCTCATACCGCAAAGCTGACCATCTCCTGTGCAGAATGACCTGACCTTCTACGGCGGTGCCATCGGCATGGAGCTCAGCGGCCAGCAGTGGATCCTCAAGGGAATCAACATCAACGGCGCCAACGTCGGTATCAAGGCCGGTGCTTTCGAGCTCGTCTGCCAGGACTGCACGCTCCAGAACGGCGCCACCGGTATCGACGCCAGCAGCATCTCCGGCTCCCTGACGGTGATTGACTCCACGGCCAACTATCTGGGCAACATGATCATCTCCTCCAACGCCGGCGGCAGCGCCCAGAACTCCATCATCCTCGACAACGTCGCCTGCACTAACAGCGGCAGCACCGTCTCGCTCAACGGCAACGCCGTGCTGACCGGCTCCGTCACCAACACCTGGGTCCACGGCAACCTGTACTCCGGTGGTGCAACCACCCCGGCCTACGAGCAGGGGCTGAGCGTGACCACCGCGCGCGCCGACGTCCTCCTCGACTCCAACGGCAAATACTTCACCATGGCCCCGCCCACCTACTCCCAGTACTCAGCCAGCCAGTTCATCAACATCAAGAGCGTCTCCGGACTCCCCGTGTATGGCGACGGCGCCACGGACGACACCGCCAACATCAACGCCATCCTGGCCCAGTACGCCGGCTGCAAGATCATCTACTTCCCCGCCGGTACCTACATTGTCACCGACACCATCCTGATCCCCTCGGGCTCCATCATCATCGGCGACGCCTACGCCTCCGCCATCAGCGCCACCGGCGGCAACTTCTACAACCCCGATGCCCCCACGACCATGGTGCAAGTCGGTAACTCCGGCGACGTGGGCACCGCCCAGATTTCGGACATGCTCTTCACCGTCGCGGACGTGCTGCAGGGCTGCAAGCTGGTCGAGGTCAACATCGCGGGGTCGACGCCGGGAGCCGTGGGACTGTGGAACTCGCACTTCCGTATCGGTGGCGCCGCCGGCAGCAAGGTCCAGACCAACTGCTACGGCAACCCGGACATCTGCAAGGCCGCATGGGGCCTGATCCATTTAACGGCGACCTCCTCGGCCTACATCGAGAACATGTGGGGCTGGACGGCCGACCACAACCTGGATGGCAACTTGGAATCGACCACCGTCTCGACCGGCCGCGGTATGCTCGTCGAGGCCACCAAGGGCACCTGGCTCGTCGGTACCGCCATGGAGCACAATACCCTGTACCAGTACAACTTCGAGTACGCCTCCAACGTCCTCAGCAGCTTCCAGCAGAGCGAGACCCCCTACTGGCAGGGCTGGGGCGCCCCGAGCTCCGGCATCGCCCCCGCCCCCTGGACCGACAACCTCATCGCCAGCGACCCCACCTTCAGCGAATGCGACGCCGATGACGCCGGCTGCCGCATGGCCTTCTTCGAGCGTATTCGCGGGTCGAGCAATCTGTTCCTGTACGGCGGCGGGGTCTGGGTGTTCTTCAACCACGGCGGCAGCTGCACGGGCGATTGCCAGGCGAATGCGATCCGCATTCTGTCCAGCGAGGGCAGTGTCTATCTGTACGGCACGAACGTCAAGGCCATCACCAATATCGTGAAGGAGAACAAAGTCGATGCAGCGTTGGAGAGTGACAACAAGGGTGGTTGGGGTGGTGTCGTGGCGGCCTATCTTCACAGTGCGGATGGAACGACCTCCTCGGGTGGTAGCAGCAGCAGTGGTAGTAGCGGCAGCAGCAGCAGCAGCAGCAATGGACCTGCGGTGACCGGCAATGGGCTCAACTGGTATAGTTCGTCGTTGACCGACGGTGCCACAGCCTACGAGGACCCCGAGTACTACTACTGCTTTGGCGGAGCCGCGGCCAACTTCCCCCCCTTCGCGAACTGGATGGGTTTCACCGAGATGTTCGACCTGAACCAGCAGACCTCGATGGCCTTGGTCGAGGATGGCCCGATCCAGGGCGATATCTGGAACGCGATCGTGGAGGTCTCCGCCGATGCCAAGGTCGATCCGAGATTGATTCTGGCTGTGGTGATGCAGGAGGTATGTTGTCTTCCAGGGCTTCCCATGATAGCGTGATTACTAACCGAGTTTTCTCACGATTAGTCCAGCGGCAACGTCTACGTCGGCTGCACCAACAACGGGGTCGAAAACTGCGGCCTGATGCAGGCCTACGCCGGCTCCACCTCCTTCGACGCCAGCGACCCGCAGGGCAGCATCACCCAGATGATCGTCGACGGCACACAGGGCACCGCCGCCGGCGGAGGTCTCGTGCAGTGGTTTAACGACGACAATGTCGGTGCCAACACGGGCGGCAACCCGTATAATGTGCTACGGGGCTACAACTCGGGCAGCATCAACTTCAACGATCTGGATGATCCCCAGGATGCCACCGGGTCGTACGTCAGTGATATCGCCAATCGCTTGCAGGTGAGTTTTCTTCCGTGGCCAAGTCAAAACCTTTTGGGCTAAGGCTAATGTTTCGTGTAGGGATGGAACGGAAATGATGGTCACGGATATAGGGCTGCTTGTGGATGGTGATGAGCACGGTTTAGTCACGTATCTTTGCAACATCTGAGCGTCGACAGCTTGCTCTCTGTAATGATTTGTGGAGCAAGAGCGACTCTTCAGGATACGTCCAGACCCGCAAGAGAGAGGCAGCTACTTGCGGGTCGATAAATAAAACAAATGTAAAAAGTTCTATATTACCTTGTTCCGTAAGGTAACCTCGACCTGTGCTGGGACAGCATTCAGGCCGACAAGCTCATTTGTGATCAGTCATCAGCCAAAACATGCGTATTTCGCTGTCCCCTTCCAATAGCTAATTAATTGAGTTTTTTTTATTTTTATTTTTTCTTTTTATTGATAGAGATAAATATAAACCAGCATCATGTGACTCAAAGTCACATGATGCTAGTTGTAACTGACCTAGCTTAAAGGAGCCTAGCCTGTCGGAAATGGCCGTCCAACCAAATGGATGGACGATCCACCCGCCCCGGGCCGAATATCGGTCCTCCCTGCATAGGATCAACTGACTCGGAGAGTTGGAGAACTTGGATACAATGATACCAATAGAATAGACGAGCCAAATATCCATGATGCTCTACAACATTCCTAACCAGGAACGGACAGTCACAATCATAAGACCGTCAACTAAGATAGTTAGTCAGTTTTTTGTTTGGTGGTATTAGAGCCCACAAATCAGCCCCACAAAACCACCCCCTATTTATTTGAAGTGCACCGAAAACACCTTACAATTTATTCGGAGCCTCGTGACCCACTATATGAAATATTCCCGTGGTACGTACCCTGTCAACGTAGAGGAAATGGAAAGAAAGGGAAAGGGTATTGTCAAATGCCACCAAGGAGACAGAATAGAATCATTGGAGAATCACTCAAGAAGTACTAAAGAGGAACACCATCATGCCCGGCAGTGAGGCTCGAGAAAACGGCTCGTCTGAGCACCGGTCAACCCTCTGACCATCATGTTCCACCACGCAGTATTGTCCTAACGAGCACCTAGAGTTCCCAACTATCGATGGGTCCTTGCCACGTAGGGCTGGGGAAAGGAATTCTGGGCGCTACGGCTAGCCCCCAGCTCGCCCAACGCATGGGACTGAAAGGCAGCTCGATATCGTTTGGTCTCAGGGGAAGGCAGTTGCGCCAACCGACGAAGTAACTGGAGATGAAATCAGTATCTGAATCAAGCGATCGAGAAAAGGAAGGTCACCCACAGTCTCAGGCTAGCTTCGTCCCAAACAAGGTTCTGGGTCGCTCCTATATAGGGTATATACCCGCACGAATAGAGAGCCCTGCAACGATATCAGCACTCAAAGTACGGAGACGACAAGTTGAGAAGCTTGCTCATACGGAAGCTTGTCTCTGAATTCAGCTCGGATCAGATCTCGCTTTTCACGAGGCAAGTTCCAAAAGGTCCGCGAACCGAAGTCATCGCCCAGGCGGATTCCTGGCACAATGCTCCAGACGATGGTGTATATGAACCCCCCCGGAACCCGGTCCCCGTCCCCTTGTTGCTCTGTCCTACTGTCGAGGAGGGTTGGAGTGCAACCTGGGCGTAGGTGCAGGGACGAAAACCGCTGAAAGGCCTTCACCTCGGTGGGCACCTGCTGGTTGGCCTGCCGGGCGATTTCCTCCGCGGGGTTGAACTCCGATCCTAGGATAGGAATCTGCTTGTACACGCGCATAAGGCCTCTTCTCGAGGGCCCTGTTGGACCTTCCGCACACGGAACCTGGCACAGACGTACGGGCGAATGTCGAAGGTCTCTGCATCCTCGCGGTCGAATGGGAAGACGTGTTCGTTGACCTTGGACACAATCCTCCACCTGGACCGGTCCAAGTGAATGTGTGTGCCCATTCTGTGTTCCGCCGTACCGAAAGAGGTTATACTTGCCAACAGACGACAGGATGTGATCCAGGAGCGTAGGGCACAAGGATCCGAGGCTGCAGTGACGATGGAGAGAGAGGGGGGCGGGGGAAGATACAGGCCACACGGAAGGAAGATCCGTGGATCGAGTCACTTTTCGATTGCTTCACAATGGTGCAGTGGATATAGAGGTTAGGTAAGGTAAAAGCAATCTGCTGATATATTACAAAACTAACCCTTAAGAGTCCTATACCAAGGTCTTGACAATAGATATAGTATACTGGGGCCTCGGTCCCATCACAGTAAGAATAGCTGAATCATGAGGTGTAGCCAACTCATTTATATAGCCAACTTGCTTCCTAATTATATCATCGGATCGAGCTTGCTGGGCGGAGGGAAAGAGATGGGTCTGGCCTGATCGCTAATTTATTTCTCCAAGCTCCTTGATTAACACACTTGCTTAGGCTGAATAAGTCAAAATTGCGTTCACTCACATTCGTGAATTCTCTGCTACGGAGGATGACGTAAAGGCCGAAAAGAGATGCAGCCGAGGTCGTCTTCAGAGCTTATACCTCATACGTTCTAGTAGTCATAGTCTGGATCGGCATCGATTCCACAATGGTGTGATGAGAGCTGAAAGAAGGGAGCCGACTAGCAGCCTGTCGTCGAATAATCACTATCGAACTTCACAAGCAGTGGTCCCGACCATAGTGGTATTTACTGCACTGGGCTTTTCCTTTGATAATAAGGCCCATTTGACCGCCACTCAGCCTTTCGACCGTCGTGTGCCACCGCACAATCTTATTCTGACTGAGCATATCTAGAATGTCCATTCATGAGTGTGGCCTTGCCATGATGGGCCCGCGAAGGGCATATGGGGTGCCCGAGCAAGGCCCCAGCCTGCCCAGAGGATTGGGCTCCTAGGCTTGCTGTGTTTATCGGATGTCAATCGGATGCAGTTGAACCAACCAATAAAGTAACTAGTTAGAATCAATAACCTCGATCAAATCAGAAGGCGAGGGATATGGTGTTCACAAACAGTTTGCGTGTAGATGCATCCCAAACAAGGGTATGAGCCGTCCCTGCCGCGAGTTCATACGCAGTAGAACGAAGAGCCCTGACGTAGTTAGGAAACAGGGCTAGAGCATCAAAAGTAATGCAGACGGCAGGAGTAATGAAGCCACAGCAAAACTTACGGGAGGGTACGCTCGAATGCATCGCAAATGAGGTCTCGCTCTTCACGGGCTAGGCTCCAGAATACTTGTTCACCGCAGGCGTCTCCAAGGCGGATTCCTGGAACAATGTTCCAGACAATGGTGTGCAGAAAGCCACCCGGAACACGGTCCGTAACTCTTTGTTGTTCCTGCTTACTATCAAACAGGCTTGGAGTGCAAGTAACGTTTTGTCTCGAAAACTGCTGGAAGGCAGTGACTTCTAGGGTGATATGCTGCCTGGCCTGCCGAGCACGTTCCCAGGCGCCCTCCGACTCTGTTCCCACAATGGGAATTTGTTTATAGACCCGCATAAAAGCCTGCTGAATAGCGCCACGGTGATGCCTTTGTACAAGGAAGCGAGCGCAAGCATATGGACGAGCATCAAAATTTGCTGCGTCCTCGGGTTCCCCAGGGGCGATGTGCTCGTTAATTTGAGATACGATAGTCCACTCAGCAATGTTTAAGCAGAGTCGTGCTCCCGCTCCGTATTCAGCATTAGCAAAGTAGACTGGCTGCGTCATCGTGACAGCGAAGTAGCAGCAGTGATCTGTGGAGTGGGGATGGCAAACACGTCGGGTAATTCGAGGTAGTGTGTACCACCGGTAAGACACAAGCAGATATGTAAGACTCAAACAGAAACGAGAGGAGGGTGACAGAAGGCAAGTTGCGAACCAAGAGAGAGGGAGTTACGGTGGTGATGAGGAGGGGGTGAGAGGGTGAGAGAAGGGGGAGGATATAGACCACACGGAAGAGAAGTCCGTGGGATCAGCTGACCTCTTTTCTAGCAATGTTCAATACTAGGTTCTTTAAGTGGGAGGAAAAAAGATAGAACAATGAACAATGCATCAAGAAAAGCGTGTATCAGTCACCCCCACAACCTATAACCTATAGTGAGTCATGTGATACAAATGACAACCCCCTCAGACTCTACTCCTCATGCGACCGCTGGTCCCCATTCAATGAGACCTCGTAATCTTGTCCCCGGCTGCCACTTTTCGACGAGGGCTCCAGCTGCGTCAACGGCAGTTCGCTCTCGGTGTCGCGCATGCGCTGAAACGCCCGCGCCGATGGCCCGGACTGCGCCCCAGTCTGGGACGAGTACGCCGCCTTGGCCGACGAGAAGACACCGGGGAAGGCGGCCTTGAATACCGGGCGCATCATGGGGACGCAGGCGTTGAGGATGGCGAGCGCAGGCTCAGCGACACTCCAGAAGGCCGCCCAGATCATGCTATACGAAAGGTCGGCAAAGTCGACAGTCGTGAGAACGCGGATGCGGATGATGGTGATGGCGGAAATGCTTCCTTTCTGTCAGTTTTCGGTCTGTTCTTCGAGTTGAAATGCAAGAAGGTGGCGGGCGACTCACAACAAGCCCATACCGAATATACCATACAATGCCAGCTTTGTGGCCGTCGAGGTCTGCAGCTTCCAGATGTGATGCACGGGCAGGGCCATGATGACCAGATCGGTGACGAGATTGAAAGCGCCAATCGTCGAGAATGCCACGTTCATGCTCGCGCAGTGACCGGGGAGCGTCGAATTCCAGTTCTTCTCAAAGGGCTGACAGATCAGGAAGATCTGGAGCATGCTGCCCACCCAGTAGGCCGCTGCACAGCCCATGCACACCCGCGCGGCGATGCGGAACCCGCGCGTGACGAAGATGCGAAGGTAGAAGAAGAGATAGGAGAATTTGGCGAGGACCATGCAGTTGTAGTAGACGATTTGGTAGACGATAAGCATCTGTGCTCGTCAGTGACCGTTGCCATTGCTCGGAACTGGATGTAGAACCCACTTTGAAAATGAGAATGGCGTTCTCGGCGGGAATGGCGGTGATGTGGTGGCGCATTCCCACGCGTGCATAGTGGTAGTGCATCGCTAGCATGCCATAAGTGTTGAGCTAATCAGGAACCCAGCTGTCAGTTCGCATGTCCATCAGAGATTCCTCGAGGCCCTCGTACCATCGACCCGACGATACAAACATCGTCCCACCAGATCTTGCTGCGTCGGATTCGCCGCGAGATGAAGCGCAACACAATCGCCAGCGTGCTCACGGCCACCAGCACCGTGTTGGCGATGAGCTGGTCGCGCACTATGGCATATTCGAAGACATTGTAGAACTGCATGGCCATGCGAACACCTGGGTGCCATGCATGATGGGTGACTTGCAAGACAGAAAGAAATTCAACCCCATCGCGACCAGGAGTCGTGCGGCAATTCGGTACTTGAAGAGAATCCGCGAAACGCACGTGCAACGATAACCCAACAATGGGGGGGGCCAGACACCGATGATCATTGCGTTTTGTATCGTTTTTTGTCAGGACAAGCGAAAGCCACGGACATCCACCGAGGACGGTTCGGTCCTGCGAGTCAGCCAAGTGGAGCCCGGCACTGGCGGATTGTCGCATGGCACAACGGTTTTTGGCAGAGATTGGCGTGGCTAAACATGGCTAGGCATGGCTAGACATGTCAAAGGGGCAGAGCCAAAACCACCGGCGCTGTCAACCATGTGGATCGCGCGCTTGTTCCGCAGCCAATCCCAACCCTAATAACCGCCTCAAAGTCACCAAAGGCGTTGCCCAGCGTTGCCCAGCTCCACCACGCCATGTCAATCTCAATCCTAATTCTCTCTGCAGGCCGTGACAGCGCCCCATTTTTCTTGATCCTGCGCTTGCTTGCACTTGCCTGCTCGGGCTTTGTTCACCCCTTAGTCTCGGCGACTTAGCAGTTATTTCATGCCGCCCCCCCCTGCAGTGGTTCCTTTCCCTCGGGCGTTCTTTCCAGATAAACCGCAAGCTGATTTGTCGACAATAATGACTGCCGCTAAATCCTATGACTACGTGGTTGTCGGAGCGGGAACCAGCGGGCTGGTCCTCGCCTCCCGACTCACTGAGGATGCCGGCGTCAACGTGCTCCTGATTGAGGCCGGGGCCAACCGCATGGGCGATCCGCGCATCGAAACCCCTGGCTTTTTGAGCACGTTGTATGGGAACCCCGACTTCGATTGGGATTACATGAGTGAGCCGCAGGTGTGTAGCAGTATATTGTCTCCGTTGCCTTTCTGTTTGTGACCATACTGACTATGTAGGTAGATCCATGTGAATAACCGGCAGATCGCCCAGCCGCGCGGTCGCGTAGTGGGGGGCACGTCGGCCATGAACTTTTCGGTGGTGATGTACCCCTCAGAAAGCAATTTCGCGGCCTGGAAGTCGCTGGGCAACGAGGGCTGGGGTCCCGAGGATATGGCGCCCTACCTCCGCAAATTCCACACCTACACGCCTCCGTCAGAGGCGACGTCGACCTTGCTGTCGCTGGAGCGCTACATGAGCCCGGAGAACCAGGGTACCAGCGGACCGGTTCCCATCACCCTACCGGATGTCTATGGGCCGTTCAACCAGGCCTGGGACGAGGCCTTTGCCCGGCTGGGCTGGCGCACAGATGCGGATCCCATCGCCGGTCGCAAGATTGGCGCTTTCACCGCACCGTTGACGGTTGATGGGAAGACTGGTCAGCGCGGATATGCGGCAGCGTACTACTCGCCAGAGGTAGCGCAGCGGCCGAATTTGGACTTGTTGACTGAGACGATGGTGGAAAGGGTGTTGCTAACTGAGGTGGATGGGGAAGTAGTCGCGACCGGTGTGCAAGTTAGAGCCAAGGACGGTGAGCGTCAGGAGATTCCTGCTGCACGAGAAGTCATTCTTTGTGCGGGAAGCTTGAATACCCCCCAACTGCTGGAGTTGTCCGGCATCGGCCAGCGCGAGTTGCTGGAGAAGCACGACATTCCAGTCATTCTCGACCGCCCCGGCGTGGGAGAGAATCTGCAGGATCACTGTTTGGCAAGTATCAACTTTGAAGTAGCAGACGACCAAGTGTCCGGCGATATCATGCGAGACCCGAACGTAGTGCAGTCATTGATTCAGCTCTACGAGCAAACGCGCGGAGGCCCCTTGTCCGGCATGCCCATCAGTATGGCGTATCTGCCTCTGGTCGACCACGACGGCCAGCTCTCCCGCGAGAAAGTCCACGAGTTGCTCGATCAGCACCTTGATCAGGAGGCGGCAGATCTTCCGCCTGCGCAGCAGAAGCAATTTGCGCTGCAGCGGGAGCTGCTTCAGGCGGGCCACAATGCCTCCTCGCAGTACATGCTCATGCCAATCCAGACGCATATGCTCCCCGGCGTTACGACGCTTGCTGACGTCCTGGCCAAGTCGCTGCCGGGCAACTATCTCACTGTGATGGTTCTGCACAACCATCCCTTTTCGCGCGGCTCGGTGCACATCCGCTCAAGGAACGTGGAGGACAAGCCCGTCTTTGATCCGAACTACCTCTCTCACCCGCTGGATCTCGAAATCCTGGCGCGACACGTCCAGTTCCTGGATCAAATAGTCGCGACGGAGCCGCTTGCGAGCATGCTGAAGCCCCAGTCTCGGATTCCCCAGGGGGTCGTCGATTATAGCAACCTCGACAAGACCAAAGAGGTGGTCAAAGAGCGCCTGTACACCTGCTTCCATCCGGCGGGCACCTGCGCCATGATGCCGGCGGAACTGGGAGGTGTGGTCGACTCGCAGCTCAAGATTCACGGCACGCGAAACCTGCGCGTGGTTGATGCCAGTATCTTCCCATTAGAGCCGGCTGGAAATATCCAGGCCACCGTTTATGCGGTGGCTGAACGCGCGGCCGACCTGATTCGGGGGCACTAAATACTGGAAATACTGTACAAATTATATGGCTTAATCCGCCATGGGAACGTGATCCATAAATAAACTTGTTGTGTGATGTCCGTAAATGGAAAATGAGCTGTCTTGGCTAGTACGGAGCTTCGGACGCGCCCGTTGCGACCGGGAAGTAGGTTTATTTCGATCATCCATGAGAATCCTTCGACGCCCACATTCCTAGTTCTGCCTAGTCGCTGGCTTGGTACCTTGTAGTCTCCACTGCACACAGGCACACAACTGGTAGAGGGTGGACAAGATGGGTGTGGCGACACCCCTCCTCTGTGCCTCGCGAATTACCTCGCCCATGATCACTTCGTGCTCCAGGAAGTTGCCCTAGCAATCAATGAGCCGATGTCTACTTCACTTGCAGGCTTGATAACTCACCTTTGCCATATCCTTCTGCATGCTGGGGTAGATCTTCCTCTCCGGGGGATTCTTCGCGAGTGTTGTCGCGATGGTTTCTTGAGGGAGGTCAATGCCGGCTGCGTGTGCGACCGTGAGAACCTCGGTCATGGCAGGAATGAGCAAAGTGTCCAGTGCGTTGCCGGCAGTCTGGAGATCACCGGTGCTTAGCCCCGTCAGCGCAGAGATGGGATTGAAGGCTGCGTTGTAGACCAGCTTGCGCCACCGCTCTCGCTGCACGTTCGGTTCGTGGTAGCAGTTAGTCTTTCCCCCAGCGCTGTAGATTTCCACGAAGTGAATCGCCGCATTTGTTTGGGCATCGATCCGGTCGGACGGACCACAGAAGGCACCGATTTGCAGGTTGTCATGGTCGATCTGTTCGATCAGGCCCGGGCCGATCTCGTGCGCATCGTTGCGGCTGATTCCTGAGAGGATGATGTTCGCCGGAAAGCGTTTAGCGAACGGCTTTTCAATGTTCAGCCCGTTCTGAATAAGGACGATGACGGTCTGCGCGGGAGTCACTGCAGGAGCGATGATGTCGCAGATGGAAGGGCCGATATCGGGGATGTTCTTGGTGGTGCAGACGATGTAGTCATAGGGCGCCACGTCGCCGGCACCGATCACGGGCACCGCATTGACAACTAAGTATAGGTTCAGTATTGTATCGCCATCGAAAGACACAAGTTGGTGACTCTATATACCGGAGGTTGGATGCCAGTTGCGGATGTGGCCATGATCACAGGAAAGGATCTCAAATCCCCGATCGGTGACGGTCTGGAAATTGGACCGAAGAACGGCGGTGACTTCGGCTTGACCACCGCATTCCAGATTGAGGGCAGCAAGGGTGCCAATGCCTCCACTTCCCAGGAGGAGTACGCGAGTCTTTGCCATGGTGAGGGTGGCATACGATGGTTCTTTATGACGGTTCATAAAGATCGGCTGCGGAGAGTGAGGGGAAACCGAGAGGTCACGTGGCGGGAGCGGGGGATGATCGGAGAGTCGGAGAGTCGGAGAATGGCTTACCTCGGCTTGAAGTACGAGGAGCGATGCAGGATGCGCAGATTCCGACTAGAAAACAGACCCGCAGAAAATGTCCAGTCGCGGATCCCAGAAACTATCAATATCCCAGTCCAGCAAGGTATTGAAATTGTGGACCGCATCGAGCAAGTCTTGCACGCCGCTGGCGCCCGCAGGTGCATTCGCCGTCTCGCTCGGCGCAACTAACTCCCTCGATGTACCACAGCTAGGATCGATAATCTCGTCCAGAATTCGGGTGAACTTGGCCTTGACTTGCTTGCAGAACTCGAAGTTCCCACTCCCCGGTCGGGCGACCCAACTGAGACACGAGACATACACCGTCAATTCCCGAATCAGCTCTGCCCGCGAGAAGCCCGGAACAGCCGTCAGTGGGGAGGTCGACGAGCGGTGCAGCATTTCAGTGCAGAGAAGCTGGACACTCGGAAGGCCGTATTGAAGGAACTGTTCCTCTGGTTAGTGTTCAGTTGCATCGTGCTGGATCAGTAGAATCATACAAGATGGGTGAAGTCGTTCCGAATCTCTCGGAGTCGCTCGCGTTCGTCGTTGATCACGAGAATGGTGCTTAGAATGTCTTTGGCCACGATGAAAACATTCGTGGACCGGTCGCCTGAGATGAGTCGATGTAACAAGAAGATCGAATGCAGATAATCTAGATTGAGCGTAAGGAGAACCAGAAGTTGATGGCTGTGCATCGAAGTTGGGGAATGCCACATGTCGACCGAGTACTTCATATGGCTTGGACAGGTATCCCACATGACCGCTAGCCTCTGGAGCACATCTCTAAAGAATAATCAGTCGTCTGTCTAAACCTTAAGCGCCTCATCGGACATACTCAGCTTGTCTGACCAGATTGGCGCCGGTCACCCCCAGATGCAGCTCCAACACTTCCTCGCGGATCTTGGCAAGGAGAAGACGTAACCGTATGGTTGTGGCGGGTCGATGCTTTCTATCTACATTCCACCCGTGCTCGTCGATCGATCGAAGGCTTGACTCGTGTTCGTCGGGGTCAGGGTCCTCATCAAGATCCAACGGAGGTTCTAATATGCAATAGTGTCGATTCATCAGTGGCGGGCGACCGAGAGCCGTCGCGATGGTTTTGTCCATGGTGTACACCACTGCGAGACATGCCCTACGCCACTGATGGACAAATACTGGCGCTTGCTCTCGCGGGACGTCGTTTCGATGCATGCCGGTCGCATATATACAGGAGCATAACTCTCCCAGCGACGAATACAACCTGCGACCTATGTCCGTATTAGCCGCATTTGTCGGTGTCATGCCGAGTCTGTGAACTGACTGGAATCGCCAAACCGGCTGACAGCAAGAAGCATCTGGTAGTATTTTAGAGATACGAGTAATTCGTTGACGAGCGGCAGGGCGTCAGTCAGAAGCGACAGATGTTCGGTGATCTCTAGGACCTGAGGCAGAATCTCACTCTTCCCGCGCTGCTGTGCGTCGATCAGTGTCACAGTGTGCTCAGGAATATGGATCAACGCCAGACTCGCGAGCGTGATGACAGCGCCTATCAGCTCCCACCGAAGATTGACTCCAGTTATAGCCTGGCACAGATCCGCCGCTCTCATCTTATGGGAGGTGGTGAGAGGTTTATAGGTGTTCTCGAAGATCCGAACCACCATGCGCAGACGGGCGGCATCCTCGCCCATGGAGTTCTGATCACAGATATCCCAGAGGTGGCTCAGCGCCGGCAGCATAACTGTCCGCGGGATGATGGGCATACGACTCAGTCCATAGATGTGCTCAGTCAGACACTGGAGGAGGCGGGACTCTCGACCGAAGAAGTCCAGGATCCGCAACCCCAGCTCAAGCTGTCTCGGTTCAATGGTGTATTTGCCCAACTCCGAAGGCGAATCGGAGGTGCCTTGACTCTCCCTCAGGAGGTATCGGTAGCTGGTGGGACCCAGAAAGCCGGTACTCTCCATCGAGGGGGTGTTGACGACTACTGGCTGGGCGGGCAAGGCATCACGACTGGTGGCCTCAGGCGACGAGTTCGCAGTGGCTCTGTGGTTGGACATTTAGCTTCAGCTATCAGAGGAAAGGACAAAAGTCACTACTCGCAGTGGCACGGAGGCAGAGTTCCGCGACCTCGCTTGGAGGGGATCGGAACCACGGTGAAAGGGGCGAAATGTTTTGGTCATTGGGGCGACCAGATACACACAGGCAAGGTTCTTGGCGCTGCATCGGCCGCATTTGGGCCACACGTGGTCGCATCGTGTCTTCAGTTTGCGACATGGCTCGCAGGCTTGTCTTCGACCGTTCCGCCGTAGGGACTGAGATGAAGGAGAGTCCATGTATGTGAAGGAGCTGGTCTAGACAACAAGATGAGGATTGTGGAAGGTTGTGGAAGATTGTTGGTGTTGCTGCGACGGTTTAGTCAGATTGAAGAGACTCGGCCCCGGATCGGATTTACGGCATCGGGTGTAGTAAGTCTGGATCACGTGCTCAGGTTCCTCTTTCCACCTCATTCACCACATGGGCATGCTATCTGAAGCATTCGAATTGTGTAAATGAAGTATCAAAGTATTGAAAGTATGAGGGACAGCCAGTGAGTACCCCCCCAGCACAAAGAGATGAGTACTAGATAGTTTGGTCTGATGTCAACCAGCAAATGATTAACGAAGGAGGGAAACATATATCCTCGCCAGGTACTCCGTACGTGGGTAGGACTGGTGGACGCTGAGGCAGCAATTTTATTCAACATTCGACTATTGGCAAGCCCCAGCGACATGAATATCTCTGAGCAGCTCTCTCAATTACTAGTACAGCTATCCCAGAAGAGGAACCTGAAATTTTTGTCCAGTAATATTGAGCGGCGAGCACCACCACGTGGAAGCCTGAGGCTGAAGCAGCAAGGCTGACAGGCTAGCCCGATGTGGACGAGCATGTTTACAGGTGCCTAAAGATCCTCATGCCACTTTCATCTCAGGCGTGAATAGGTCTATACAGACTTTTACGGATTAGTCTGAATACGAGCTCGAAAGACCGTGACGGCTTGGCTTGAACCAAGATCGCCATCCGCCAAGGGTCTTGGGAACTAGCCCCAAGCTATTGACCTCACCACTCTACAGCCTGCGTACATCGCCAGAATGTCAACATATCTAACAAAGCCTTGAGCTCAATAGAAGGCCACTTGAAGCTATGAACTGAGCCAGAGATCTTATTTCGGCTCCTAGAAAGCACGATATAACTCGATCAATATTCCTGCCGAGCAGCTGCATCCCGAGACACCATCCAACAAGAGCATAAGCCGGGCAGGGCTGAGATTCCACGCAGGGCAAGGGTGGCCCCTTGCATAAGATGCTGGACCCTGTCAGCGCGGAAGAGGGATTGCGCAGTCGGAATCTGCCCTGGAGACGCGCCGATGCAGCTGTCGGGGGCCGAAGGGAGACGTTGGCCCCCAATCCTCGGGGCCGTTTGAGAGACATTCTGCTGCACCGGATACAACCTCGACCAAGCTCCAATTGCAGACACTGTCTCGCCTTGTGCAACAGAGGTATAAAGACTGCAAGATGCGTCGCGGTTGAGGTTGAATTCATCACCCATTCACCTCATCTACCAGCTCCCAGCTTCACTGTCGCTCTTTTACAGCTCCACTGCGTGGGTCACCGTCACTCTTTCATTCCACTCTTTCAACTATCTTTTCTATACTTTATCCAACTCCAACATGAAGCTCTCCATCAGAAGCATTCTCGCCGTCGCCCTGACCGTGGCCAGCTCCGTGACTGCTGCCCCGACAGCAGTGGAGGAGCGAGCTCTGCAGGAGCGTGCGTCGAACATCATCATCGGCTACCGCACCGTGAGCAAGGTACGCCGCTTCAGAACCTATCCACATTCCAGTTGCCACGACCTATTCTAACAACTCCCTAGGACCAAGCCGCCAAGTACAACAAAGCCGGCACCCTCACCTACGAGGGCAACCGCGCCAACATCCAGCTGGGTGAGGGCACCTATCTGACCGCAAACCGCGGAGGATGGGCTGGTTCCGCCACCGACTGGTAAGCAATCTCTCCCTCTTGCCCTTCGTGCTGCCAGCACTGATAGAGGAAAGGTACTGTGTCATTTACGCCGACAAGACCAAGTTCGCCGCGGCCACCAAAGCGTGGATCCCCGAGACATACGGCACTGACGGCGAGATCTGGTACAAGAAGGACAAGATTGACGCCTACATCAAGGCGGAGAAGAGCACCTGGACCCCCGCCGAGACCGTTCGCGTCTCCAAGATCGACGGCGACGACCACACCTACCAGCTCGTCGTGCCGCCCAAGCTGTCGGGCAGCAAGAGTCTGCTGGGGAAGTGGAGCAAGGGCCCGCTGGATATCTCCGTCACTTGTGCCGAGAAGAAGGAGAGTTTGCCGGATTCGACGGTCAACTATGCTACCTTCAACAACATCGTGGGGACGGCGCAGTAGGGAATGACGCCGTCAAGAGGAGGCGGTTTAGGGAGCCCTGCTATCGTGCTGCCGGGGTCGGGGTCCAGGGGGTGGGCTGCTCTGGGGAAATCCGATCATTGTTTGAGATCGCTGACTTTGGATGTACTTGACTCATTCTGGTGAACAATAATTGTTCAAGCTGTTGAAGAAGCATGCACTTGCGGGACCATTGTAGACGTTTGCTGAGTGCCGCCCAGCAAGCTGTACCTCATCGTCTCTCGCGGCACTCTCTAGTAAACCACAAGGTGTAGAAGCAAACCACGACAACAAACATGGAATGATGAGAGGTAGAAAGTAGATGATGGGTTTCAGAATCTAAAGTAAGCCGGTCAATCGTGAATGTTTTAAATCATGTTATTCGCTGCGAGATCGTTCCTGGTCAGTAGACGTGGCAGGTTCAATTTAATGTGTGATTTGCCGTGCAGAGTGCACCAGATACATGACACTTGCCCTGCAAGACTGGATTAAACAGGATTCTATTTTAGCACAACTGCATCAATTGAGACAGAGTATCAGGCTCATATACTAATTCCGAAGAGGAGAAACGAATGACAGGAATAAGTCACAACTGGACAGACGTAGACTATTGTAGATGTGAAAGGAGACAACAGCGACTCCCCACACCGATTTCCAGAACAAGCCCCAGTCCGTCGGACTTCATCGGATAGCAGCCGGTGATATTGCCGGGCTCGGTGAAAGAGACAAAATCGCTTACTGTTCAGAAATGAACACAGTGCTAGGGGCAGAAGAGGTGCAGACGCGGCCGCTGCCGCTGCTCTTGCAGTCGAGGAAGAGGTTACCGACGCCCCATTGACCAGGCGAGTAGTCGCCAGAACCCCTATCGCAATCATTAGTCGGTGACATTCTGGCCTCATTTTGTTTGTGTATGACTTATCAGGACGGCGGGCTCAAGGCTAGATACTTACTGGATGTCATACGAGTACATGATAGCAACTTCGAAGCTCGAAAGACCGGAATCGATGAGGTTGAACAGGTACTTGCTGTCACTGCAAGCAGTGGCTGCAGTGGACAGGTAGGTGAGCTTGGGGTTCTGAGCCGTGCAGCTCACATGCTTGTCGCCATCGGCCAGCTTAAAGGAGACATCGGTCACCTTGTTCGCGGCGCTGATGTCAATCTTGGCGTCGGTGACAGTCAAGGTACCAGTAGTGGCGTCGGTGTCGTCCCCGTAGGAGGGAGCAGCGAAGGCAGCGGAGTAGCCAAGAATGGCGGTAGCGGTAACGGTAGTGAACTTCATTTTGAGAGTTGAGAGAAAGGGTTCTGTCAGGCTTTGAAGACTTTGGGATTCAGACGATGCAGTTGCTGATGAAGAAGTAGGATTGAAGGTGCTACAAGCATCTCTTTATACCTTTCCCATAGGCGCCAAAGTGAGTACCTTCTCGGCTTTCCCAAGTCGCTCTTGATAGCATACTTGGGAAATACAACGTTACACCTGGTAGCAGTGGAGGGTATCCGAGAACCTTGGGGTCGAATCATTTGATGTGCAGAGTCTCTGAGCCAGTAATCACTATATCAGGGCCACTGGAAATCCAATGTAAGCCTTTGATACGGAGGTTGTTTCCCAATTCAGGGAAAGCTCCGGTTGACCCAACATTAGTTGTATGGATGTTGTCTGCCTCTTAGTGAATAAATCTATAAATGTTCACATACTCGGAGGTTATGCTTGTACAAGGAAGGTGACCCCACATTAATGATGCACCCTCTCATGATTTGTTACAAGACCTTCATAGTAAATACTTCCACGTCTTATCTGTCTCGTAGCCCAAAGGCTTCTTGTTTGATACCCGTTATTATCTACATGTTTCCAGCTAGTAGGCGAAAGACAATCACACTTATACAAGCACTGCCGCCCAGGAGCATGGGCCTACAACAACAACAACAACAACAAGACGAAGAAGAAGAAGAAGAAGAAGAAGAAGAAGGGGTATTGAACTTCGGAGGATGAGCCGAATTCCTATCACTGTGCCACAGTGTCCTCGTGGGTAAATTGATGTCTTAACAGCGGTGGATCCGCGTATAGACCTTGTCTCAGATTGCCTCCACTCTGCGGGGACAAAGAATGTTGGCAAACCAGACGCGGGCTTCAAACCCTGCAATTGAGAACCGTGACATGTTTAACCACCGTGTACTGAAGTGATAGTTATTTAATCTGAAGTAGTGGTAAAGAGACATAGCTCCTGGACTAAGAATACTAAGGACACTTTTCAGTAAGAGCCAAGTATCGGCGAAAAGGGATCAGATTCGGGGCTGACACTCATTATTCGAGAGCCTTCTCCTAGTAAGGTCGGTAGTGCATTATAGCAGCATAGTATGGGTGGTGAACAGGTCGAAATGTCTATTTATCATCCTCTATTCAAGCTGTCACCAAACCACGCACCCAAGTAGCAGAGAAACGAGCAGAAAGAGGAAAGAAAACAATAGGCTTGGGATCACAGTGCTGATTACGGAGTGGACAATTAGAAATGATGGCGGCTGGGTCGTTCAAGTGCTTCGGGCTAGCACCATGGGCGATTTGTTTGATTGAATCATGACTTCCGGGCTCAGTTCTGGCCTAGGTACTGAGTTTCATATACATACCATATTACGGCCAGTCTCATGCGATCCAAAGACGCCACAGTTCTACAGGCCACCATAGACAGAACAGGCGCATTCTTTCTCAATCCATTGCGTTATCATGAAGGGGATACACACCACAGCCAGAGGGAGTGATCATTGCTATTGATCTCCAATCTCGGAAACATTTTCAGGCCCAACATCATGAAGTAAACAATCGTTCCAACCTCTTCGCCAGCGCCACACACTTATTATCCACATAGATAGTGTAGTAATGCGACGCGAGAACCACCACCGTGCCCAAAATAAATCCAGACACCCACCAGGCCACATGGAATGCGAACGGATCATCTCGCAGGGCCTCCGCGCTAGTCAGGTACGGGTTCCCGCTCGCCATCAGATACACAAAATCCCGCAGGGGATTGCGCCACAGCTGGTAAATGGTCTCGTGGAGCAGATACAGCGAGAACGAGATTCTGCCCAGATACTGCACGGGCCGGGTGTTGAGGGGCCGTTGCAGCCACGGGGACTGGGCAATCGCATAGACCAAACACGCGGCGCCCACGGACTTCCAGCACCACTGGTAGATCTCCCACCGGTCCTTCCACTTGGCAGGCTGGAGGGTAGCGAGGAACCGGTAGCCCGGGGGCAGCTGGCCGTCGCTGCCGAGGCAGAGGAGATAGTATCCGACCACGAAGGTGAGGATGGTGATCGTCCGGGAGAGAGTGAAGAGCTTTCGTAGCGAGGACCGGATCCTGCATTGCGTGGTGGGACAGGACGACCGAGACAGTTTCTCCTCGTCGTCGAGGTCGTCATCTGCCATCGCGCTCGCCACAGTGGTAGTGTTGGTTGCCCGCTCCGCCAGCCACAGGCCCCAGATAAATCCGAAAATGTCCCAATTGCCAGCCCATAGGAAGAACCCAGCCAGGAGTGGCAGAGCCCAGAGTCGGAGCTTGGGACGCCATGCCGACAATCCGACAGTCAGTAGATACACCACGTTGGATCCGCGGAATTCTAGAGGCATAGTCCAGAGTTGGCCGTTCAGACCGCCGCGATATTCAAAGGCGATGACATTGATGCTATCGGCCATGTAGCCACACAACCACTTAACATGGGCCCACGGGTGGGTCCAGGGTTGAAGTCCATCAAGAAACCCCTCGTCGAAAGTCCAGTGGTACAGATCGAAGTAAAACAAGACCTGGCTCAGAGTGGCCAGGACAAACACTGGCAGATAGATGCGAAAGAGGCGCCGCACGATGGCGGAGGTCACTCGCGGCAGAAACTGCGGGCTGTGGCGGGCTTTGAGTAGACTGACGGAGATGGCAAAGCCGGAGATCACCATAAACAGGGTCACCATCGAATGGGCGGAGAAAAGAATGCGGATGGGCGGAAGCTGCACCAAGTGCCGATTGGCCTCGGGGGGATCAGCCCAGAAGGAGACGAAAGGGTGCCAGACATCGCTCATAAAGTAGTGGTCAAAGGCCACAATCGCCGCTGCGATGCCGCGAAGGCCATCCAGCCACTGGATGCGGTCATGGGCAGTCATTCTATGCAGGCAAAATTCGAGCCGGACATGGTCAACCGACGGAATTGTCACAATGTCGCAGAGGCATGGATGAATCTTCAGCGGCTGAGCCCCTTTTTAATGGGGGTTCAAAAGCAAGCACCATCTCGTATTGAGGCTCGGCAAGACCCTGAAAATGGAGTCAGCCTCACCAATTATGGACACGAGGGACCCTGGAGTGCACTAGTCTTCGAATGAGAGAGCCGTCAGTGGCTGGAAATTTAGGCAAGCAGGCACCAAAACTGCTTTAATTAGAGCCTGCAAAATTGCAGCCATGGATTTGAGCAGTGCACAGGCCCACCACGTCCAGACCCCTTGCCCCACCGACAGTGTGGGCTGCAGTCATGACGAGGTCCAGGTGTATGGAGCATACAGAGGGATGATTTTACTGCAAATCACGACAGGGATGAAAGGGCTATCTCGATAAGCGACCCATCGTTCATAGAGAGATTATTGTGATAGTTACACAATGCAGCTGAGGTTGTTCAGATTCCACAACAGATCCATGTTGTCACGTTTGCAACGTTTGCTCAGCCTGACTCGGATTCGGACTTTCTCCGATCCGCTTCGACCCGACCGGCCAGCAAACACAGCAAACACGGTAATTCCACCAAACACACCAAACAGTGAATCAGTCGGCATTCCACAGCGGAATGACGGCAAAGCCGGAGACTCCATCCTCAAAGGTAAGGCAAGTGTCTACATTCTCCGGAGTGAATGTGCCCACTGCCTCCCCGCTGCACGTGCTATCGTGGTACGCCACAATCTTCCACCCCAGGTTGTTGACCGTCGTCGCCGCGTACCAGTAGTACTCCACCCCCAGATTGAGATAGTAGCAGTCCTGCGGATCGTTGAGAGTCAGGTAACCCCCGATCGTCGAGCAGTTGTTGTTCAGGCTGGAGACCTGCAGCTGCACCTCAAAGTCGGAGGGGATGGGCCAGGATGAGTCGGCCGGAATGGAGGTGACGCTGCCGGTCAGGTTGGAGAGCAGATGTCCATCGTAGTTGGCGATGTGCTCCTCTGCGGCACTATCAGCACGGAGCAATCTTCGGCTGGGGAAGAACTCTTACCCAGGTTCAAGGTCGTGTTCTTGTCGTTCGTGGCGTAGGTGGCCTCACAGTAGCATTGCAGAGTCGCTCCCTCATCGAGCAAGATGCAGTCGCTGCAGGACTGCGAATACGCACCGCTACGGGACTCAACACTCGACGTCGACGCATGGGGCAGGACGAGGAACTTACTCGGTTTTCCACTAATAGCAGTAGGTCAGCACAAGCCTTGACGACCAGAATTACCACAAGAAGAGGAAAGAGGAGAAACATACCGCTAGCGTGGCTTCGCTGTTAGTGATCTTGTTGGGGAGGTAGACACTACTGGTGATAGTTCCACTCCCGTCGCTGGTCGGACAAGTGCCCACCAGCCAATTTTCCTTGAGATAGATATCGGTGCAATCGTCCGCAAAGCCCTGGCTATGCACCGCGGTGCACAAGCCAGCAATCAGGAGAATGGCGGGGGTGAGTTGCATCTTGAACAGCGAGGAATGCTCCAGCGACTTGTCGACTGCTCATCTATTGCGTTGAACCATCTTTATATACAGCAACATGAGGCTGATACTGTAGGTATCGACATGGTCTGCGCGCATTATTGACTGGGATCTGATTTTGGTCAGGAACTACAAATCCCTCTCTCGAAGGTCCGACGATCCTGCAGGACTTGAGATGGCTCGAAACGGGCGTCGCTCCGGAATTTGGTCAAGAAATAGATTAGAGTCCAATTAGTGCTTATCTCAGCCCGCACAACAGGGTGCATTTGAGGACGACGCGGCCGGAGCAGGAGCAGCAGGATGAGCAAACACCGATAGAACTGCGTCATATTGAAGGCCTGAATTGGTTACCTTGTGCCATGAAGAATAAGTTTTGAGCTTGTCAGGAGGAGAAACAGCTGCTTATATTGACGTCAGAATGAGCTTCTTTTACACCTCAGCGGTGCAACCTCATTCAGCGGCCCTGAAAGTGAATAGGTATAGGTACAAACTTCATCCTACAGACCGCGTCAGCTCCCCGTCCCGCGGAACCCATAAGCATCAGCAGAATTCTGCAGGAGCGAACGGTGGGGCGCACTTGAAAAACTCCGGACTCCGGCGCTCCCACACCTTCAGGCTGAGCTCAAGGACCACGATGCGAGGGCCCGAGCTGACGGTTGTCATGCTCCGAAGGATGTGAGAGATATTATATGCCATTCGGACATTTACGGTGGTGGCTTATGGGCTTTCTCCGCCGTGCACTGTGCAGTGAAATTACACTCGGTGCTCCCCCTGCAGCACAACGGCGACAAGAAGGCTGGGAAGCGGGGTTCGGTGGCGCTAAACAGGACTAACGCGTCACGGAGAATAGTCCGGTTCTGGCCGACCATGCCCCGGGGTTTACTTCTCGTTGCGCTGGGTACTCGATTGCTGATGTAAATTCTTCAAGCTACATGATAATACATTCAACGCTCAATTCTGATCATTGCAGTCATCATCATGGCTGCTCTGTCACCCCAGACCTCTCTGCGGCCCCCACGCGCCGCACAAAATCCCCCGCTTGTCGAGCACAAGCCTCCGCTTCCTGATGGAACCTCATAATCCAGCCAATCATGAGGACGTCGTGAGGCACCTTCTCCTCCACCACCAGCGCAATCTGTGATTCATTGCCGGCTAATTCCTGGAACCGTCGGACCAGCTCCTGGTGATCAGGGAACAGAACCTCACGACCTCCCGTGATGATCAACACGGGCGAGGGGAGTATGAACGGATGGAGGATGGGTGCCACGTACCGCTCCACCGTCTCTGTGATGGCCAGGTCGCGCAGGAACTGCCGTGCGCCCCAGGTGGGAAACGAGCCTGGGATGTACTCGGTACCGTAGTTTTCGCTCAGGGTCCAACTGTCCGGGTCCACTGCGGCGGGGACATCGCACCATGGCGACCAGAGCCAGCTGCACTGTGGAGGCGGGAGTCGGGACGGGTCGTCGTACTCGACTATGTAGCGCAGCAGGGCCAGCGCAAGATGTCCCCCTGAGCTATCGCCGGATAGCACGATGCGAGATGGAGGGATCTGTAGGGTGTGAATGAGGTAGACATACGCAGCGAGGGTATCCTGTAGCTGGGCCGGAAATCGGCCGTTCGGGTGGCAGGCGAGTCGGTATTGTAAGCACAAGATGTGACTGGCCGCTGTGTGGGTGAGAAGTGTCTTCGCGAGGAAGTTGCAGGAGGAGGTGCGTCCATCTCCCAGCACGTACGAGCCACCGTGGAGATGTAACACGACGTATTGTCCATCAGGAATGGAGGTGGCGCCAATGCAAGGTTCGGGAAACCACGTGGCCCCGACGGCCTCAGGCTTGATTTCTTGATCCACTGCAACGCCTGTGTAATAGTGCGTGTTGGCAGGTTCGATCACCACAAATCGTTCCCCCTCATGGTGTGGCTTCAGTGAAATGGGCCATTTGAAGTGACAGGCCGTGTAGGTCCGAAGGAAAAGTTTCAAGAATGAGCCAGCCAGGCCCTGGCGGACGGACCAGCTGGGATCGTGTCGAACTCTGTGAGTTGTTCATCAGTAACACGCGCCAGGACGGAGATGCTCAGGGAGGTGACCAGGGACAGGCACCAACCGGGAGGAAGCCATGGGTGATGAAGACAGTTATCCAGGGACGCAACCGATAGGCAGTTAAAAGCAATGGCGATCGCAGCCAAGCTTTAAGGCCAAGAAGGACTTTGTTCAGCCCTACGGGGAGGGGATTTTTGAAAATACATCACTATGATGTCGCCATTGGTGCCCATTCACGGCAGGCAACATCATTTCTCTTTCCGGTTAGTGTCTCGCCTACGTATCTCCTTGCCCATTCCATGAAACAGGCTGAAGTGCTCGTTTAGTCTCCCAGAAATGGGGTATCGGCCAGATTCTGCCAGAACCCAAGGTCCAGGTCCCACGAGAGCTGGCTTTGGAATTCTTCCCAGTCGGCGAGGGTCGTGGTACGGGGAGACGGCGCTCCCGGTCCCCGCAATGCATCCGCTGTAATTGAATCCAGCATGTTGTGGATCGTGGACAATGCCCTGGAAATCAGATCGTAATTAGGATCTTGCAGTTGCACCACTGATCCACCTGACAGCTCCGCAGCCAAAACAGTCAGATTCTGGATCGCCCGTGGATGAGGGGCCGGGACCGGAGCGGACGAACAACGTTGGTTCAACACGGCTAAGAGAATGATGCCCGCGGCAGGAAGGCCATAATGCACGATCTGACAGACTTGAATCAGTTGATGTTCTACTAGACGCTGCTCATCGATCCGCCTCATACCTTCCACATCAGACTTGTGCCCGAATTTGTGAGCTGGTCGCGCAGCATTATTAATGCGACAACAGTGGCCAAAATTTGCTCGGCGAGGGTTACAAGCTCCTGACTGGGGGTGGCAGGAGAGGGTAGGACCACAAGACGAAGAAGAAACAGGACATGCAAGTGATTGAGCTGGAAGCTGGCGAGAGAGTCCCTCTCAAACCCGTCCTTTGTGGTCTCCTTCAGGCTTCCCTCCAACCGGAACTGTCGCGGGAGCTCATCCCACAATCTCTCAGCTTGTGCTTGTATAATACTAGCAAGATCAGTAAAGCTCTTTTACGGTTCATGCCGATCAATGGAAATACCGGACTTGCTGCTGGAACTGGTCGCTCTTCTTGTCGCGTTGCAGGTATAAGATATCTTCCTTGAGGCTTGCACACAACGCAGACCACCGTGACTCAGCCACATAAGAGGGGACAGCTGCTGGGCTCCAATCGGGAGTGATTTCACTTGGGTCTGAAGACAGATCCCAGTGGCTGGTACCCGCAGGAGCCGAAGGGATCTGAAAGTCGCAGAAATGGCGTGGCATCCGCGGAGGCCGACCGAGGAAAATTGCCATATTCTTATCGGCGGAGAAGATTCGCGCGAATGCAGTTCGACGCAGCTCTTGGAGAAAAACAGGGGCATTCCGCTCCAGACCGTTGGTCTGATGATAACCAAGAGCAAAGATTGACGCAATACCATCCCCAAGTCGTCTCCAATACTGATAGCCTGGGTCTCGTCAGTGCACAGGAACAGGTATTGCCCGGATGGGGAGCTGCACTGACTCTGATCGCCTGCTATGTACGAATGAACGATAAGGTTCTCGTACTGAAGTACTAGCTGCAGGTCATTGAGCTGGTCCAACGACAAGGCTATCTCGAGAGCACAGTTTGCGACACGGAAGCATCGCTTTCGAAGATCATATATGCCATGGTCCTTTGAGTACAACGGTGCGAAATATGGCACATCATACGAGGCACGAATCACCGCCAGAACAAAGAGGCCCAAGGTCTCCCACCTAATATTATGTTCGGTGAACTGAGCGCAGAATTCTGCCAAGGTTAAAGACGAATTGCTATGCAAGGCCTGCGCCGAATTACGCAGCAGAAATTCAGCATAATGTCGATGCCAATTCGCATTGGTAGACATGGAGGTCAATGCAAGGTCAATACTGTCGATGGTATTTTCAAGCAAGGCACCACCCAGTGCTAAGTTAGCACCACTCGACAGCCACAAGTTGACCAGGTCTTTCATGGATTGCAGAGGTGCATGAGCCAACAGCAGCCGGGTTGCGTCCGCCGCGCGCTGAAGCAGTACATCGTCATCGTTCATGTCCACCGTTGTTGTAGGGGCCGTAGGCTCAGCCAGCTGCGGTGCCACAGTCTGATCCGATGCAGTCGGGGGTATATGACTAAAGATCGCCACATGACTGGAGGAGCCGATGTATCCGGGGTTGGGATACCGCTGACGACGAGAGGACCGGGCGGAGGGCGTTAACAAAGGGTCGCGACTGGCATGAGAATAAATCAGCAACTAGAGCCACAGTCGGGAATACAGAGAATGAGAGATTGCTCTACCTCGGAGACGAGCGCGGCTCTTCAGGGCTTTTGTTTGATGTCAGAGGCCGCTTCCTCTTGAAGGGGGTGGAGCGATAGAGACACAGTCCGGCTCGGTTGCTGGTACGGCAACGCGTACACACAGGGTGGGTATGATCGCAGGCGAGCTTGGACTTGCGGCATGGCTCGCAGGCAGGCTGCCTGGATATCATTCAAGGCGGTGGGAATGTTGACTGACGCGAGACCAACGGGATGGATACGGAGAAGAATTGAAAGCTGATGCTCGGGTCGGAGAGTCCATCGGAGCGGAGCGGAGACATTTCGGTGGGTTGAAAGGGCGGTGAGGCTTCAATTGCCGCTTGGTTCTTCAGGCATTTACCCACGATGCATTTCATTTCTTCGGTTCGTTTGACAACTACACAACTACACAACTAAACACTGTTCTGTCTCTGCAAATACTCTACCAACGGACCACTCGGGGCATCTTCCCGATCACAGACAATCTCCACCATGCGCAATCCGCATCCATTCCACAGCTGATCCGTGGTGAGAATCCCTCCCAGCTCATCCCAATCGCGGGCAGAGGCTGTGTAGACCTCATCCCCCCCACCTAAGAATTGAGGAGCCTGCAAGTACCGCCATGAAGTGATGTCGTTGTACGCCTGTTGACGCCCGTGGATGCAACGTTCGATGGTGTATCCGTCGTTGTTGATGACAAATACCACCACATTTAACCCCAATCGGATGATGGTCCCCAGCTCTTGCGCCGTCATCTGGAAACTACCATCCCCGATGAAAAGGATCGTGCGTGCATCGCGGATGCCCTGGTACTCGTCCGCCATCATCAATTCTCGCTGAGCAAGGGCAGCTCCCTGAGACGCAGGAAGCATATACCCAATCGAAAGCCACGTGACTGGAGTGAAAACGCGACTATGACAAGGCAGAGCCATCTCTCGCACTCCATACCCGGCAGTTCCCGTCTCTCCCAGAACAATGTCCCCGGGTCGAAGATATCCCGCGAGAAGCCGCCACAAACGGTCCTGGGTAATGGGGCTCGGACCAGCAACGTCAGACAACGTTAACGACGAGAGGCGGGGAAGGCGTTGGTGAGCATTGTCAGACCCGACTTTTTGAACATCCAGTCCTTCCAGAATATGTGATAGCAGATGTTGAGCGGGGACATCGCGAAAGACCTCTTGACCGAATCGAACCTCCGTGTCCGAGATGTAGATGGCTACCTCGTCCTTCGGGATGGCAGAACATGAAATGGTGTTGCTCGAGCTCAAATGGGGACCAAAATAAAGAACCAAGTCGGCCCCGTTCACGTATGCTTGCACCTCGGGACTATCGAATCTACCCCGATAAACCCCGTGGCAGTTTGACGTGGTCTCGTCCAGCAGGCCTTTCCCGTACGCCGTGGTCCAGAATGGCCATTGGGTGGTGGTGATGAAACGTTGCAGCTGTTCAAGAATTCCCATCGGTCGGCTTTCTCCGTCAACCACAATGACTGGTCGTTTGGCAGAATACATCCTCTTGAAGATACGCGCCAACACGACGTTGGAACAGGAGACTGGTGGAAGCTGCGATAACCTGAGAGGACGACCCAGTCGCTCAACCAGCACAGGTTGATCAACCATGTCCACAGGGATTTCGATATACACCGGACGGCTATGCCGCAAACATTGCTGCAAAACCTCGTCTATCTGGGCCGGGCTGGTTTGCGGATCCCACAGCCGCGTCTGAGCGACCGTGACATGAGACGCCATTTGTGCAAACCGGCGGTACTCGCCGTCGTTGAAAGTATGATGGACTAACTGACGCTGGTCTTGCGTCTCTCGAGATGGGGTTCCGACGATGTGCACCACCGCAGCACGTTCAGCGAAGGCGCCTGCGACGGCATTGATAGCTGACAGCTCTCCGACACCAAAGGTGGTGATCAGGGCACCAACTCCTTTGATACGAGCATATCCATCGGCGGCATAGCCAGCGTTGAGTTCGTTGGCATTGCCCACCCATCTTAGTCCCGTCGGCTCCACGTAATCCAGCAGGCGGAGGTTGAAATCACCTGGTACGCCATGAAGAGAGCGAACCCCCAATTGCCGAAGGCGTGTGAAAAGATACTCAACCAAAGTAACTGAGGACATGGTAGTGAGAGTGGCTGGTCTTAGGGTAAGAAATGACAAGAATCTGAATGCGAGCTCCCGACTTCCGAGGGTTTACATTAGACTTTATAGTGCATGAACCACTGAGAAAAGAATGGCGCCATTCGCTCGAGATTTGGTTGTCTCGGCGTGTTCGATCACTCCGACTTATCTTCGGGATAGGGTAGGAATCGAAGACGGGGCAAGCCGCGGGCCGGAGAAGTATCGGCGTGTTCGGCGTGTGCCTTATCACGCAAAGCACCTTGATCTATTTCTATTTATCGACCCCTACAAGACGTCTACAGGAGGTGCATGCTTCCGACTATTCTTGCTTTTCAGTACCTGCTACAGTACCTGCTACAAATTCCAAACCATAATTGAAATGCCGCTTCTACAGCCCGCCTCTACAGCCCGCCTCCATCACGGCTCTCCGGGCGCAGGCAGAGCCCTTGCCGTTCGCCATTGCCCCCGCCAATTCCTCGAATGCCTTCAAATCCACCCACACACGCAGTCTTCCCCTCGCAAAGCGATGGGATGGCCATTGGAGTATTGAAAGTCGAGGCTTTGAAGGTTCAGCATTGAAAAAGTCCGCGAACCAGCCCAGTGACCGCAAGGTCATCTCCCTGGGCACCGGACGGCCCAGAGCAGACTACTATCCATGGGACTCTGTGACAATCGAGTCGATGCCAGCCACACTAGCCGGCGAGTCTTCCAGCCATCAGACGACGATAGACAAATACACGGACACATTCAATCTAGCCAATGGGCTCAACTACAGCAGTGGGGCTGGCTTCCCTCATCTACTCCGATTCCTTACAGAACACGTGGAAATGATGCATCAACTGCGGTACTCCGACTGGGCCGTATGTCCTTCGTGCGGCTCGACGTCTGCTCTGGACATTGCTTACCGGATCTTCTGTAACCGAGGAGATACTATTCTCACTGAGTGCTATACCTACCCTGGCGCCGTGGAAGGAGCAGGCCTGCAGGGCATCCGAGTGCAGGGAGTGGCCATGGATGCAGAAGGACTGCGCCCGGATGTCTTGGACGAGATATTACGAAATTGGGACACCTCGGCTTCTTCCAAACCCCGTGTCTTGTACATGATCCCTACCGGGCAAAACCCGACCGGGGTTACTCAGGGTCTGGCTAGACGCGAACAGATCTATCAGATTGCGGAAACGCACGACCTAATTATCATCGAAGATGACCCATATTACTATCTGCGTCTGGGCATGCAGTTTGACGACGAGCTCAATAGGCAGGGTCATGGAGGCGATAGCGTGCTCACCGCCATCAACAGGTTTCAGGCACAGGCAGTCCCATCCTATCTCTCGATCGATCGATCTGGTCGCGTCGTCCGCTTAGATTCAACATCCAAGATCCTGGCACCTGGTCTTCGTGCTGAATGGGTGACTGCCTCATCGCAGGTCATCCGCAAATTCGTGGCCTACCAGGAGGTCTCGACGCTGGGAATCAATGGGCCGACCCAGCTCATGCTTTGGAAGTTGCTCGATGAGACGTGGGGTCACGAAGGCTTTTTGTTGTGGCTGTCGAATCTCTCACGGCAGTACCAGTTACGTCGTGATATTCTGTTGCGGGCTTGTGAAAAGTATCTCCCTCGCGGACTTGTGTCTTGGAATTGTCCCCAGTATGGGATGTTTCTCTGGCTGCAGCTCGATTATCGCCAGCATCCCCTGCTTCGCCACCAGACGACAACCGACTTCAGTGTGGAGGCTTTTCTGGCAGAGATGGAAACTCGGATCGTGTCAAGCATGGAGTCCAGGTCACGAAAGGGTCATTATTCTCGCCTAGCCCGAAGCGCCAGGGTATGCTCTACATCCGGTTGACGTCTGCGGCTGCGCTGGCGAAGGATTTGAGTGAAGGTGTCAAGCTTTTGTCAGATGTATTGCGGGAGGAGTTTGCCTTGGAAGCCCATATGGTGTAGCAATAACGTGGAACCGGCCTGGTTTCTTCATTTTACTTCTGATCGATGAAAGAAAGCTTGGTACGTTTGACACTTGACCGAATTGGAACATGGAGATTCTATTTCATCGATAGAAAACTGGTTGCTTGTTTGTAAGTTATATATGGCTGGTGCATGAACATCAGCAATAGGTTCTTTCAGAATGAATCACGATTTGCGAAGACAAAGGCAAAGCTGGGTCGCTTACACTATACCGTCCCTTCATTCTGTTTCAACCACTCGCTCAACTTCTGCGCAGCGTTGAAACGATGAGACAGTCCATTCTATGTATTGTGTGAGCAAGACGGTGCCATCATGCGACATGCGAGTTGCTCTTACCTTCTTGTTCACATCCATCTCGGCCAATGTCTCCCCGCCATGCTCGAAGATGGGTTCCCACCCTAGATCGCTGTCAGTGACCGGACATGCCGATTGAAGACAAAGCCTACCAAATGAGGAGGCACCCCTCGCGGGAACTATTTTGCCCTGGTCGAGATTAGTGAATTGCCAAGCGATTTGATTCCAGGGTAGTACTGTAGTACTCACCACTAGCCTCCCCTGGAAGAGGATCGGCTCGGCCTCTGGTCCTGGAGAATAGCCTATGGTACAAACGGCCTCTGCCGTCTTATCCTCAAAAGCAGCAAGCATCTTGTAGAGACCCTCGTTGCCGACGCTCTCTACGAAAGCTTTGCTATATTAGTCGCAACAAACCAATCAGTCAGCCTTTCAAACTCAAGCACAACAGAAATACAGGGCGGACAAACACATAAGGCCCCGGCAGACGGTTCAGAGCATGCATTTCCAGCGCAGAGTCCTCGACTAGGACCGGACCAGCGATCTATTGAATGGGTTCAGTTTGCGCCAGTCAAAGTTCGAGCGCTTCGCGGTACCTTCTCGGCGGCCACACGGCATTTTTCCCGGGTGATCTCTTCCACGGTGCCCTGAATCTCGGGCAGATCGAGGTCGGTTGCATTTAAGATGACTGAGCTGCCTAAGATTGCATTGAGCTCAGAGATCTTGTGTCTATTTCCGGTGACCAGGGTGAGAGTTAGCATGATGACTGTTTGGTGACTTTCTGGTGATGATGAAGTGATTGAAATATCCATGAAAAGAAGCAGAAATGACTCACACTTGCCGCCCTTCACCGCCCGGTGTAAAAGGAGAGCCAAAAGACCTGAACACCCTGGGAATACTACTTTATACCCTTAAATAGAGTCAGTGGGAATAGCCATAGCTATAAGCATAGGAGAAGACATGCCTAAAACGACTGTCTGTCTCTGCGAGTCACAGGATCTATCCTTGCTCATTCGCACTTGTCCGGAGCTGCCACGTGACCGTCACCGCGCCTTCACCTTCACCTCCTCGAACACTACAGAATTTATGATTGAGACATTGAACGGGGAGTAACACGCGGAAAAGCACTGCCTGGCAGCATCAATGCTCTTGGGACAGTAGCGGCAGGCAACAGATTGTCAGTGCATCAGTAGGTCTCGAGTCAATCCCGAGTCCCAGCAATCTTCTTTCTCTTCTCTTGACAGGGTGGTGTCATTGAGATGTCATGGAGGAAATGGGAAGGGGGAATGACTGTTGCGTTGAAGTGACGGTGAGGATGGTGGAAGATCGTTGGTGGGTTGAGTGGTGCTGTTATGGCAGAAGAGTGCCGAAGCGTTTATGTTTGATAGCTGGCAAACCCCCGATGCAAGCCAGAGAAACCTGTCATTTGTCAATTACGCCGAAGCTTCATCGCTCACCAAACAAAGCAATTGTGGAGACCTCAATGTCTCCATTGAGCTGCACCGAAATGCGGAGAATGCGGGGAAGAGCGGGGAAGGGAATGGCAGTAGGAAATGATTGTATATCTTTGGCTGTGACCATACCCAATGTCGATCGACATTAGTGCAATGGACTGGCCGGATTGGAGCTGCTCATTCTATTAGCCTCAAAGGGCTGTCTTCAATAGGGTCACGCGCAGAATGGCCCGGGTAGGCGGGCAGCTGGCCGGTGGACGCTATATCTTGGAGCGACATAGCCCCCAACTTCCCCTTCTGCTCTTCTCCAAACGCAGGAGCATCATATCTGCCAGATCTCTCCTCACTCCAAATGGTTCAGGTCAAGAAACCGGGCGATGTAGCCCCAAGTGATCCCCATGCCCCCAAGCCACGAGTGGGAGAGGGAAAGCCGGTGAGGGATGCAGACACGCAGCGCCTTGAGGAGATGGGATACTCACAGCCGATGGAGCGGAAATACTCGGTGCTGTCTGTGCTGGGCGTAGCATATTCTCTAACGAATTCGTGGTGGGGGGTGTCTGCCTCTCTGGTGACTGGCATCAACTCCGGAGGGTCAGCCTTACTCGTCTATGGGAGCATTCTGCTGGCCCTGGTCTCCACTGCCGTGGCGGCAACTCTTTCGGAACTGGTCAGTGCCATGCCAAACGCTGCTGGGCAGTCGTTCTGGGCCAGAGAGCTGATTCCTCGCAAATACGCTCGACTTGCCTCCTACATCACCGGCTGGCTGGCCTGGTCGGGGTCAATCTTCGCGTTAGTTGTGCTCTGGGTTTATGATCTACCCTCTGTGCTTGAACAATATACTGACTAGCAGCCTGTATTACACCAGTTCTGCCAGTGTTGCATCGGGTGTTGCATCGGCCTGTGTAGGGTCTTACGCCCTCTCCCATCCAGCACTGTATTTCCTTTCTCCTACAAAAGCCTGGACAAAGTGTCTGACACACGTAGGGAGATAAAACCTTGGCACACGCTGGTAGCATACCAGGTCGTCAACCTCTTCTGTTTCTTCTGTAATATCTACGGACGGACCCTGTCCTTCGTCGGCAATGCGTGTCTTTGGACCAGCCTCGGTGCCTTCGTCGTCATTCTCATTGCGGTTCCCGCACGTGCTGCAACTCATACCTCCCCAAGCTTTGTCTTCGCTTCTTTCTCCAATGCGACCGGCTGGAAAAATGACGGCATTGCTTTTATCGTGGGGTTGATCAATGCAAACTGGGGTTTCAGCGGCCTCGATGCAGCTGTCCACCTGGCGGAGGAGATTCAGCGGCCGAAGAAGATGGTGCCTATTGCAATCATGGGAGTAATTGCCATCGGATTTGTCTGTCTCATTGTTCACTCGCTCGCTACCACTGGTACCACTCGCTAATCCTGGACAGGTGACCTCCTTCGCCTTCGTTCTCGCGATGATGTTTAGCGTCCAGGACCTCGCCGCGTTCCTGGCAGCCTCTTTCCCCAGCCTGGAGCTCTTTCAGCAAGCCCTGCGCAACGACGTCGGTGCCATCGTTCTGGAAGCATTGACTATTGCCACCGGTATGGGTAACATGATATCCTGCCATACCTGGGCTGCACGGCTCTGCTGGTCCTTTTCCCGCGACCACGGCGTCCCGTTTTCACGAGTGTGGTCCCAGATTGCTTCCCGCGTCGAGACTCCTTTGGCAGCGCACACCCTCAACACGATCATTGTGGGTGCCATCGGTTGCATCTACCTCGCCTCGCAGACGGCTTTCAACTCAATGGTGACGGGATGCATCGTCCTCCCGTACCTGTCCTATGTGTTGCCGGTTATCGGGCTTCTGCTTCGTGGCCGTAACAACATTCCGCATGGCCCGTTCTGGCTTGGGAGGCTGGGCCTCTTAGCCAACTGGGTTTGTCTGGGATGGATTCTCTTTACCTGGGTCTTCTACTCATTTCCTGCGCAAATGCCTGCTACAACTGGAAGTAAGTGCGACTGCTGTATCTGTTTGTTGACGACAGGATGGCTGACTCTAAGCAGATATGAATTACATCTGCGTGATATATGCCGTCATCGGTTGCATCATCGTCACGGACTGGTTTGCTCGAGCACGCAAGGTATATTTGTCTAACATTGCGACGATTGACGGGCAGGAGATATATGAGTTCGATGAGGGATGGAGGGATTGTTAAAGTGGTCTCTGATCCAGAGACAATTTGAGCTGCTCTGATCCGACCTCAGTAGCTCAACCCCAATCTCGAGGCAGGCTATATATCTGAGTAGTATGATGACGCTTGGACAGGCGGGAATTCTAGGCAGAATCTGTCACTCACACGAGGCCAATGTCAGTGCCACCACCCAACATGGAGGGCAGATCCGAGGAGGTAGTGATGTGTATTGCGGAAGAGAAATGAAGCATTCTTAACGACCAATTTGCTTAAGTTTCAGTGAACAGTGCATGTTCAAAATCACAGTTTCTGTATCTTCAGAGTCGGTGCTACCTAGCAACCATTATGGCATTCTGCAGACATCAATATGCGATGATCAATGACAAACGTCTTAAATACCAATGGGCGGATTTAGCATAAAGGAGACACGATACAAAACGAACCGTGTAGATCAAGGGTAAAACTGGGAGATTAGACATCTGTTGGACAGCCCTGTCTCCTAACATTACCCGAAAGAGTAAACGTTTGCAGTCTTGGCAACGCCACCGGATGCACAGGCGGATTGCTTTCATCCGAGGACATCAAGGAAGATGGGCATTTAGATATACCCCCTCAATGAATATCACTTGCACGATCGTTATGGAGTTACCTATACGTAAGGACCGGTGGACAAACAACGGGGCGTTCGGAAGGGCGAGGCAGACTGGGATGAACCAGGAACGGGAGGGCAAATGGTGTTTTATCACAATTCCCATGAGTTTATGTACGTATGCGATGAGAACCACTGCTCGAAGCGACAAGAAGCGGATTTTCCATACCAAATTTGCTTCCTGGGAACGCTTCGTAAGTACGTGTATCCACTGTGGATACGCGGGTGACGAACCCTTGCCCTACAAGCCCGATTTGGTGGACTGCAAATAGCACCACAGTCTGCATATGTTATTTTTTGAGGGCACGATGTCATGCTTTGGAAGAATCATATACTTTCAGAACTCATTTGCAACCGGGAATGAGCAGTTGAGAACGAATGGCACGCTGGAGTGTAAAAAGCATATGAATGTTGTGGATGGAAGGTTCCTGGATTTTGACAGGCAGCTGTAACAGCCACCCGTCACTGTTCCAACGCCTTGACTCTTCCTCAAATCCACCAAACCCACTGATTGGAAATGACATTCCAACCAGGAAGCCAGCCTGGGATGGAGCAATCCGATAGGAGCCTAGCAGTTATGGAAAGTTGATCCATGATGACGAGGCCTCAAAAGGTTCCTGAAAATAGCCGTGGGTTACGTAATGCCATCCGTGGTTCCCGCTTATTTTCTTCTTTCCGCTTTGGGCCATCCTTCATCTTCTCCCCTTATACTTCCTACCTCGACTTACGCTTCACTCTGTTCCGACCTGGCACATACGCGACAGAACGCAGCCCGTCTTCGTTGGCTGCGGTGGTGAGACCACGAGGACGAAAGTGGTTCATCACCCGGTTCATGCCAATGATACCAAATCTGAAGCACCCGACCCCCGGAAAGCCGAGATGGATGGTACTCACACCAATACCCCACATGTACAAAGTATAGCAAGCGAGTCAGGCCCAGGCAATCATGTTCGCATGCTAGCTTTACAGCTGAGATTAGACTAGTTCCATTTCTGTATTGGTTCCCACTCTTCATCTACGCTACCAGATCTTGTAGTTGTGAGATGACGACTGCTGTCCGGCCCTACAGGAATTGCGCGCCCCGTCCACTTTTGCGCCTGAGAAAATGCCGAATCAGCTGAGCTAAATACTTTATCAGAACCGACGAGCAGGCTTGAGGCCCAGAATGATGACGCCTTGTTCAGGAACCGGGCCCTGATTGTCCACGGTCTGGATTGTGCCGCAGAAAGCGAGGCACGCGTTTTCATGATGTGTGCAATTTATACAGCCTGGCGAGCCCTCTCCCCCGGCTCGAGAAAGGCAGTTGTCATTCAGAAACGTTGGACCAATGCCTCCTTCAAGTAGTCGCATGTCTGTGGTTGAGGACGTGGTTATTCCTGCCCATTTACTGGCTATAACAACGCCATCGAATCATCTGTGGAACAGCTCGCACTGCGATCTACCAGAGCAGGGCCCTGTTCAGCAGGCAATTCAGACAGCCGCATTGGAGAGAGAATTTGGACGTCTGCGCCGCTCAGCGACTGTCAGCGGACACCAACCCTCAAAAACCAGAACAATCGCCAACGTTCGGCGTCTGAGCGAGCCGCTGAGTGGTTCCGAGCTGAGCAGCATTACTGAAGTTCAATCACCATGCTTCTCCCCGCGTCTGGATTTCGATGCTCGTGCTGAGTGGGCACGTTCACCAGCACATCCAGTTCAGGTCGATGGGCAGATTGCCGATGAACGTGTTCAATTCTCACATGATATTCAACCAAGGGAAGGTTTGGGATCTTACAATTCGGTCCCCGGAACCCGAGATGGCGCATGGCCTCTTCCACCGCGTCCACAGAGCTACCGGATCTCTCGCATCGAAGCTGGGAGCCGACCCCATACAACCCGACAGGCAGCGCGACATAGCATCTATGATATCTACCAGAAAGCCAAAGAGCGGCGGGTCGCATTGCAACGGAAATACTGGGCTCAGGTGTTGTTCGAATATGCTGTCTACCTAGTCCTGATAGCATTCATCTACTTTGTCCTCATTGGCATTCCACTCTGGAAGGGTGCGGTCTGGTGGCTTTATTATGTGGTGCGCTTCGAATTTGTGATTCAGGGCGGTTGGGCGATTACGATAGGGGTTGCGTTCTTGTACGTATTCTGGTTGAGTCAGTGGTGGATTTGTGGCAAAACACTAACGCTCTCTCTGTCTGGCCAGCTATGCCTTCGGACCCTTGCTCGTTTCTTTCGAAAATGATCCTCCTGCAGCACCAGAGAAGCTGGAAGGAGCCGATCTAGAACACAACCCGAAGACAGCCCAGGACACAGCCCTACTTATTCCCTGTTACAAGTCGGCAAACATCATTGGACCTACATTGGAAGCAGCCCTGCGCATCTTTCCACCCCAGAACATTTTCGTGATTGCCAACGGAAACGCTCCGGAGCCACTGGACAACACTGAGGAGGTTTGTCGTCCGTACGGAGTGAATCATCTGTGGTGTCCGGTCGGAAGCAAGATTATCGCCCAGTTTGTGGGCTGCTATGCGGCCAAGCACTTTCCCAACGTGTTGCTGATCGACGACGATTGCGCTCTGCCGGCCAATTTCCCAGTAGTAAGTGACCAGTTGAAGGGACGGGTACAGTGTATCGGGTATACTATCAAGAGTGTCGGGCCTGGATCATCGCGAGGGACCTTTTGCCAGCAGGCACAGGACTTGGAGTACAAGATCTCGGGTCTGCAGCGCGCCTTCGCGGGTGTTCTGGGCAGTGCTACTTTCCCACACGGCGCCATCTCCTTGTGGCGCACGGACTTCCTCAAACAGACGTTCCATGATCATCCCGGCTTCTCAGTGTCGGAGGACTGGTTCTTTGGGGATAGCTGCCGTCGGCTGGGCGGGCGCATCACCATGTGCTCGGCGGTGTTTGTCGAAACCGAAACTCCATCGGCGGTGTTCTTCAGCAGTGGTGGCTCTCGCGGAGGGTTTGGCGAGATGACCATCTTCAAACAACGCTTCATGCGTTGGAACTTCTTCTTCGTCAACGGGATGTACTTCAACATGAAGTATATTCTGTGTAATTGGAACCTAGGCTGGTGGGAGCTGGGGGCCAAATTGTTCGTCTTTCAGGAGGTAAGCAGCGATTGTGCCTTGCCCGAGCCACGCAAGACTGTCAGCTAATGGATAATCAAAAAGGTGTACGAAACGCTCCTCTATCTTGTGGCGCCCTTTATGTTGCCCATCTCCTTCGCGGTGCGGCCGGCCTTCTGCGGGATTATGCTGGGAGCCACCAACGGCTTATACTTCCTCAATGTTGTCCTCTTCAACCTCATTCACCTGCGCAAGAAGAAGGAGTCTGTGAGCTGGACTTGCTTACTTGTCTACTACATGCCCTACAAGATTGTCTTGTTTCTGATCAATGTGGCCAGTTGCTACTGGTCGCTGTTCAAGTACGCCCGCTACTTCGCCAATCGTCATCCCAAGGTGATCGAGGATGACAAGGCGGTGGAGGTGGTGCTTCGTCTGGAGGAGACAACTAGCATGCCCTCAGAAGAGACGAAGAACCTCCCTGGGCTAGGGAGGAGTTTCTCAGTCACGAAGGTACGAGCTCGGCGGCCTACGAATGCCTCGCAGCAGCCGTCCGTCAGCATCCGGGCGTCTGTGGTCCGTGTGGACGGCAATTGGATTTAGAATGGTAAGGGTAGAGTTTCCCAAATACTCCTTGCGCTTTCGCTAGCCTGCTAGACCTCATAATGACATCCAATATGATGATTGTCCAAACATCCCCTTCGAAGGCCAGTCCCCGCGAATCCCACTCAGTCACATTCAGTCTCCTAGACGAAGCGCCCAATCACCTCAGTCTAATGGTACATCTCGTTCTCGCTCATCCTAACCGCGCCTTCAGCCTGCATCCATGCGGCAGCCCTGTACTCCTCATCTGACCCATCGTCCTTATAAGTCTTGGCCGCCACCAGTACCAGGGTTCCATTGTCGATCAGCGGTCCTAGTCCCGCGGGAACATACCACTGCTCCCCACCACCGGGCTGACCAAACCACGGCAGCACCTCGCCATAAAAGGCCCAGAAGGGTCGTCGCACCTCATACTGCCAGTAGTTGTACAGCGTACTATCGTTGAAAATGTTCAAATTGCTGGGCGGGATCGATCGTTGCGCGAAGGAGGTCTCGGGTGTAGCCAGGTACCCGCCGCGTGGGGACCCGAAACGATCGACTCGCGTGCCCACCTCCAGCGTCACGTTCTCGGGGCACCCTTTGAACCCGTCGTTCTGGGGGTAGTAGTACTGCGTGTTGAGGTACGGCCCCGCGGTGAAGTTGGACCAGGTGCAGAGCCAGTCCCGCGGGCATTGGCTGTCCAGGGGTTTCCAGTCGATGAAGAAATCGGTGAAGTTGCTGGCGGGCTCGAAGTTGGCGGGACCCAACAAGCGGTTGTTGCAGATGCAGTACGAGCAGTAGTAGGTTCCAGAGACGGGGTCCGACGCGTTGGGGGTCACCCCGTCGCAGGGATTTTGGCAGCTGGGCGGGTAGTTTTGAATCCCGTCTTTGTCGGGCGAGCCCCCGCGGGGTTCCAGCTGGATGTTGGGAGAAGAGGCCAGTTTATTAGGGGCTGCCTGGGTGAGCAGGCCGAATAGAGGCAGTGCTAAGCAGAGAAGCTGGGGAAGGTTGGTGGGCTTGGATGCCATTCTCTGGTGTTCTGCCGGGTGGCTTCACTAGGGCTGACGAGGGTAGGGGAGCGGCCAAGCGGGTCTGACTAACGGTGGAAGAGAAACGAGCAGGCGAACACATTGATACCTTTATAGAGGTCTGCAGATGGTTGAAGACCGGGGTCTGTCAGGAGGATCTCCACAGCTAGAGCCATCCGGTATGTGGTTGCCCGTGACAGGAATTCGAGCGTGGAGCTGAGGAATGTTGTCCCTGCGGCCAGGGCGCATGAACAAGAGGAAGTAGGCTAGATACGAGAGATGCGCCCAGCAGTTCGAAGCTTCACACCCAATGGTGTCTCGTCTTGTTTGTCATGCCCAGGGATTGCAGGGGTACCTTTTCCTAGAGTGTTCCGGTACATTGCTTGGCTGCAGACCAGACCACTAGCTCTTTGTCTCGATACGCCAGAGATGCATCTTAGCTATTTTCGATTGCTGTAACAAGTCTCGAGGGGGCTTTTACTCTGGTGGCAGCGGCCAATGGTAAGGTGGAACTAGCAAGAGGTGTTTGGCATGTCCGGGGGTGGAGTGAGTGCTCAACGACGCACATTATGCGAGCGCGGAGATGCTCGGGCAGTTGGTTAGACAGTCAATGATGTTTATGAAGAACCATTTTTTGAACCAAGTACTATTCTAGATGGATGAGATTAAGTGTTTGGAGTAGACAAAGGCCAAGATCAAAATACTTTTTAGTGGACTGTCAGTAGTGTTTGATGCGGAAGAGCATGATTCTGATATATACCCCGGCCTGTTGATACACGGTCTGCACCTGGGCTGCCACACCGCTTACAGCCATCAGGCACTGCAAAACAGAAGTTGTTTGTGAATATAGAATGCATTGTCTAGCTAGAACAAAGAGACTCCAATTATAAGTGACATTTCACACAGTACAATGTAAGCCTACAGGGCTGATCCTGATCCTGATTCTCCGGGAGAAGGGTCCTGAGGGGTCTTCAGGCACGCAGCCGCACGGGCCCAAACAGGAATAGACGGAGCAGCCAATGATCAGCGAGGCTGGAGACACAGCCTCAGGGGCGGACAGTACTCCCCACCCATCTACAAACATAAAGCTTTTGCCACGTATTGAAGCTCTCAGTTGTTTTCCAACGCACGGCTAGTTCCCGAGCATGAGTAATAGTTAGAAAGTGCAGTGACAAAGCATCAGGAGGCGCTTGGGTAAAATCGAGGCTTTCTGTGGCTGCTGCAGGGTGGCACAAGCACCTGCAAGGCCGGCAGTTTACCCCTCTTTTCCAAAGCAACCTTCGTATACTACCACACCACCCATTGTATTTGGCAGTATAAATCCAAGTCGAGTGCTTAGGCATTGCCAGAGCAACTGTCAAGACTGTTTCGATGGAGATCATTGATCATTTTCAGTCCAACGAGTTCAGCGACCGTGTGAAGAGACTCCTGGACGAACGTCATGTGCCAGGCCTTGCCCTGGCTATTGTTCACCACGGCCGCACCGCTTCAGCAGGATACGGGAGTGCCTCCTTCCACCCCCCACAGCCGTGCACACCAGACACCTTGTTCGATATTGCCTCTGCTTCCAAATCGCTGACCGCGGCCTCCGTGGCCGTGTTGGTCGAGGATGATGAGCGATACCCGGAGGTGCAATACGACGCTCCCATGTCGGCTTTGTTGCCCGACGATTTTGTCCTAGAGGTTCCAGAATACACCGCAGCGGTAACTGTAGATGATATCTTGAGTCATCGGACAGGCATGGCTTCGTGAGCATAATCGACTCAATACTGACGCGCAGGCCCTATAGTGGACTGACACTCGTAGGCACGATTTCTCCTACCTGAGTCCGCGGGCGAGTGCCCCAGATACGGCGCGATCCGTGACCCGAAATTTACGACATCTGCCTCTCACTGTCCCCATCCGATCCAAGTACATGTATTGCAACATGATGTATACCGTGGCGACGCATTTGGTCGAAGAGAGGACCGGAGTATCCTTCGCCGATTTCCTGGAGGACCGCTTCTTCCGACCGCTGGGCATGACTTCCACCAATCTCCAGCCGCAACGAGCGCGCGATCGAGGACTGGGCGACCGTATCGCCACGGGCTATAGCTGGAAGGAAGAGCAGCGTGCTTACCGTGGGTTTCAGACGCCAGATTGCCCCGAAGCTCAAGGAGCAGGCTCCATCATTACCAGCGTGAACGACTATATCCGCTGGGTTAAAGCCATGATGCATCGCGAAGGCCCGGTGACGGAGAGCCTCTACAAGGGACTTCTCAAACCACGCTCAATTCAGAACCCAGGCGAGGAGGAGCTCGCGCCACAAACGTCCTTCACTCTCTACGCGGCGGGGTGGGAGATCTACCATTACCGGGGACACGCGGTGGTCTGTCACGACGGGGCAGTCGCCGGCTTTGGCAGTACTCACTTTTTCCTGCCTGAGTATCAATTCGGAGCCGTAATCTTGGGAAACTCAGACACGGCAATCCCGGTGGTCGCCATTATAGCGAGAGAGATGATTGACCAGGTTCTCCACGTGCCCCATGCAGAGCGCCCTAATTGGAATAGCATCGAGTGGACCAGCTGGGAAAAAGATGATAACCCGAGCGAGACGGAGCTGTGCCACAAGCTGTGCCCGGATGTGCGCGAGCCTCAGCCTCAGCATTTACCTGTGAGCGCCTACGTAGGCCGATATAAGAATTTGGGGTATCATGAATTGACGGTGGAGGCTAAGAATGATCAGCTGTTTGTCGATGCGACCGATCGTTCCTTTGGGTTTGTACTGACCTTCGATCATGTCGGGGAGCAGTCGAAGTACATCGCGCGTCTAGAAGACTATCTCGATGGATATGAGATTTTGATTCCTGCTGAATTCGTTTTGGAAAACGGTAAAGCTATCAAGCTTGGGTTGGGGCTGGAAGAAGAGATGGAGGATTTGGTGTGGTTTTCGAGGGTAGGGGAAAGAAGTGACACCTCAGGCAGCCCAAGAAGTGAAGCCTAAGGCGAGAATAGACGGAAACCTGAGGCCGCCACGGGCTGGAGCCGGAAGCGGGGACGGGCGGCAGTATTCATTCACTTCCCCGATATTGCATCAGCCTGGAATAGCCACTTTGGAGTCATGTTTCGATTTCCCACCGAACCAGTCATTCCTCATCACGTATACTTCGTTCCGTCAAGATATCATCTTGATTGGCATCTGTTCTGACACCCTACGGAGGCGGAGCCCTCTTCCGCACCCCTAGTTGGGTAGTCATTTGGATCCAAGAGGGTTCAGAACCCGAGACAAAATATGGCTCGCAGGAGGTTGGCTAATGTGAGAACTAGGCGCCGTTGCTCTCTCTATTCGCACTCAAAATTGCGGCTGGATAGGATTCCATGATCGAACGCAGAACAAAGTCATCTTCAATGCCTGAGGTATCGCGGATCTGTCGCCTCAATGCTTTGGGGCGCGCTACTATGATGCTTCTCAAAAGCACCAGCAGCTGCGGCCAGGGATTGAAGAGCATGCTCGACGTCAGGTCGAAAAAAAAAAAGCACGAATGGTCGAAAAAGTCGGCGAAACACAGCAATCTGCTTAAAGAAGCGGGGAGACTCGGGTGTGATTCTTATTGGACCTACGATGGTTATTGAAGACACAGTAACAGATGTAAGAGATGATCACTGGAAAAGCAAGCCGCTGGTATGACTATCAACATCCATGAATGGCTGCTCCCCGAGAATGAAACACCTGTCAAAACTGTGGTCTTCGAGATAGACTGCCCTCGTTGGTTCAGCGCATGGCGTGACATAACGTGGAAAATGACACAAGACCTTGGTAGATCCGGGTTGAAACAGGGGTAGCTGTGGAGGAAGATATTCTCCGATACAGCCAAACACAACCCTTTATCACAGACTCAGGTTAACGCCTGATTATGGGCTTTACTGGAAAGTCAATCCTACGCACCCACTACAACGGGAAAAGCTTCCCTGTGAGCTTCGATAAAGTAGCACTTCCAAACGCGCTTCGGTTCAAGCTGTTAGACAAAACTTCGGGTATCTGAATCACCGGCCAAACAGAGGCGTCTGCTGTGAAGCGTCTATGCACTTTGCGCTTGAGGGAAGATGTCTATTGCAATCTTCAATATGCATTGAAACCGTCCAATCACTCCGAGAACAAGCTCTTGGCCGACCAACAGATATGTCACAGCGCCCTAAGCCTGCATGAATTTGTTGCCTTGGGTTGTCTCTGGGCATGCGAGCGTGTGAAATGGTACAATAAAGTCCGTGAGCTTGCATCGTGTAATCTCTCCATGGATAGTCCGTCGGTTGGGCTTCTATTTCGTCAGGCAGCGTGAGAGCTGGGCACCTGGAGTGCAAGTGCAGACTTGAGAGAGGCTCTCCGAGTTTTCAGTGACCGAGACTTCAGAATCCGACTGTTGGATGCTCTAGAGCAACAGCTTGGATTGTTTGAAGGAAATTGGAATAAAGACTGACAGGGTTCTTCGGCGAGTCTCTGGGAGGCAGGGTGTCCAGGGGACAGTCTTATCCGCCACCAAAGATATGAGGGACAGCATAGGTAAAAAAAAAGAGGCGGAAGAGCGACGGAGCAATCGGGACAGAATTGGGGAGGAGCTCCGTCCTGAAGGCGGAAGAGATCTGGAGTATGTCGCTAAGAAAAAAGAATACAAGGGAAATTGGAATGTCTGAGTTCGGATCGACAATTAGATAGATAAGTGAATTGTTTAAAAAATCTCTATATTGAGTGCTGAGACGGCCCAAGTATGCCCTGAGTCTAGCTAGGCCTCGAACACCAGGACAGAGTTGGGAGAGCTCTCGCAGTCCTCTTGGAGCCACTCCTCGAGCATCAGCAATTGGGACCACAAGCTCTCCTGCGCATCATCCACAATTTGATCGTCAGCCTGGTCCGCCATCAATATGCCGAGAAACAGTTTCTCATGAAACAAGTCATCAGGGTCGCTCGGGTCATAGTAGACGTGGCTATTGGGAAGGACGAAGGGAGTTAGGGTAAAAGCGCCTGAGCCGCCAGGGACATCTTCTTCGGAATGATCATCCAACGGGGTTTCGTAGTAGAACCCGACTTTATGATTTCCCCAGAATACCTTCGCACCGTACGGCTCAGGGGGCGCCAATGGCTTCTCACGCTTCTTTTTCCACGCTGCACGGGTCAGCTCCTGGGCGACTGCCTCCCAGTCCTCGCCACAGGTCTCAGGTTTGAGAAATATGAGTACCATCCGATCCGTCTCCAGCCCTACGCTGGCTACTCCAAGTTGTGTATCACTTACTTGAGGCATCTCTACGAATGTCTGGAAGTGTCGAATCTTTTTCTGTGGATCTGAGATCAAAGTCTAGCTCTCGAAGTTTCATGAAGGGAAGGACTTGTTCCTCTGAAGCAGATGATGGCCTAACCCAGGGATGGGAGTAGTATTTATAGCCAAGCGCCAGGGTGCACCACTTCGGATCAGAGAGATAAGAGACCTTGAAGCTTTCATTCTTTGTTATGGGTCAGCTCAGGAGGCAAGTGAAAGAATTGTTTTACGTCTTATTAGAGGAGGATGGAATTTTGGAGCGCGTCCTCGTTCTCCATAGGGACGAATTGAAAATACCCGAATAGAACAATATATTAGAAGGGAAACACCAGAAAGAGGAAGAACGGCTACAGTCATCGTAGGAGGATGACGGCGTAGAACAAAGATCAGAAATTTGAATGCTATTAGATCAAAGGACTAATCAACCGCAAGTCAAGGCTACTAGGTTTTCAGGGATGGTGTTTTGAGTTCAGGCGGATTGTTCCATCCTGGTCCTTGTATGCCACCACCCAGTTACTATCAAAGGGCTTGCACCTTACCAGGTCATCAAATGCGACGAGTTGTATCATGAACCGTGATTCAAGGTCCAAGTCCGACACGGCCGCACAACGCGCACAATTATCGGTGGCATCGGGGGCATACATCTTCCGGAGAAAGGCCGTTTTATGCTCGTAAGGGCCACAACCGGGATACCCGTGAAAGACCGAGCCATCAGTGCCTTGCAAAGGGAAAGGAGTTAGGGCCAAGTCGCCCGGGGCCTCGAAATAGAAGCCGACCTGGTTATCACACCGGACCATCGCTCCGTAAGGCCCCAGATAAGTAGCCTCCACCGATGACCTCGGCCGGTCAGTCCGATTTGCGTTGATGGTGGCTCGTTCGCGCTTCTTTTGCCAAGCAGCAGAGGTGATCTTCTGGCCGATCATCTCCCAGTATTGCCCACACGCCTGTGAGTTTAAGCGGACGCTGAATCCGGCCCAGGGTGTATTCGACCACCCCGCATTGCGTTGGATCGAAATTGCGCACCCCGTATGGCTTATCCTCAGATAGGGTTGTACGCCCAAACTAGCAAATCACAGGCTATACTAAGTCTCACCAGTGCTGAAAGGTATGAGATGGACAAATTAAGCTGGAAATTTACAACGCTGTTTACAAGGATCAGATCATAGATGAGAGGTAAATTTTTATTGAGATAAGGGTGGTGGGGTAGTGATATTGTAACTAAGATGTACAGTACCAGACCTTCAAGTAAGGCTGGCAATCCCACACTTCTCCTTGTACATTACCATGAACAGGTCAGGGGGAAAGGGCTTGTCCCAGAGCTCGATGGCTCTCACCCAGAGTTTGTGTTCCAACTCTTTTTCCAGCCACTCGGACTCCGAAAGATTGTCGGGCTTATCCGAGTACATCTTGCGAATGAAGGTGTCCTGATACGCTTTCTCCGGGCCGTCGTGTTGAGGATAATCGTCAAACTCACGGATCCAGTGGGTCAAAGTAGACTTAGACTTATCGTCTGCCTCGGACTCAGCCGGGGTGTCGATGTAGAATTGAGTCTCCCGGCCTTTACACTCGACGATCGCCCCATAGGTACCAGCGTAATACCGGCGGGGAATTGCTTTCTCCCGCTTCATCTTCATCGCATCGCTAGCAAGCTTCCTGCCGATGCGCATCCAGTTGTTGCCAACTGCCCGATGGTTGAGAAAGACCCAAACGATTCGCGATTTTCCTCCCCTGATTCCAGCGTAATCAGCCACGCCCCACTCGGTGTGATCGAGATTAGGTCCCGGCCCCCCGGAGTGACGAGACCAGTGGATATTAAAGCTAGGATGGGAGGACATGGTGGTGGTGGTGGTGTCATGGAAGGCGTTGGTTCTCTGGTTGAGGGCGCTGTTGTGTGGATGAGTTGGGAGCTTAAAGTGTGAAGACAGTTGATTCAGACGGGGTTTTCGACAGGATTATATACCCATCTATGGAACCTCTGGGACCTCTGTCATTGACTATACAAAGCTCTTAGTATTGCCTTGTGTTTGATCCGTTGAAAGCTTTTACAAACAGGGTCTGAAAGAAACGTCCTGAAAGAGCCGTCAAAGAACCAGGATAGACTAAGAATCGTCCGCCAATCGATGGATTCACCCGCCACACAACCTGCTTTCCTGACAGAAAGACAAGGGGAGTCCTCCAGTCTATGCCAGGGCTCTGCCAGACGCGGGGTGGTCGAACAATGGCCTCCCTCTTTGTTTGTAGCCCGCAAATCTCTGGCCGCGTGAAAGATATAAATTCACTGCTTTGTTCCAAGACAAAAAAAGGCATTGTTGTCCCATCTCCCTCACTTCCACAAAGATGTCTTTCACTGTTCATCCTAGGCTTCGTCATCTGACTTCTCTTTCTCCTGAACAACGCAGAGAGCGGGAGAAGCCGGTTGTGATGGTGTCGCTGGAGGATGAAGCCTACCCCTTGGTCACCTGCGGACTATGTCGGGCTCACCACCACCCCAATCCGCGGGTGCGATTCTGGCAGTGCTGGCGACGGAGCTGTCAACGCACCTGGCACACTCACTGCATTGGTCGGTTGATGGCAGAGCAGGACCTCGCCTTCGGATGTCCGGCTTGTGGCTCGGGGTGGAAAATCGGCAGTCATCCCAGTGATCCCCTCGAAGCCGCCCACCACGGTCTGGCGCATTGTCACGACTATTGCTATCATCAGGAGACTACTGGAGTGTGGATTTGCATGTTTGAAACTGGTGGAGTCATTTGTAGGCGGCGGTTCTTCAGTGAGCACACTCTCCGAATGCACCATCGGCTGGAGCATATGTCGCTATTGCGAGTCTATCACTGATGCCTCCGTATATGGCGTCCAGATGACCCTCATTTCCGTCCTTCCCACGGTGGCCCGTTAGAAACGCCCGCATAAGAATTTACATCAAATGCTAAGATAGAACGATATGAAGCATTCATTGCACAACACAACCTTACTAACTGAAGAAACCATGAAAATTTGCTAGCTAAGCCTGCGAGACGAGCGCACCCCTCCAGTTCTTCCAGAACTTGCTAGCCGAAGCAAACATGATGGCGATGACGCCCATCACCTCGTCATCCTCGTCGCAGTCCGCTGTTACTCCCACATGACTGTGGCTGACGTGCGTTTCCTCCGCCTCCGAATCCTCCAAGTTGGACACGTACTCGGGAGGCGAGGGCAGCTCAACCTTGACCATCTTGGCCACGCTGGGAGTGCCCTTGGCATCCATGGCGAACAGCATGTACCATCCCGGCAGGACAACACCAGGATCCTCGGGAAGACGAGCGCTGTATTGCAGATGACCCACGCGCTTTAGGGTGTCGAGAGGAACGCGACGCTGGTCGGTGTTGACCGTGTGGGTGGTGGTTCCGACACGAACCAAGGAGGCCGTCTCGATAAAGTCGTCGGTCTTGAATCGGATCTGTTCGCCGACGGTGACGCGGTGTCCGTCGGAGATGCTGGTGATCTGAGGCCGACGAGCTGGGTTGCCGTTCTCGTCGAACAGATAGGGAGGCGAGTAGATCTCGGCGTCGTAGTGGTTGGCCGTGCAGTTACCACACAGCCCACCGCCGCCGTTCAGAACCGTCGCGTCGGGCAGCAGCATGGAGATACTGTGATAGACGCGCTTGATGTTGTTGCGAGTGAGCTCGTGGAAGGTGTCGGTGGCAGGGTCGTAGAGCTCCGGGGTGAAGTTGATGTCGCCCTCGTGGAAGGGCTTGCCCCAGCTCTGCCCTCCGGCAATAAAGACAGTGCCATCGGGCAAGACCACCGAGGTGTGGAAGACACGCTTGTAGTGCATTCCCCCTTCGCCGTCTCCCTTGGGACCCTTGCCCGCGACCACCACCTCCGGGTCCTCGTAGGCATCGCCCAGGGTGATGAGGTGGGCGTTCTTGGAGCCGTTGGAGCCGTCATAGTGACGTTGACCGCCGAAGGTCAGGATCTTTCCTCGCGTCGCATCGTACATGACGGCGCTGCCCGACATGGAGTCGTGGTCCTGGCCACGCTCACCGGCCTCTTCCCACGAGCCCCGGACGCGGCCCTTGCGATCCGTGTCGTCCACGTTGTACCAGTGCATCATCTTGCTGGGCCCCGCTTGGAAAACGCTGGCCTTCTTCCAGCCAAACAGCCAGCCGTGGTTGTCGGCACGCCAGGCTCCCAGACGATCATCGGTCATCATGGGCTCGACCTTGGCGTTGCTGCGCGTCTCCCAGTGCGCGTTGGGTCCGGGGTAGTAGACCTCGCCGTTCTTCTCGACCTTGTCACCGCCACTCCAGGATCCTCCGATGACGAAGATGCGACCGTCGGACAGGGTGGTGGACGACTGGTAGCCACGGGGGGTCTGCATGGCGGGGCCCTTGTTCCAGGCGGTGCCATTGTACACGCTGGTGCGACCCGAGTCGGCGCCTCCGCTGACCACGATGTTGCCATCGAGGTCCATGGAGGTGCCGGGGCAGAACATATCGTGCTTGGTCTCGAAGACTTCACTCTGCGTGATGATGCCGCTGCGGTTCATGGTGGTGGTCAGCGTCTTGCCCCCGGGGGAGGCGAAGAACTGATCGTCGGCCCAGGCAGACCACATGATGATATTCCCATGCTGCTCGACGGCGGACGAGACGGGGACGATGGGAAGATCCAGCGTGGGGCCCCAGACACCACCCGTGCTGGGGTCGGCCTCGGGGAAAGTGCCCTCGACATAGGCGTAGACGGCCATGTTGGAGATGGAGACCTGTCCGTTTCTCGTCTGACTGCGGGGGTGGGACTCGGTCTCTGCCACCAGTTTGACAAAGCGAGCGGGGGTCGGGATAAAGGCGGACATCTTGGGGCTTTTGTTAGACCCCCAGGTGCCGTAGGCGACCTCGGTCCAGTTGTTTCCATCGGGCGACAGCAGGATGCGGTGTTCGCCAATCTGGCCCTCTTCGGCTTCCAGGCGAGGCAGCATGGTCACGCCCGAGACATAATGCTCCTTCCGCAGGTCAATGCGGATCCAGGAGGGCTCTTGCTCGTCAGGACTGCTGCTCCAATAGCGGTCCGTGCGGTCGTCGATGGCATACTCGCAATTGTGGGCCTTGTTCTGGCTGGAACACTTCACCTCCCAGTTCTGGGAGGCATCATCGGAATTGGACTTGGGGATGAGGTATGAGTCCGCCGGCGGCGATTGATACTTGACGATTCCCGTGGACTGCTTGGCAATTTCAATCTCGTCCGCCTCGGAGGACTCATAGGCATACTCAGGGGGCATGAAGGCATCGACTGCGACTGCCCCCAGCAGGAGGCCCGCCGCCAACCGGAACTTCATGGTGACTCAAAAAGATGGAATGAATGATGTGGTGGACAGGAAGATGCCGCAGAGGAGAAGACCATGTTATAAATATATACTTGGCCGATAACCACTTCTAGGTTCATCCAGAATGGCGGGAATGCGGTCAGTGGCTGTTCTTGTCAGTGGCTCCAGTGGTGCCAGTGGGGATTCAGCTCGCCACCGAGACCATTTCGAGGCAGTCGAGGCAGTCGAGGCAGAGATCGACTGTGATGTGACGCTGGTTGGAGATGAGATTTCCAGTCGTGAGCGCCAAGTCGATAGCCGGATCGAGATGGTGTCCAGCTGTGCTGAGAAATGCCCCGGAAGGTGTAGTTGCAGGCATTCGGCAAACTTGCCTGGATCTGCCTTGGCTGAGGAAGTGGGTCTTGCCAAGCCTGCCCGAGCGGGCGGATCGGTCCATCTGGCTGGCCCATGGTTGAGGATGTACTATATGGATGTATACATGTACGTACAGTAAGTAGCTAGTAGTATTGGTATGTAGTATGTTGTAGTACCTGGTTGGCAGTGAATTGGGGGTAGTAGGCAAGGCAAGAACCATCCATAGAGCTGACACAGTTCCCAACCAGCATCATCGCATGCAGCAGCAGACGATCTCACCCTCAACCCCGCCCCACAGTTCAGCTCCTCTCAACGAATGACGCAGTCGGCATCCAAGCGACGCGATCGACAGTTCGTCACCACAGCAAAGTGGAGGGATCGACATCCACCACTTCGATAGATCAGTTTCGTCCGTGGGGGTCCTGACTCTGCAGACCACCCCGTCATCCACAAATCACCGTTCACTTGATCATGGCGCATCTTTTTTTTCAGCTGAGGGGTATGACGATGACTGCATTGCCAATGGAGGGGTCGTGAGAGGTCACCATCAGAGCCACCGGATGTGCACAATCAGCTCAGCTGCGATCGACGTAACCAAGAGTCAAGAGCTGTGGTCTCTTGCCAGCTAGAGCGGCAGACATAAAAAGGTTCTTCTGGGCGGGTCTGCTCCTCTTCCCAACTACTCAGAGACAAACCATCATCAAGATGCGTGCCCCAGAGAAGGTCAACACTGACAACATTCAGGGGAGCATCTGGCCCCGGCTGCCCAAGCACTTTGAATCCTACTTGTTTTTCAAAATCACCGACAAGGGCAAGTTCCGCAAACACCTGCGGACCCTGCTGGACAACAATGAAATCACCACCGGCACGCAATGCGCGGATCACCTCCGTGGAGTGGGAGAGTTCGAAGAGGCTTCCGCGCAAGCCCGACGTGATGTCCCCGAGCCCTATCGGGTGCCCTTCACCGCGGTGAATGTGGCCTTCACCCATCTGGGTCTGCTGAAGGTTGGTAATGGCCTCGAACCCCCCCTTTGCTCTCTGTTCTTTCCTTCCGGACTCTAACGCCCGGCTTTACGTGTTGTAGGTCGAAAGGCCCGAGGTGGAGGTCGAGTTTGCCAAAGTCCAACAGGAAGACCCCGACGAGTATTGCCGGGACCGAATAAATGAGGGTCTTTTCGAAAAGGGCATGTTCGATGATTTGGTCTACGAGGGCGCCGATAGCCCCCCTGCGCTGCATCCGGACTTTCGGGCCCCGGAGGCTAATCTGGCCAAGGAAGACCCTCTGCAACGGTGGGACTGGCGTGTCGATGGTGTCTTCATCGTGGCGGCGCACAGTGCCAAGGCTCTCCGCCGGAAGATCGTGGACGTCGAGGATGCCTTCTACGTGGGCGATGCAAACGAGAACAGTATGAAGATCGCCTTTCGACGCGATGGTCAAACCCGACCGGGGGCAAACCGGGGCAAGGAACAGTACGTGTGTTCTAGGGAAACCTCAATTACATGACCATCATAGACTAACGTACCTCCTCGTTGCAGCTTTGGCTACGAAGACCACATCTCGCAGCCCAAGATCCGAGGGCTGGATCCGGCCCCTGCCCCGGGCGAGCCTCATGCCTGTCCTCCGGGGTACATCTTCCTTGGGTTTGAGGGGGATCCCAACAAGAAGCGAGGCCCGGCCTGGGCCAAGGAGGGCAGTTTTCTGGTTTTCCGGCAGTTGGACCAGAAGGTCCCCGAGTTTGAGAAGTTCCTTGAGGAGAAGGCTTCTCAGATCCCGGGCACCAACTATGCGGGGCCCAATGGTCCGGCCAAGCTGGGAGCTCACTTGATGGGTCGCTGGAAGAGTGGTACGAATCCGGCGAATCTCGATTTCTTCTCTCTTTACAAACGCAGACTGATCAAGCATAGGCGCTCCCGTGGCGCACGCTTACGACGAGGATAAGCCCGAGTTGGCCTTCAACAACACGTTCGACTTCCGACCCAAGAAGAGCATCAAGAGCTGTCCATTCGCAGCGCACATCCGCAAGATGCGCCCTCGATCCGATAAGAAACGCGACGTGGGGACCGAAGAAGACGGGGACGAGACCGCACTGCCCGAGCCCGACAGCGATGAAGAAGAGGCCGAGGGACAAGAAGAGGATGCCAGCGTCATTCTTCGACGAGGCATTACATTTGGTCCGGAACTGACTGAAGAGGAGAAGCGGCTGCGGAAGACCATCGAGCACCGGGGCATTTACTTTACCTGCTATCAGAGCCTGATCCGGGATGGATTCAATTTCCTTATGACTCGTACGTTGGTTGATATTAGGGCTAAGATAGAAGAACTACGCAATGCTGACACGAGCCAGGCTGGGCGAGTAACGCCTCCTTCCCCGAGTACAAGACCAAGACCTTCCCCGATGGGCCGGGCATGGACCCCTTTGTCAACCAGAGGCTTCGCAAGGATCATCCCGAGGGCCACATCAGTCTGTATGATGGAGAAAACCCCGACAAGACGGTGAAATTGAATCTGGGCATTAGCCCCTGGGTGGACCAAAGGGGTGGTGAGTATTTCTTTACTCCTTCGCTCAGCGCGTTGAGGGAGCACTTTTCGACGGCTTGAGGGCCTTGGCCGTGTAGTTAGCTCTCTCGGCAAAGATGATACCATATCCATAAACTCAATTTCCTCTAATCTCATGCTTTACGTGTCTATTTGCATCTGGACATTCATCAAGTCACGCGGTGTCGAGCGGCAGACATCTTTCAGATGCCGCGTAACGGCGTCCCGCCTAGAGAGCATTTTGTGGCAGTTGGGGCAGAAGTAACACTCATATTCATGTTGTCGGCGATGGTGCCGTTCCAAATGCTTCAGGGCTGTATATACTCGGCCACATGGTCCGTCATGGACCTCGATCATGCACCTCCAACCATGATCATCCACACAATAGCTCAGAGGAAGCCCATGGGGTCTTGTCTGTTTACCTTCCGCTTTCGGGTTGCCTAATATTGCAGTCAGATGTCCGTGTTGGTGAATATTCAGATCACCCAGAGAGGAGAACGTCCGGCCACATGGTCCGTCATCGACTGCCATCATGCACCTTGCGTTATCGCCATCAACACGATAATCAAAACCAAACCCTGCCTTGTTACCTTCCGCATTGCTCATAATCGTACACCAGCCATCATGATCCACACGATAGCTACCAGGCAGGGCATTTGGCGCAGATTGCTCTGGCAGGAGATGAACAGCGCTCTCCTGAGTAATTGTAATCTTTGCCATCTTTCGTGTAGTTGCTGGGTTTGGAACAATATGTTGAGATGCTACTCCTGGCTTTCACCAGCTACAAACAGGGGTATATGTATAGTTGATCGCAATGGGCAACAGGTCATGGCAGAGATAACAAACCCAAAGTCCTTGTTTGGATCTTTGTTCACAATGTACCAGCATAGCCTCACGAGGAGATTTGATAAACATTCTCTTTCAACAACCTCCCTCGGCGACGGATGACAAGGGTATGACAACACAACGTAAGTAAAATCTCCAGTTCTTGCTCTTCGCCAGAACAATGGTTGCTGTAGGCTATAATGAACGCATTAACTAGTTCCAGAGTAGTTGGACCAAACTCCTCGCGACTGCTGGCCTATAAATATGTATACCGTTCTCCACCTGGAGCAAATAACACCATCCAAAGAACCACGCCCCCGACAATACGTCCCAGAAACAAACCCAGCAACATTACTTACACGTCCTACAGTTATTCGACCAACATCATGGGTAGATTCAGACTTCTTCCCATCACTGTCGATACCACTGAGGGTGGCGTCGAGCCCCTCGAGACAACAAAGGGGTCGGACGATGGGGATGCCTGGAAGGCACACTGTTATACCCTGGTGAGCGAGCTGAACCGGGGGGGATTCATGACTGAAGTGAAATGGCGGACCACCCCCGACGAGCCACGCTCGGTGACCGAAGATCACTGGAAGGCCGAGTGTCAGCGCGCCCTTGTACGTGCCTTTACCACCCTCCGGAGATAGCGCCCTGACTTGAACGAGCTGTACGGATACATCCTTGGGCCTGACACCAAACAAGTCCAGCTGTATCGGCAGCTGAAGCCTACCCGAGATGAGGAGGGTCAAGCTCGACCTCTTTACGTACGAGGGGATGGATACGTTTGTTGATGAAAGTGACTTTAACGCCACTTGCCACGTGGCCTGGTGGCATTGGGGAGTAGACCGCGAGATTCCCAACTGGGACCACGACTTTCGGGCTGGCAGCAAGCACCCGCGGCCGGTGATCGGGGGCACTGACGAACGGATGGACTTGCAAGCCATCCTGGAGGAATATCTCAACACCGAGACCAAATTGGTGCAGTTGGAGCTCTTGCTGAAAGTAGCAGTTGCTGCGGATCTAGGGCAGGCAGGATTGAGGCCCCTCGATACACCAGTGAGCTAGACTGCACCAGCCCACACCCTCATAGCAGGGTTCCCATTTCTGCAAAGATGGCTATTTTTATCAGTAATACATTATTTGTTATAGCATTTATTCTTCACCTCAGACTTTGATCTGCTTTTTTCTCATCTGGAATGGAGTAGACATACTTTAAGTCGCAGGCGGTCATGGCCAACACCTGCAGCACAAATCTCGGTACAAACTGTAGAGCGATGTCTTCCTCCTGGGATTGAACTTTGGTCGAGATGCCTCACATACCGGGACTGCAATGAACCGAAAGGAGTGCGTGGCCCAACTACATCACGTTTCCCTCCTCCATTCGCCAGGTATTAACCATATTTCACCGCCTGATTCTGATCCATCCACTCTTGCCAGAGCGTCCTCTGCTGGACTGGCGGAACCATGCCGTTTAACCTCCAACTATCGGCGGGGTGTCTGTAGATGTTATATTTCCACTTGACTCGACTCCCTTGGGTCCCAGGACATTGCTGGCCGGACTCTTCGGGAAGGGCTTCTGCCAAACTGAACGGCTTGGCAATCTGCCCCGGAAAGCGGTATTCCCACGCGCTGCTGAAGTAGGGCTCTTCGATCAGCACATCTGGCACATGGAGAAAGAAAGCAGTCAATTCGCGGGCACGGTTGATCAAGTTCCCCCGTTGCCCGTGCCAAGAAGGCCAACCGCGGCGGACGGAACGGTTGAAACCGCCCGCTCCGCGATGCCGGCATCGGAAACTGGCAGTGTTTGAGCAGTATTTAAGCAGCACGGGTAATCATGGCCCACAGTATCTTTAGGGTAAAAGCTTCCTTCAATACTCATTTGCTACACATTCTTCAAGCCTACGATCAACAGGATTCCTACCATAATGGCCCCCATCCACGTCGGCTGCCCACTCTTCGATTACCAGACAATCGACGTCATCGGCCCATGCGATCTGCTCAATTCAGCGAGTAAGATGCTTCTGGACGGTATCAATCACTACGCAGCGGTCGATCCAAGCCTTCTGGTCAAGGCGCCCGAGTTTGTCTTCCACCATATCGGCGCGACCATGGAGCCGGTGCACCTGCTTACCAGCGCCATAACCGTCATGCCTACGGTGACGGTGGACGAGGTCCCCGAATTGGATATTCTCATCGTCGGGGGGGATATCCCCGCCAAATCCCAGCTTCCTCCAAAACTACAGGACCTCATTCGCCGCCATGCGGCCTCGGGAAAGTTACTGTTCACGACCTGCACCGGAGCGGCGGTGGTCGCCGCCACCGGCGCTTTAGACGGCCGAAGGGCCACCGTCAACAACCTCGAATACAACTGGATTAAGAAGCAATACCCGAGAGTCAAGTGGACAAAGGAGAAGAAGTGGATTGTGGACGGCAACATTTGGACAGGGAGCGGAGCAGTGGCGGGAATGGACATGGTCGCCCACTGGATCAGGGAGACTTATGGGCTGGACCTGCTGATCCAGGCGACATTGTCGCTGGATTTTGAACCACGCGATGCGGACGGGACCTTCAACGTGCTCCCGCAACGTTACGATTCGGCTGGAAACAAGATCTCCACCCACGTCTTTCCCGATGAGGTCTGAGGGAATGTGAAGTTGAAACTGGAGTTGCGCAGATCACTTGTCAAGGACCTGGAGGGGAAGGACCTGTCATGCTAGAGAGTGTGTCGAGTAGAAACAAATCGCCCCATAGCGTCTCATCTTCGATACTCCGTACTTCCGTAGCAATCGCGCCCTGTAGCGTAGATGGTTCATGGATCTGGGCAACGTAACGGCGGGAATACCGCACGGCAGGGCAGCGATGCAGTCCTTGAGTAGGAGAGGCCGTGCTATCGGAAGCCTTCAGCTCGTGATGCGCACGGCGGCTATCACAAACCTGTGCAGCATTCTCCTTGGCCAAGGTATAGGAAGTTCCTACACTTTCCAGGATCTCGGGCAGTCTCGAGAAGAGGCTCTTGCTGGGTATCTGCCGGTCTGACAAAGGCTTGATCCCCTGCAAATGAGACCGCAGTTGATCGATGCATTCTTGTAGATCCACGGTTTGCCGGGCAATGTCAACGCTCCACTGCGGTACCTCGGGCAGTCCCACGGACAGCCTGTACAGCACAAAGACCGCAAGAATAACCTGATACCAGGTAGAAAATGGCAAGAAACTTTGTTCCGCAGCGGGAAGGGCACAAAAGATCTGGAGGTAGCCTTTCGCAGAACTGACGCATTTGGTCAAGTTGTTGATGACATTGGGATGTGTCGACAAGATGGTAGACTCTCCCCGTGCCATTTGACATGAAGGTCTTCTCTGCCCATAGCAATACACCAAGCCCAATTCTTGGATGCGAATTTTGACGGCATGATAGCGGTCAATCAGCAGCACTGCAGATTCCAAGTCAGCAAACTTGGCAGTCACAAGACCTTACGGACTTCCCACCGTTGTTGCGAAGATCTGTTCCTAGAGATGACCACCATTCTTCTAACCACATTGCGAATCGTGCAGCGTGAATGTACAGGCGAGGGCTATATATTCCTTCTGACCGATAAGTCTCGCACACGTCCTCATTAAACTGCAGTACCTGTGTTATCGGATATATCAAGAGGTCAGTCTCAAACTCCGGTTCCAGTTGCAGCATTGTTGCGCATCGAAGCATGTCCTTGTGGAATCGGAGGTTGTTGGGCTTTCCCGAAGACATTGCTATGCTATTAGAGAGTAAGCCTAAGCCCGTTAAGGCTGTTCGCGGTGGAGCATGGCATCTTACATGCTAGACATGTAATAGCAGCCCAAATAAGCACGGCATGCATCCCGAGCATAGACATCGGTCGGTTCATTTTGTTGCTCAACCAGGTCGACACTCTGTTGGTCGAGTCGCAGATCAATGACCATGCTGATCGCAATGTGTAGGTACTGGTACGCTTGCTGATTCCCTGGGACAAAGGCGAAATGGAACCTGACAAAAGTCAGTCTGCTGATGCCCTCAACGGATGACAAAGAGGAAGCAAAAGACGGCACCCCGGGAACGGAGACTTACCAGGCAAGGTGAACAAGTAATCCCTGGAGCAGGTCTAGGTTCTTCTCCCCAGCTGTCACAGCCCGCTCGCTGAGGGTGTTTCGAAATTCTCTGGTCAGAGCGTCTTGTAGATGACAGTAATTCGATGAAGCAACCCCCACAGCTGCAAGCAATAGGAAAGGGCGACTTTCAGTCATCGAGGCAGCAGTCGAGGCGCCTGGGAGTCGCACAAATGGAAAGTAGGATGCCATGCCGCGAAATCTTTCGAGGAGATGCTCGAGGGCGACAGGACTGAGTCCTAAGTTGGTAACCCACGCGGCATCTATAGCAGTAGATGAGTCCCACGGAGCCTCTAAGGTATTCTGGTTGTCACCTGACTCCGGGCCTTGGGCTATTGCAGAATTAGGAAGGACATCTTCGCTTATCGACTCGACTATTCGATGGGGCCTGTCACCGGGATAATCGGGGACTGCAGGCGGTTGAGAATTGTAACCAGGCGGGGTTAGGACCTCAGTAAGGGGACCACTCGAGCGCGAAAGAAGACCGATGATGTTGGAGAGTTTGGTCTCAAGATCGACCAGTCGCCTCCATCCACACCCTATTAACCTAACTGGCCTGTTGGCTGGAGTGTTCTCTGGGCAGACTTACGGTCTCGCTCGTTGTGCAACCCGAGCTCGCTGTCTCGGCACTGGAAAAACACACTGCGAGTTTGATCGGGCACATCTACTGAAATTAGCCGGGGATGAAAGACACAGCCAGAGAATAGACAACGCTCACTTAGTACAAGGCTGTCCCTCTCCGGATCGAACACATTTCACCTTGAGGATGCGGCATTTTTCGCATGCAGGTACCGGTTTCCCCCCTCGAGAATCCAGATCACCCATCATGGCGTTTTCGACCATCGGTCACTCACTCTTTTGTGATCACAATGCTGTGTGGGCTCGAGAGATGAGGGGCTTGTACGCGATAAGATAGTTAGATAACCGCATAGCCGCTGACAAATCAACCAACCCTTCAACTACCCCTCGTTGTGAAATCGGGTCCCGGCCCCGCATCATCTAGCCGCGTAGGACCAACTAACATGCATACATGCATTAAGTTTCTTGGTCTTCTCGAGGTGATGAAAGTAAGGCTGATGACACAATTGTAGGGTCAGACGCCTTGGATGTAAAACATGAACGGTAAGAGCCAAGCGTACGCTTGAATTTGAGTTGAGCTCCATTTTTTTAAAAGTATATAAGAAAAACCTTCGTTTTTCCGTTTCCTCCATTCTATGCTCACGAGAACCACGAGTTTTCATTTCCATCTGTCCAAAAGATGCTATCACACATGGTGCTCAAGCCTGAAAACCACAAACCGCCTAACAAGCGTCTAGATAGGGAGCGTATCCGGGAGCTCGGCCACAACCACGGCTGGAACCTTGAGTGCATCGCCAACTAGCTCCGCCGGCACGTCTGTCTTTTCCTCCGGAGCAGTATAAGCAGGCAGCTCCGGCTCCCGCCAGGGCTTCGGCGTGAAGAGCAGGATATTTTTCAGCGCCCACGCAGCCAAAGCCTGCGTCCTGGTCGCGTCAATCAGACTGAGCCCCTCTGCCTTGCTGCGCATACAGACTGTCGCCATATCTATCCGCTCCAAGCTCCCTGGTCCCCCATGCTGGATCGCATCCGCTGCTAGCGCCCATGCCAGCGGGTTGTACAGCACTGCCTCGTGAGAATAGATCAAACCTGCCGGCCTGAGACGCGCCTGCACCTGTACCTCACAATTCGTTACTCCAACCCCTCGCTCATCCTTCATATACGCGGACGCCCCTGTTCCCGACTGCGGCTGCACCACCTCATCCGTCGCGGAGTAGATGGATGTAGTAGGAACATAGGCTGAGTCACCGCCGTGGGAGCGCAGGGTGGAGATGAAGTTCGAATTTCGCGTTTGATGCCAGACTGCCGGCGTGCCGGGTTGTGCACCCTTGAAAGGACAGAGAGCCCACGCACCAACCGTGCCTGCAAAATCGGCCGAGATTGCAATAAAATTGCTCACGAGCTCGCGGGTGCTGGGCCAATACTTGAGCGTCCACTGAATTGACAAGCACCCCTGCGACCAGCCTACAACAGCCACAGACCTGCCCTGACATCGTGTGTAGATATAACGAATTGCATACGCAACATACTCAGCGTTGCGGGCCGATTCGTCGCACATCCGGCCGGGAACATTCAGCCAGACCGGGTCAGCAAAAGCGCTTTCACGCAACAGCTTGGCGAAGTTCGGGGCATAGGCTTCCCCGCCGTAGGTACCTGTGCCGGGGACGAGAATAACAGAGGTCTTACCGTCACGGCCATATTGGAAGGCGCTGGGGATATAAATCGCGGATCGGAGCGATTCTTCCGGCACGGAGTAGGGCGCATCCTGCTCCGAAGTGCGGGGATAAATCCTCACTTCGAGGTCCGGATGCTTATTTCCGAATGAGTTGATGTTGGGTCCCCCCAGTCCCAGCATTCTGTTCGAGAGATCGGTGCTGCGTTCGCGCCAGGAGTGACTGGACCCTCACAGAACAGAACCTTGCACTATATGTCAAAGAAAGGAATGGGGGTGAAACCCTTGTCGCCCATGACTTATATCTCTCTTCTTTTTTTTTTTCTTTGTTGTTGTGGTCCTTCAGCTGAGGCACGATGTGGGGTTGCGGGATGGCGCAGCTGAAGCAGTACGTACAGTACATCTGCTTTATGAACTGTTAGCTATAGATAAACGGGATATCGGGCAGCACATCATGTTGCTAGGACCGGGAGCAAAGTCTAGCTGATGTCCTCGAATGGCATCTAAACCAATAACTGAGCTGCAAGGGTGGCCGGTGTGGCACGCAATTTTCGGTGTCGGCAAATCTTGCCCTGGACGGCGGTGATGCCGACAAGACGAGCACCTCCATTTCCTCGTTATCGTCTTTTCTTGTGTGTGGTACGTCCACTTGATCCCCCAAAGGCCCCCCAAGGTCCAGAACCTCGAGCCCCACCCGCTCAGATCTGCTTTTGGGCATCATGTGGGGGAGAATCGCGACCCCCTATTCGTTTCCACGATACGCCCCAGCGTTCGCTTCAGCTGGCGAGCTCCGAGCCATTCCGGTGTGGGCGAAGTGCGGGGCCTGGAGTTAGAACGTGCCAACCCACTAGCTGTAATTAGACAAGCCACCTGCCAAACTTCATCGTAGCAGCACTGCAGCTCCAGCCAGCCGCACAACATGTTTTTCCGTCGCGACTGTGGCTGACTGACTATCGGCTCAAAATGCCACAGACCAAGTAGTATATCTTCTTGCTGGTGTAGTCCCGCGATTTTCCTGACCGGAGTTTTGTTTTTGTGCCCCTTTACCCAATATCTCTTTGTTCTCAATTTCGTTGCGCATCCTTTTACTTCAGGGTATGAAATAGCACGTCGTGTGAACGATGCCGTCATTTCTCAATAGGGCAACGGCCGCCGCCAAGAGTCTGTCTACTGCTCCGATCCAGAGCCCCGTCTCTCTGGATAAGGTGACTCAAAAGCTCGGAATATCTAATATTTCGGAAACGATTTCGGCGTGGAGAGAAACAGAAGAGCAGGAAAATCCACCTCGTTATGCAAGCTCCTCGCCTGTCTCCGGGGGCAATAATGTCAAATTCCACGTCAACGGGTGCGCCTATTTCTGGGCTGTCTCGGAGGCCCTTTTGACAGTGAAAGAGTCTGTGTGGATTCTTGGATGTAAGAACTGCGTTCCTTCTCGTATCGGCAATTTGCAGCTGTATCAGCGAGCTTAATATCGTGGCAGGGTGGGTGTCGCCCGAGGTTTATCTGAGACGCCCTCCGTCGGAAAATGAACAGTATCGGCTGGACCGCATGCTGCTGGCTGCAGCGGAGCGTGGCGTCAAAGTGAATGTGGTGGTCTTCAAGGAGGTCCCTCAGGTCATGTACCGTAAGTGTTTCCTTGTCTCCAAGCTGGCTACTTGAGAGGTGAGTATACTGACGGCGATTTAGTCTCTTCCAAACACACCAAGCGTGCTCTGGAGGCTTTGCACCCGAACATCTCAGTTTTTCGATACCCCGACCTCATCCAGGGAGCACAGGGAATCATGTCTTCCACCAAAGGGCTGCTACAGAGTATTACTGCGGCCGGAATATCAGGCCTCGGGAAAATCTCAGATGAGACGCTCCAGACTATGTTTGGCATTGCAGGCGGACCGACACTGCTCTGGGCTCACCATGAAAAACTCGTCATCTGCGATCAGAGAGTTGCCTTTTTAGGTGGTATTGACTTGTCGTACGGGCGATGGGACACTATTCAACACCCCATTGCAGATGCTCACCCTGGGAACCTTGATGACATTGTTTTCCCCGGTCAGGACTACAATAATGCTCGGGTCATGGATTTCAAAAACTTAGATCGATGGGAGCACAACAGACTCAGTCGCTTGACTACCTCCCGTATGGGCTGGCAAGATGTCTCGGTCAGTTTGATGGGTCCTGCCGTCGCTGAGCTGAGTCGCCATTTTGTCGAGCGCTGGAACTTTATCCACAACCTGAAATACAACGCTCGTCTGCCTGGGTTTCGGGCTTACGAGGCCCTGCCACCGGCCAAGCCTCCACCCACTACGCCTGAATTGCCCATAGGATCAGTTTTCTGCCAGCTAGTCAGGAGTGTTGGTCGGTGGAGCAACGGGATATCGACCGAAAATAGCATCTACAACGCGTATATCGACGTTATTGAGAAAAGCGAGCATTTTGTCTATCTGGAACAACAATTCTTCATCACCTCCACTGGAACGTGGCTCGGTACCGTATGGAACCGTGTGGGAGAGGCTCTGGTGGCACGAATCTTGCGCGCTGCTCGTGAAGGGAAACGGTACAAAGTGTTAGTCGTGATGCCAGCAGTCCCTGCGTTCCCGGGCGACTTGCAGAGCCTGATCTCGGGACACCCGCCTCGCGCGATCATGAAACTCCAATACAAGTCCATCAACCGGGGAGGCTTCAGTATCATAGACAAGATCAAGAGAGCCGGGGTCAATCCCGACGAGTACATCCGCTTCTACAATCTGAGGACCTACGACCGGATCAATGAGAGCGGAGTGTTGCAGCAAGCCACCGAGGCAAGCCATGTGGACTACAACGCTGCCAGCCAGGAGCACGATGATATGGTCGATCCATTCGGCCTTCGCGCACAGAATGAGATCGGTGAATTTGAGCCCACTGAGATAACAGCCGACCATAAAGCGTACCGTGCTTACCAGAAGGCATCCACCGGCCGCAGCAGCGACTGGGATACCGTGAGCTCCTGCTACATGCTCGATGGTGAGGACATTCGGAACGTTCCTTGGACCGCTGGGGGTTCTGTCCATCAAATTGATGCTTTCGTCAGTGAGGAACTCTACGTACACTCCAAGGTTCTCATAGCCGATGATCGAGTGGTCGTCTGCGGCTCGGCCAACCTGAACGACCGCTCGCTTAAGGGAAGTCGGGACTCGGAGATCGCGCTCGTCGTTGAGGATCAGGCGACCTTAAACACAACAATGAACAGTCAGCCGTTTCAGGCTAGCAGGTTCGCTGCCACTCTAAGACGATACCTTTTCCGCAAACATCTCGGCCTCCTACTGCCGCAGGACATGCGCAAGCCTGATAGCCACTTCCTGCCAGCCCCGGTACCCAACGATTACGACTACGGCTCGGCTGAAGATCAGCTTGTTGCAGACCCCCTGGGGGACGAGTTTTGGGAGCTGTGGAACAGCGTTGCAAGCACAAACACCCTAGCGTTTCGAAAGGTTTTCGCGCCAATGCCGGATGATACGGCCAAGACCTGGTTTCAATATCAAAATCTCTTCTGGAAACGCTACCTGGGTCCGGATGGATTACACATGGCAAAATGGGGCCATGTTCAGAAGACTAACTTTGCCAGTGGCGAGGAAGGAGCCAGAGCAGTCAAGGAGGAGTTATCGAAGATACGAGGAACTCTGGTGGAGATGCCGTTGGAGTTTTTGATCAACACCAATATTCAGATTGAGGATCCTGGTTACAATATCGTCACAAGGCAGGGGTATGTGTAGGAATGGAGTCAGTGTGTAAAAGTATAGATTTGACAAACAACATGACCTTAAAAGACTTTGAAATTTCTGTCTGACCTAGAAAAATCCATATCTGGAATTGAACCCCGTATTTATGGTCTTCTATCCCACAGGCCCTGGAACACCCTACATAGAGTGGTCTTAACCCCTGTGGGCGCAAGCTGCTACCCAATAGTCTGGGCGCCCTGACAGCAACTAAAAAGTGTTGTAAAGAGTAGACATAGAATACTAATCTTTATATATATTTAGATTGCTGTAATTTTGAAATAGATTTGTAAACCGCCAATGTAAACCCTAAGAAACCTCCGCAGAAATAAAAGTAGAGGCCCCGAGCAGGCTCAGAGATATACGATAAGGAAAGTCAGCAAGTTAAGCTACTAAACGTAGCTAGGAAGGCATCAGTTTGAAAAACACTAGATTATATAGATATTTCAAGCCGATCCGCTTTCTAAGAGCTTAGAACGGGAGCAAAGTTGACCCAGCCAGCTGTACCCCCCCTTACATGGCTGGACTATGTTTAGACTAAGTGCCATTATCGTCGGTGAGTATGGCAAAGCTGCAGCAAAATCCAGAGGAAGACGGTCCGGACGCCGATACAGTTCGCATGACTACTCCAGATTACGAAAGACAGGCTAGCGATGATTGTCGCACCAAATCACAGCTTATGTGAAAAGAGTTCCCGTCAATAAATGTGAAAGGTATATATAACAAGCGGTCCACTGGACTTTATTGATGCAGGAACAAAATGGGAGCAAAATACCGCAAGGACAAAATTGCACAAAGGGTAATTTCCAGTGTATATGGCTTTCTTATATCAAATTTCTTTCAGCTGCTAAGTCTGACATATTGCCACACTTCCATCATGCGTGAGCCCCGGGGGGAGAACGACACATTGACTACCTCACCTGACGGCCTCCGGAGCACAAGTCTTACAATTCCCGCCTCCTTTCCTCTCAGCTTATCCCACGGTGTGAGTTTCAGAACATGATCTCCTTCCTGTACACCAGCGCGAGCAGCTTGACTCTTGGGGTTCAGATTTTCTATGATGTGATAGCCTTGAATTGCGGCAGACTCATCAAACCCCAGCTCCCAAACTGGTGCGTCACGATGCTTAGTCTTTAGTCCGAGATCCGAAAGTCCGTTCTCTGGCGGTATCATGAACTTTCCTGCACACATATATTCCACCAGTTCGCGAGCACTGGGATGAGACGAAGTTTCACCTTCCAGTAAAATGCCGAGTTCTTCAACATACTCTTCCGGGCCAACTTGATCACTAGTACGTTCTCTTTTCAGAAGTGTTTGGACGAGATTGCTAATGTCTTTCGCGCCCTCTGTGGTATCCCGGATCAGCGTGTTGATTGTGTGCGCGAATACCAAGCCTCGGCCATAAGAGATCCGTTGAGTATCGGATTGCTTCCAGGTCAGCTTTGCTATCTCCTAGTTGGACTCGTGCACGAGTGGGTTGGTATAGTATGAGAAAAGGCGCTCGTTGAGAGCGATTCTGAATCGTTCCGGCGACAGCATCTTCATCTACAGTGGAAAGAGCAGAGAGAAGTACTCGGCTATACCTTCTGCATACCAGTTGTTGAAAATATCATTGCGGAACACAACCCAGTTGTGCGTCATCTCATGGCAGAGGAAAAGGAGCTTGTCCTCCGCCGGAGGTAAATATTTATATTCGCTGTCGTCATAGCTGAAGGCAAACGAACGGACGAGTACGGTCCCCGCTCCGGACCCTTAATACGGGTTGTACCGAATGAAGATGCGGTAGGGATCCTCCTGATCATTGAAAAATTCCGCCATAACTGGAAAATTCTTCTTAGACTATTCGACAGACGGTGTGCATCGAAGGTTGGATCTCCCATCCAGTACATGCCAAAGCGCTCGTCCCCGTGTGAGGAGACCCGACCGACCATGAAATACGTCGCTTGAATCTCGGCATATGTCATAGTTCGACAAACAGGATTGGGACCCTCGCCAAAGATCCAGATGGCCCTGGTCATGGGCGGAGCGTGCGTAAGGTCCCACTCTACCTGCACCTCAACCTCTTGATCGGGACTCTGTGAGGGCGGACAAGCGAGAAACCCATAGCCGGAACTGATGGCGCCGCTAAAAATCAGACGAAAGTCGAATAATGGAGCGTTTCTGGTCGTGGAAGTGATTTGACGAGGCATGCCTCATAATGCACGTGCACAGGACCTACTGCGGTGGGCTCGCTTTCCATTTTTGCAGGACGATTGGGGGTCCTGGCTTTTCGACTTCGCGGGATAGGTCCAGGGGTCCAGCAGCATCGGAAGCCATGATCGTGCCGTTTACAAGCAGCCCAACGTCGACTCCTGCAATTTGTATAGGGTGTGTTAACATAGTCTTCTCTGCTGCATTGACAAGACCTGAGATGGTTATTTTGGCCTTCAGGGATGCTATAGCTTCATTCTTATCGTAGACTGGGGTAACGGTGTACTGCAGTGCGGGAGGAGACATTGGGCTCAAAATAATATGAGTAGGATTCGAATGTGATAGATCTGATCAAACTGAAGCACTTCACTGCTGATTATAGGGTTGTTCAGAGCTTTGTAATGGGCCATAGAATAGTAGGTCGATTTATGTGTCAACAGGTGAAGGCTGTGAGTTGGTGGTTGTTATCTTTGCGCTAATCCTGATGAGGGCAACGGGAGCGCCTCCCCACGCTACCCAAAACCGTTACAATCTCTGTATTGCCATCGCTCATACATAATATAGGAGCTGCTCAAGCTATCTACCTTCTCTGTGGAAACCAATCCTTGCCATATCAGCTGTACATCATGTTGTCCTTCATTGCGAAGGTCGTGCTTCTTCTTGGCCATGTTCCAATCTCCGTGCCTATGTTGTTACCCAGCCGCACTGGACTTCAGGTGCCCATCGGGATCGAACCATCCGGATACAAACCACTGGCATCGGCGTCGGGATCGGGCTGGATAGTACGTGAGCAAGATGAGCATGTTTGTGATGCGGGCGCTCGACATTTCGCGGGTCGCGTCAATGTCTCGGATACAAGATCTATGTTTTTCTGTGAGTATCGTGCTTGATCAATGCAGACCTCTCTGCCTAGAAATTGCTCTTTCTTATCGAAGATTTGTAGGGCTTTTCGAGAGCCGCGAGAGTCCCAATGAGCGCCCAATAACTATATGGTTGAATGGGTAAGATTTCCTTCAGCCCTTGACTTTTTTAGATTGCCTTTAATCCTTATTGCAATTGCGGTATAGTGGACCTGGTGCAAGCTCGATTTCCGGAATGTACGGCGAAGTTGGACCCTGTACTATCAACAACGAGAGTGACAGCACCATCATCTCAGAATACAGTTGGACTAATCATTCCAACCTCTTGATTATTGAGTAGGTCATAAGATGTCTCCCCCTCGAGATTTCGGCTCGCGCTGACAATTCTGAATTTACCCAGTCAACCCGCAGGAGTCGGTCTGTCTACCATTATTGGGAGCGAACCTCCCCCAGCCGGGCTACAAGAAGCATCTGCCGACTTTATAGCCACGCTCAAAGTATTCCTAGAGACGATATTACCCCAATATGCATCAAATCCGCTCTATATTTCGGGCGAGTCGTTCGGTGGTCGATATGTGCCTTATTTCGCTGCGGAGTTTATCAAACACCAAAAGGATGATTCTCCTCATGGTCTCCTGAGGACACCTTTAGCTGGTATAATACTGGTCAACGCACTTGTGGACAATTCCTGGCTGTCAGTTGGTCACTATGAGCTATTCTGCACAGATAACGGGCTTAACCTTCTACGCTTCAACGAGACGGTCAGTACTGCGATGGCAGCGGCGGCGAATGAATGCGAAAGGCTTGGTACAATGTGCAGAACATCATACGATCCCTTTGTCTGTCAGACAGCAAGTGAGTTTTGCATGGAAAACTTGCAAAATTACTTTCAGGCTGAAATTGACGCGCACCGACGGAGTCCATACGACTGTAAGCATCTCTCTTTGTTTCACTATTATCCCTCACACCGACTTCCCGTGGATTAACTGTCTCCATATATTGTAACTAGTGAGACGCAACTGTCCCGTACCACCCCTTTGTGGAGTTGGCGACAACGGCATGGGCTCAACAACCGATTTCCTGAATCGTCCCGATGTCCAAGCCCGTCTTGGGTTCGTCCCTCTAACCAACTTCACGCCAATTAACTTTGATCTTAACACTCTATGGGCATCCGATCCCGCAATCTTTCTTCCATCTACGAAATACCTGACTTCTCTACTTGATGGTGGCGACAAGCCACATGTATTCGGCTTTGATAACATGAGAGAGGAAGATAGTGAAACGGCTGTTGCCGCTTCTGTTCCCGTCCTCGTTATCAACGGTGAATATGATGTCAGCTGGCAAGACTCACCCATGATTATAGTTGATCTTCTCGTCATGATGTTTTCCTAGCTGACTCTTTTTCTGGCTATCTAGCAATACACCCGGAACACTTCTGACCTACGATCATCTACTATGGCACGGTCAGGCGGCATTCCGTGCGAAGCGGCATCTGGATCTATGGTATTGGACCGACATTGATGGTAAAGTTCAAGATGGTGGACTATGGAAGGGCGCAGACGCTGGAGGAAAAGGTAAGCTGGTGGTCGCCACTGTCCATGACGCAGGACATATGGCTCCTGGGGACCAGCGGGGAGCAGTAGCTTCGCTTTTTGGGCGATGGATTGCAGGCTCCGAATCTTCAGTTTAGGTTCCTTGAGCTCGCAGATCTGGGTTATACGTAGAGTTGAGTAATTTATCATTTTCAAAAACTGCTATTCCCATTGTCCCATATCTATTACTACTTCTCCGGCTCCCCCAATCAAGAAGGTATTTTGAGTGACGTTCGTCGAAGTGGGAGGTATCCAAACTTATTAAACGCTTTGAGAGCTTTTTGTCTACTCCGACAGAGGGGCAATCAAGTTCCAAGCAGAAGCAAAAATGTGCATCTTCAGAATTGAAGGCAGGAGATATAGGGAAAGCATCAACCAAGGCACTACGATTCAGCATCTTCAATTGACTCTGAAAATTGAGAGAGCATGGACAGAGTCGAAGAGACAATCATATTTACTAGGCACTGTCCCAAAGAAGGGCCAACAACCTTGAGGTCACGACATCTATGTTTGCAGTGAAAAATAATTACATGTGAGTGATAATTCTATCCTAGATAAAGGGACAGTAAGATATTCTAGCACTGACTACCCACCCAGCGCTCAACCAGCTCGAAGACCTCTGCTGGGTTGTTAGCTGGAATCATATGACTTAAGCCTCCAATAAAGAATTCTTAGCAAACGGCATCTCTTGTGATATCCCCAGGTACCCTCATGTAAGTCGTCAGCCATATAAGTTGTCTCAAAAGGGCAATTCTCCGAATGCCTCCTACCCTCCCACTGCAAATAATCCACTGCAAGTGATCCACTAAATACCGCATCCGTGGTGTGTTACAACAACAGTTCATATTCCCGACACAAATTAAAACGCGGGGATCACGTTAAGTTTTCGTGAGGACTTACTGTTGTCCACATAACCTAAAAGCCTTTTAACCCACCACAAAATTTTTTGTCCCGAGCGCTTAGGCCTAGATGATGACTGACCCGGAAACAGAACATAACCTACGATATTTACCTACGATATTTCGACTTTAACAATGTTACCGAACGCTAGTGCCGCGATTTGCTGGTAAATACGCGCGACTTAAGAGTGCCTCAATCGAGCAGAATGAAGACGCAAGTCCATATTTCGGTTCTCTGATTCGATATTGTGCATGAACCAATGACATGGTCGCTTCGGTTGCCCGCATTAGGTATGGTGGGGTTTCTTTCTTTTTTTTTCTTTGCTTCCACTGGCTTCAAGCTCGGGTGAGAGCCTTTTCGCGATAACATAATTCCTGACTATCCCGCGCACCATATAAGCCATACTGATTGCGAAATATATAGCGTTATATTTCAGCGCTTAGATATAATTAGGATGATATATTAAGTATCTTTATCTAGATAAAGGTTATTAGCTCAGTAGTATATTATGGTCACACTAATTCATGTATCAATCGATATGTAGGTGAATCATGGCTATCGAGAGCACATCGTATTTTAGGGTAATCTAAAAAGAAGTAGGAATAAAATAAGTTGAGCTCTGAATATCACTCCTTGGGCATACAAAACTTATACTTCCAAAAGAAACGCAAGATCATATCTTGTGGTTGAATTAATAGTGGAATCAAGATATCAGATCACTATGTGTGTTGGGGTGCGTGAGACGGCCAAGAACTACGTTGTCTGTAGAGCTGATTGATGGTAGGGTTCGGGTTATCGCTTTCGGTGAGGGTAGCGAGGAGCCAAGAGCCCCAAATAGCTGGCCCGCCCGCGAAATTGTCCAGGGCAAACCTAAACGAAGGATGTTGGTGACAAATAGCTGATCACCAGAAGGGTGTGGCCGCGTGGACATCATATTCTACATTGCAGCCATATCAATGTCGGGTGTGGTGTAACGATTGAAGATAGTAAAGTGGCTAGTGAAGTTGGTAAAGCGAGATTTTAAGGCTAGAGGATGGAGGTGTACACTGAGCTTTACAGGTAAGAAGTGAGGTCTCACTTGAGGGGAGGGGGCCTTCATCTCCCTCTCATAGAAGAGGCGTGACGATGAATAGAGACTTACTCTAATCAAAAGGGGTTATCCCATTAAAGATTAAATATGATTAGAGTAGGGCTTCCCACTGCAATTTAATTAGCTGGCTGGATAGGTGAAGGGGGTTTAATATTATTAATTTTATAAATATAGTAGTATTAAACAGAAAAGAAATTAGATAATAAAAATTTAACTGTTTATTTAAAATATACTTAATTATATATAGTATAAATTTGAATATAATATAGGAAGTTCTAAAGTTTTTATTATAATTTAAATATAGTAAGTTTTTTTAATAGTGGCTCTCAGCGGTAAGAAATTCTTAAATTTTAAATATTAAATATTTCAGTTTATTTTTTACTTTTTTTTACTTTCAGTTTACGCCTAATTAAAAAGAATTATTTTATTAAAGATTGAATATAATTAGAGTAGGGCTTTTTATTATAATTTAATTAACTGAAAGGACAGCAGAGGGGGGTTTAATATTATTGATTTTATATATAAAGTAGTATTAAATAAAAAAAGATTAAATACTAAGAATTTTACTGTTTATATAAAATATATTTAATTATCTATAGTCTAAATCTTAATATAATTTACAAAGTTCTAAAATTTTTATTATAATTTAAGTTTAGTAAGTTTTTTTAATAAAATATATCTCAG